TGCACGGCGGGAGTAATCTACGACATTGATTTGGCCATAGCAAACTCGGACCTCCCAACTCTCATAAAACCAGCGAACGAAGGAGTTCTCATCGCGAATGTACTTCGCCTCGGAAACACCCGATGTGTAAAGATAATGTTCAAAGGAGATTCCATTCCGTCGCATGTCAAAGTGGGACACTTCCGACATCCTGTTCGACCATTTGTCCCTAAACCACTCCAGTGCCATAACTGCATGAAAATTGGTCACATCAAGAGTGTATGTACAAACACCACAGTATGCCCCCGATGCGCTGAGCCGCACACTGCAGACGCATGTCGGGCAACAAGTCTGAAGTGCAGAAACTGTGATGGTCCGCATGATGCTGCATCCAAGGAATGCCCTCGGATTAAGAAGGAAATCGCCATTATCAAACAAATGGTTAGGGACAATTCAACCCACAGAGAGGCTGCTGAAAGGGTACGGCGGCGACGTAGTCGCCGACGGAGGCGTGGAGGACAGAGTGTTGCGCATAACCCATTTCCTCCGAGCACGAGTGAAGTAGTAAGCACGAAGCGAAAAGAAGTGGAGAAGCTCACAGCTGCGGATGAGTGGCCTACGCTTCCGCGTACACAGCCTGCAAAGGAGCCTCCTGCGAGGCCTCGCCGCCCTACACCTTCCACCGAGTCTACTTCCGTTGAGGATGTGTCAAGGGTCGATCGACAGATCATCCGATGTTACGATCCCTCGTCGCTGTCATGGCAGACATACTAAGAAGCCCGGGAACTCCAACCGCTCGAAGCGGGTTACAGGTGTTGGACGCGCTGAGCCCAGTCCTCGCCTCCCTCGCGTAGAGTCATGGCAGGAGATCAACAATCGTTCCGCAAAGACGTCAGAGAAGCATCAGTCATCCAGTGGAACGCAAGAGGACTTAGATCACGGATTTCCGATTTTCGTCAGTACGTGTTTTCTAACCTTTTCCCAATCATCGTAATATGTGAACCGAAATTATCAAACCCGATCAGGCTATCTGGCTACGAATCAATCCCGTCCAAAACCCGAAACGAAAGCAGCAAGGTCATTGTGTATATTCGTCGGGAGCTTACCTACATCATTCAACCTGTGTCGCCTCATGATGAGAACCAATATGTTTGCCTGACTGTGAAGCAGAAAACCCTCACCTTCACATTAATAGGTGTCTACTTATCTCCCTCAGCCCGTTTTGATTGCCAAAGACTGGATGACATTCTTTCGAGCGTACCGGATCCGTGGATAATTATAGGAGACTTCAACGCCCACCACCCAATCTGGGGAAGTTCAAAAGTCAATACCACGGGCCGGAGGCTGGCTTCATTTGTATCGACTCATGAACTGTCTCTACTTAATGATGGGAGCCCTACATTTCTGCGAGGATCAACGTACAGCAGCTGTTTGGACTTGACGTTCGTGTCACGTCGCTTCGCCACAAGCGTTAAGTGGTTTTTAGACATCGAGACACATGGTAGCGATCACATCCCCAGTTATCTCACCATCGAAGGCTTTGCTAGCGACCACCCGCCGAAAACCGTACGGAAGATCGATCTTTCAGCATTCAAAACCAACATTGAACACGCTTGTGAAAAAGGCTTAACCTCTGACATTGAGCAAGCGATCAAACAAGCAGCGCAGAGTGCGATGCGCACGCTGGCATATTCTTCAAGGCCCTCAGAAACGGACATGGAGTTAGAGCGACTCCGTGCGACTCGTCGGCGTGCGGAGCGTAGATATCGACGCACAAAATCCATTCAAGATCTACGGATGGCCAGGCGCATGCAAAAGAAGATCCAGCGTCGTATAGACAAACTGGAGTTTCAACGGTGGGCGAAATTTTGCGCGAGTCTAGACCCTCGCAAACCGCTTTCTCAAATATGGCGAACCGTGCGAGGCCTACGCACATTTCCCCAACAACGTTTTCCGTTTAAAGCCTTGGCCCTTTTCCAAAATAGAAGGGATATCGAGGTAGCGGAAGATTTTTGTAGGAAGATTGCGGGCCCACCAAATTGCACAGAAGCCCTTACTGCTCATTACACGCCACATTCCCTTGACCCGCACCTGGACCTGCCTTTTTCAATGGAAGAACTGAATGTGGCTCTTGCTTCATGCAATCGATTGTCATCGCCTGGGCCGGATGGCATATCATACCGCCTATTATGCAATCTCGGTGATCGAGCACGAAGTGCTTTGCTGGAAGTATTCAATGAGTCTTGGAGAAATGGAACGGTCCCCAGAGAGTGGAAAACAAGCCGGTTGGTTGCACTTCTCAAACCTGGAAAATCGCCTCTAGAGCTGACATCATACCGCCCAATAGCGCTGGCTAGTTGCGTAGGGAAGCTGATGGAGCGAATGATCCTTGCCAGACTCGAGTGGTTCCTAGAACGCCATAGAATATATCCAGACGCCATGGCCGGTTTTCGTCGTCTTCGGAGCTCCATTGACAATGTCATTGACCTGGTGACCTACGTACAACACCAGAAAATGAGCAGACGGTTATCTGTCGCACTATTTTTAGATGTCAAAGGAGCATATGACAATGTTTCTCACGAAGCCATACTTGACGCCCTCGAGTCAGTTGGTTTGGGTGGGCGAGTGTACCGCTGGATCCAATGCTACCTACACATGAGATCATTGTTTATGCAAACTGATGATGGGCCGACTTCTGAACATTATACACACCGTGGTGTTCCTCAAGGTGGTGTATTGAGCCCCACACTGTTCAACCTGGTTCTGATCGGTCTCGTTGAACGCATACCAGATTCCGTGCAGATATCTCTCTATGCAGATGATATTTGTGCCTGGACATCAGGTGTAACACGTCCTCAGGTACGTGCGAGACTCCAGAAAGCAGCGAATTCAATATCGGCGTACCTTAGAGAACAAGGCCTCGAGATTTCTCCTGAGAAATCGGCGCTGGTCGCGTTCACGCGGAAGGCAATGACGTCATATCCCATCGCCATCAATGGACACAGTGTCTGCTACGCCAGGACCCACAGGTTTTTGGGGGTCACGATCGATCGAAATCTCTGCTGGAGTCCCCATGTGGCCACTCTAAAGAAGCGCCTAACGGCCATCGCACAACTTTTCAAGTTCCTCGGAGGCAAAACGTGGGGCACATCAGTGCACGCGATGTTGCATTTGTACAAAACGCTGTTTCTGGGGTACCTGCGGTATAGCTTGCCGGTTCTGACGAACGCTTGCAAAAGCAGTATACGCACAATAGAAAACGCCCAGGGCCAGGCACTCAGAGTTTGTCTTGGATTACCACGCTGTACATCAACAGCGGAAACCATCGCAATCGCCAAAGATTATCCGGCCACAGTGCACATTACTTTGGAGGTGCTTAGAGCTCATATTAGACACCTTGCTCGCGCCCCTGCCCACCACCTAACTTCGCTTCCAGAAGATCGACCGAGTGCCTCCTTCTGTAAGAGAGTATTGACTTTCCGTGAGTGCCTTCCAACAGTCTACACACCTCCGGAACGGATACTAACACCTCCTTGGTGCTTGGACCGACCAAAACTGCGCTTGACAGTGCCGGGGATTCGCAAGAAGGCGGAGCTCTCGGCGCCAGCTTTAAAGCAGATGATTCTACTCATGCTACACGAAGAATACAAAGATCATGTCAAACTTTACACGGATGGCTCGACAACTGTTGGAGGATCTGCAGGAGCTGTGATCTTCCCAGCAAGAGCCGAAACCATCCAGTTCAGAACGTCACACAAGACGACATCGACAGCCGTGGAGCTCGCGGCACTCCGCAGCGCACTCCGCAGGATTGACCAAGAGACACCACAAAAATGGAGCATTTTTACTGATTCGAAACCAGCTCTCCAATGTCTACACAATACTCTACGTCGTGGACCTCAAGATCAATTGGCGCTCGAAATACGACAACTGTACCATCACCTAATAGACGAAGGACATGACATATCTTTTCAGTGGTTACCAGGCCATTGCGGCATCGTCGGTAACGAGCATGCCGACAATGCAGCTAAGAATGCTCACGAAAATGGAGTGATGGAACCCATTCCACTATCAAGAAGCGACGCAGCAGCAAAGATTAATACGCTTGGGCAGGATGTCGCAAGGTCTATGCGGAATACGCCCGGTTTTCTCCACACCCGTCTTCACCGCCTGGACCCATGCCTACGACTTACTATTCCATCTGGCCTACCCCGATCCGAGACGACCCTTCTCTGCCGTATGTGGCTTGGGGTGTCTTTCACGAACGCTTTTGCCTGCCGCATCGGAATGAGAGACAGCGCTACATGCGACCATTGCGACAATGACGAAACAATTGAACATATTTTATGTCAGTGCCCCCAGTACAGCTCTCAGCGACAGTCCCTCTCAGCAGTGTTTGCTCGCCTCGACGACCAGCCATTTTCTGAGCAGTCAATCTTGGAATGTCGGAAAGATCGAGCTTCACGCCAGAAAGCAACGAAGGCGCTGATGAAGTTTCTGCGAGCGACCCGCCTCGTAGAACGATTGTGACACTACTGTGTGCGAGTGTGTGTATGTGTGTTTGTGCTTCTCTTCCTCCCTTTCCCCTAACCCTTTCCCCAGTGCAGGGTAGCAAACCGGATATGTTTTCTGGTTAACCTCCCTGCCTTTCCGCATTAAAATTTTCTCTCTCTCTCTCGCTTCAAAGTTCACGTCTTGCTGGTGCACTGCTAAACTAATCATTTCTAAGTTGTAGACGCTTTTGTGCCTGAGGAGAACACACAAATATACAAACGAACGCATTGTTACCTATTGCACCATATTTTTGCAATATATTGATTGATATGTGGGGTTTAACGTCCCAAAACCACCATATGATTATGAGAGACGCCGTAGTGGAAGACTCCGGAAATTTTGACCACCTGGGGTTCTTTAACGTGCACCCAAATATGAGCACATGGGCCTACACTATTTCTGCAATATACGCATTCATGTATCGCTAATACTTACTCTAGTTCCATCCTTCTCGTTTTTGTTTCGAGGACAACGTGTCCCTCCGCTCATCCATCTATTATGAAGAGGTGGATGGCATTCGCCCCTTCAAGAGCGTCTTCGAGCTAAACAGCAGTGACGTCATGGACCTGGGTCGCTACACCTGTTACTACAACGGGACCACAGATCTCACCAACGCGGGAAACGCTACGTCAGTTTACGTATTCGTGAATGGTGGGTACTTTTATTGCGTTCTGCATACGCGCACTGGCCACCTTTTGGTTGAAGATGCGCACAGAATATTTTGCGTTCCCACTGTAAGTGTTTCCACGTCATTCCAGCGAGACCTTCTGGATGTTCTGAAAGCACCACTTACGTATTTTCACGTTTTGTGGCATCTAGTATTTTAAATGCTACGCAAGGCTGGGTAAACCGAATGTCGATGCAGTAGAAGGTGCTTGGTGCTTTTTCCTTCAGAGGGCGCATAAACAATCATAATCACGTTCAATACCCACAGGACCGTGCACAAAAGGGCATACGGCAGTTTGGGAATTCCGACTTCATCAAACTGGGCCACATGACACAAAGCGTATACATCATTTTGTGGGCGAAAACAGCTTCGTCATCGGTCGTGACGTAACTCAATGGTCACTGTTTATTACAGTTGCAACAAAAGCAGGCTCGTCTAAACGTGCTCACCCTTGTAAGAACAATGTCTGTTTCCGCACTAAGGGATTGCCGCAAGAGATGCTTCATATAACGTTGTGAGGCGAACACCACACCCGAAAGCCACCTGGCGTTGTTACCCAGGCAACTTTGATAGGAATAGTTAAGAATATATCGCCAGACATTTTTTAAAGTCTGACGAGTTGTCCTGCTTGGCTACTCTGACCTCCAAGCCTAGCAGGCATTGGTGTCTAGAGTCCGGGCCGTCACGGTAGCTACAGGGGTACCAGACAAGGGATCCGTCCTATAGTGTCTTTGAAGGGTGGGACCCTAAGGCTCGCCCCATCCACACCTCTCACTGTAAATGAATTAACAAATATTTTCCGCCACTGCACCACCACTACCACTTCCACAGTGTAAATTGAATTTCGGCTCCTGGCTGTTCGCAGACGACTACTACCTGTTCCAGCCGGATAAAGATATGGGCCAGCTTAAGTTTGTGACTGCGCGCCCCGGCGAGCAGACGGTCGTGCCGTGCCTGCCTACTCACTCGGGTGCTCGGGTCCAGCTGTGGAAAGACGGCGGACTGGGCGAGGACGAGACGGAGGAGGTGGCACTGGAGCGGCAGTACGTCGAGTTCGACCCGATGCGGGGTTTCGTCATCTACTACCCGCACAGCTACTTCTCTGGGCACTTCATATGCAACGGAACGGTGCCGGGACGCGTATACAACGACTCGTCCATGGCCGTAGATTTCCACTACAGGCGTGAGTGTTGCTGCACGGTTTTACCTGGCCACCGAAGAAACAATCATTGTGTGAATCGCTCCATTGATTCATGTTCTCTTCCTTTGTGTACTAAACAAATTGCAGGACCCGTGCAAACAGCGCCCGACGTGACGATCTCGAAGGAGAACAACTTCCATCCAGTTCTGAACGACTCATTCACCCTCAACTGCACCGTCACATTTGAAGAGCGAGTCATGTTATTCATGTCTTGGGACTACCCTAACAAGAACGTAAGTTTGGGAGGCGATCTGGCCGACTCGGTCAGGCATCACGAGATATTACACAAATGGCAACACGTAGGGCCTACGCAAGGGAAGCCCAAGATGCACGGTGCATCTTACAAACGGCTTGTTCGCAGAAAAGAATATGAGTATTTCATCATTTTTTATCATGCATAAATTCACATATTGTCTCCTGTGAATAAATCAGTCGTAAGTGGCACACCGTGTCTCTCAGTCTCTCCTTATGTGCGCACGTCACAATTGGCGTGATTTACAAGCGTAAGCGAGGCCATGTATTCACCTGTTGAAAATACCGAGAAGCCTTGGAGCAGTTGTCATCTCGACGGTCCTTACGTGAAATATTTTGTACCTAATATGCGGTACTATATTTTCAACTACCCTGAACGATTTGGAAACGGTAAACAATAGGTGGTGAGGACTACTTTACGTATATTCGCATACCACCAACGCTGCTCCACACTGCCTTGTGTCTTTAAGTGTTTGCTAATAAATATTGGCTAAGTACTGAATAAATAAAACTCAATGAATTGCTTCCGTTTGCCAGCGCATCTTTCGCACTTACGCCTTTGCATTAACGTCCACTGTCCAACTTCCTGTCGCCAACCGCCCTTAATTTTACGAAAATAGGGAGGAAATGCAAGCAGATTCACGTTATATTACAAAAGTATAGAAATGAAACAAAAACACAACAATAACAACAACAAAAATCAAGCCTTCTTCTTTGTCTCACGCCATCATAATACAGTATCGCATATCTCTTTCAGAGCTCCCGCATCAAAGAGACCAAGCCCATCCGCCACAACAAGACGTTTGGGCGAGACCACTTCATGCTGTACATTGTGACGTCACAGCTGACCGTTCGTGACGTGCAGAGAAGTGACGAAGGGCTCTACACGTGTTCCTGCACGTACGACGGCGGGAAGAAGCGCAACCAGTCAGTCTTTGTCTCCGTCTACGGTAAGGGATTCGAGACCCACTCGACGCTTCGGATCCTAAGCTTCCCGACGTTTTTATAGCTTCGCAGTGCTGTACTTAGACAAAGTTTACTAAGCGGGGTATGCGTTTACAAAATCAATGAATGTGCGCAGAGTGACATTTGTATATTCTCGATTTCTTTAAAGAAATTCAGTGCTTCGTTGCAGACACGTAAAACTTTTATCCTCTGAGCTGCAGTTACTAACATCACAGATAACTCAAAGCACCGTAACCTTATGGTTGAAAAAGGGAATCAATCAAATGAAGGTATTTCGTTACAAACGTAACTGTAGCACATGTCGAAACCGACAGAACAAGGAACATAAACCATAAACATATGCGCCTAGCTTTCTCTGCATGCAAGTATCTTGGCGAGCACAATAAGTTTATTCAAAGTCAATGCCATGCATCGTATGATGTTACACCCAAGGTTGAAAAATTCAAAGTGCGCGTTACACTTTCATCAATCAAGCTGCATTATAGTAAGTGTTTGAAATCATGGCTATGGTTCGTAAAGAGTGCAGGTGTCATATACTCAAAAATATTGGCCCGAATCGGCATGTTGACCCTGCAAATGTCGTCGAAAGACGATAGTCTTGCATCTGGAGAGAGTGAACAAAACGTTTATTTCATGTTCAGCGGAAGAAAATTGGTGAATGGTATTCTGGAGGCACTGCCTTAGAGTGCCTCGAGCGTGTAGCGGAGGCCAATGAGCGCATCGAGCCACGTTAGACTTGAGCGCCATCTGGCAGTTATCTTCAATAAAGAAGGCGTGCGCGCCCACGGAGAAAGATGCGCGCCAGTCTCGGAGATGATAAGGTGTAGAAAGCAAAGCGAGGGGCAGGTGCCCCCACCGTGTCGTCGTAGCAAAGCGTTGGCAACGCTTTACCTTTTTGAGCATTGCGTTTCACAGTCAGCACAAGGCGATAAACGATACAGTCCTTAGAGTTCCTTGTGTGTGCCTCTTCTGGTATAAAGGCAGACATACAAAACATAGACGTGTTGTTAGGGCGCCCCAGATATGCGCAATATTTGCTTTTTGATTGACAATCGCACAACAATGAACGCTAAACCTTGAGAAATATTGGTGGGCACTGCGGATGGGGTTGGCCGTTTGATGCCGTTTGAGGTATCATTAAGGGCAGACAAACGAACAAATGTACAGACAGACAGACAGACAGACAGACAGACAGACAGACAGACAGACAGACAGACAGACAGACAGACAGACAGACAGACAGACCAAAATGTTTCCGTCGAAGGTCCCCAAGAAAGACTATCATCTTTAAATAAAAAAAAGGCAGATCCTTTATACGTAGGGAATGGATGTTATGCGAAGTATGTGGAGGGAAGTTTACCGCGTTGTAATTTTTGTTATTGAGCGACAAGTTACTAAATAACGCTAAATATGTGTAAAAATGTTGTGCGCACAGACATATGTTGAACAGTCGCACTTGTTTTAAATGACCAGTTGTTTACACTTGCGCAGCGATGGCAACAGTAACATTAGTATAAACAACAAGAGAAGAGGTAGGCTGACATGTAGCGCTTGTGCTCGCGAAGATGGTAGCCTGGACCCTGCTACACAAACTACAGTGGATTTTAGTTAACTACAACTGACCTTAACCTGACGAGGTGGCTGATTTACTGGAATACATAAAGTTGGATATGTTCATAAAGTTGGATAGCCAGCACTGCAATCACAATTGACGTTTCACCAATATTGCATCTAAACAGCGGATAATTCCAAAGCAGTATCAAGACGTGGCGTGGCCGCGTGGCTCTGTGGTAGCATGCTTGATTGCCGGGTAGAATGCTTGGGTTCGATTCCGGCTGGGACCATGATGTTCATCGGGTCAGCGCTGCCAACGTAAGTTTTTCTTAACGCTTTCGCACTTAAAATGTCGCCGTTCCTGGGTACATGTAAACTGTCCATCACTTGTGGCGCATACCAATGGCTCATACTCACCCGTGGGTGTGTGCCGCTGTGTGACTGAAAGTGTTTGACGACGTACGTGACAGGATTGTAACGTTATTCACGTCACGACCAATGGGTCACATTCGTCAAACAATCTTACCCTTTCATACTAATTTTGATTCACCGTAAGTTAAGGGGTAATCGCGAGAGCACCGTAGGCAGATAGATAGATAGATAGATAGATAGATAGATAGATAGATAGATAGATAGATAGATAGATAGATAGATAGATAGATAGATAGATAGATAGATAGATAGATAGATAGATAGATAGATGCTGAAATTGCTTGCAGTACGCAAAAGAATGCTTCGCCCTTAAAAAGAGAAAATGGAGAGGGTGGCAAAACTGATGCCTCCTGCGATTTTATCCGGTTCTTCAGTGAGAACAATTATTGCGAGATCCTGTTCACGAAGGACTCGGCTTTAAAGTGGACAGGATCTAAGAGGTGACTTTTCTGCGAAGCCCTCTAAAAATGGCAGCATATCCGCGGGGTGAATGATGGAGAGTGGCGTGAAGCATGCGTCCGTCCATTCGTTCTTACTTCCGTCCGTCCATGCGTCCGTCTGTGTGACGGTCCGTGCATCCTTCCACCCGTCCGTGCGTGCGTCTGTTCGTGCGTCCGCACGTCCATCCGTGCGTCCGTCCCTGCGTTCATCCATGCATCCGCCCCTGTGTCCATCCATGCGTCCATTCGTCCGTGCAGCCATCCATGAGATCGTCCATGCATCTGTCTGTGTGTCCGTTCGTCCATCTATTCAACACTCCAAGTACCACCATCTCGCATCTTTTCATCATATATTCCTCATACAGAAGCACCGCCATCCAGCGGACATTCCAAGTACTAAACGAGAGGTGGCACACGCACACTTTGTTACGGCTTGCGCTTCGTGTCTACTTCCCACCTTTAACCACCTCGAGTTCATGGTATATACTAGTTCACTGTATTCGTGGCACTGCGGCCCAACGCTCGCTAAACCTTTCTAAAACCAAGGAGGTTACGCCCAGCGAGTATAACGTAGCAACCCTTTCTTGTCAGATAGTGCTCAATGGGCATGCCAATGGCTGCTAATGGGGAATGAGAGGCACGAGAATCCAGCTTCTAGTTAACGCGCACGCTGCGAATTTTTTATTGTTCAACAACGCACAGGAGAATTCTCCCACCGGCACCACCTTGCAGGTAAAAGCATAAGACATGTTACGCACTGCGACGAGGGATGAACGGGTGCCACTTTAAGGAGCTTCGCCCATAAAAGACACGAGGTCGCACGGCATCCCAAGCTTTTGCGACTTCTTGGCGTTGGGGAGCATATTTAACACGTGATGCCACTGAGATTGTTCTCGTCCTTGAGACGCTATGCGTGACCTTTGACCTTGTGCCAGCGCTTACTTGTAGTCGTACAGTCATACGTATATTCTCTGCAGGCCTTGTGAGTTTGGCTTTCTCTTCACCTTTAGTATTGTTCCCCATTTATTTATTAATTTTTCAACATTATTTAATCTTAGCGTTCCGGGCGTTTCTGGTGGCTTCAACGCAGTGCGGCCTACTTGCCACTTTAGCAATCTATGCGGCCCTCGTAGTCCACTACTGACCGACCAGTCGATCATGACACTGATCTGTCCCACGATGCGTGAAGAAACTGACGTGAGGGGTGTTTAACGTTGAAGTGAAAGTATGCTGCCATGCGGCATTGTCAGTAAGTTCGGCATACTTGAGAAAGCACTGCTGCGTTTTTTGAAGGATGGTGGACTGATTCTTCGCCTGCGATGTCAAAGGCGAATCTGTTAGGTCTATTGAAACAGTGACTTTTCTTTCCACCTCTCTAACTTTCCTTCCCCCTTCCCCAGTATATGGTAGCCCTCAGGAATCAGTCCTGGTTCACAACACTGCCTTTCATGAATCATTACTTTCCCTCTCTCTTTCTTGGCGAGCGGCTGTGCTTACTATGGCTCCAGTGACACGGGAACATCGGAACTATGGCAGTCACGTGCGTGAGTATTTCAAGAGTAGCCTGATGCCACGTTTTTGTGCAAAGAGCAAGCGCACTTGCGTAGACAGCAAGTGTATTTGCGATCTTGAAATGGAAGGTGCAAAGCACAGCTATTGTACAACGCTGTTTAACACAGCCAACCGTAGTGTTTATGCGTCACGATTTCCATATATAGTTTGCATGACAATTCTGAAATGTTGACTATCTTTGTGTTTTTTTCTCTCAAAATAACAGCCACTGCTGTTGATTGCAACAACAGTTGACATAATGAACGAGCCGTTGTAAATCAAACATTACAAATATGCTTTTGAAAAAGTTACACCATCATCCGCTAAAGAGAACAATGTCTATATGCGAAGCAGCTGGCGCCAATGCTTACACTGGCGGCGGCGTTGACGCTGGCGTTCTTCACGGCGTTGCGCAGGAGAGAAACCTGGGGAGGCGCCAAGCACGCCGGTATAGACCAGTGTTTTCTACTGGAACATGCCAATCACTGCTAATAAGCTGTGCTATATAGAAGACGTTGATTAGACACACAACCGCAGTCCGCCTTTAATTAACGCACACGCTGCAAATTTTTATTGTTCAACAACTCACATGAGAAATCTCCCATCGGCACTACCTTGGAGGTCAAGTCAGTGAATGATTCTGCAGCATGAGCGGTCGGTTTTTTCAATCGAGGAAATTGCAAGCAGATGCCGGCAGCGTCTGCTTGCAATTTCGGAGAGAGAGGAAGACGTCTTCCTGTGACATGATGTTATGTCATTATACCGTCTCCCTCTGAAACCGCGTAATGTCATTAAAACGTCTTTCTGTGACGTCACATTATTATGTCAGTGTAACGTGTTCCTCTAATAACATGTTAAGTCATTATGAGGTCTTCCTATGACATCAAATTATTTCACCTTGACGTCTTCCTACGACGTCAATTTTATGTCACGTTGACGTCTCCCTGTCACGTGACGTAATCTCATGATGACGCCTTCTTGTCACGTCATGTTAGGTCGTTGTGAGGTCTTCTTGTGACGTCACGTTATGTGGTGTCATGATAACATCACAATATTTGTCAATGTGTGACGTCATGGTGACGCCATATGTGGTGCCATCATGCGATGATATTTTGCATTCGTCAACGATCAATTTTTGGTTATGATGAAGCATCTGAGGCTTTCACCGTAATAATGTTTCGTATATAACGCCAACCCTCATTGTTCTCTTCCGCGTGCAGAGTCCGAACGGTTGGCGCACGTGAAGCTGGCCACTGACCTGGACACATCGGATTCCCTGGTGTTTCCCGAAGGGGGCAGCTTCAAGTTGGTGGTAACGGTGCAGGCGCATCCGAGCTTCGCCGAGACGCTCTTCTGGTGGGACAAGGACGGCGCGCCGCTTGAAAAGGTCCCGGAGCTGCTCCTGTGGTACCGTGAACCACGAGTCGTGCTCGAGAAGTTCAACGCGCGCTTCGATGACAGCGGCGAGTACGTGCTGTTCGCGCGCATACGTAATGCCACCTCCAAGATCACATTCAACGTCAGCATCTTGTGTGAGCATACCACTTTTGACGCCATACTTATGTCTAGGCTAATAGAGCGAAGACAAAGAATTTTAGTAGGTAAACCTGTTATTGAATTGATATTGGAGGAAGACTGTGTTGTTAAAGCACACAACCGGCATCATAGTTAAACAGTGGATTGTTGTGTGTGAGTAGACACGGTAGCTAGCCAAGGTTTATTCTCGAGACAAGGTGCATTCGGTCACATATTGCCGTTGACCTCGTGGACGTCTCATAGTTACATAAATGTGGACAGAAGAGCAGAAAAAAAATGCCCCCCCCCCTTTCCGAAGGAAATCGTGAGGAAATGCAAATGCATTGCGTAGCGTTCATAACGGCGTTTCGCACGTGATAACCCAGCGTTAGACGAATAATGTTTTCTTTTTTTTACACATTACAACCAATAGCGCCGTTCCCCGCATGTGGCGGTTTTCTGTCTCGAGAAACGTGGTTTGCGTTTCCAGTTTTAGTAGTTATAGCGTGCATGGTTAAAAAAATTGCCCGCAGCTTCCCTCGGGGGAACACTGAGGAGGATGCGGACCATATAATTGGTTAACGGGGTGTTAAAGTGCGACTTACTTGGGTCGATGGCTAAATTGGTTAACGTGGTTGTAGGAGGGGGTGTTAAATGAGTGAACACGTACACACGTATGCGAAAGGGCGGCGCTGGTCGAAGGGACGTCGATCATTGTGTTTGTGGATTCGTTGGAATTCATTTCACCGCGACCTTGGACGTCGACGCGCCGTACAAACCAACCGACGAGCGGTAACTGAGCGAGCGAGCGCTGTTGCGAACGACGGACCGATCCCGCCGAAGCCACCACTGTTGCGAACGACGGACCGATCCCACCGCTGCCACCACTGTTGCGTACGACGGACCGATCCCGCCGAAGCCACCACTGTTGCGAAAGACGGCGACGCCAACACGGCCCCGGAGGCGCCACTGCTTTCAACTCCGCCGGGAAGGTCACCAGCCGTTTGGTAGCGTATGTTTCTCAGCTCGCGACTGCTTCTGCGCAGAGCCGATAAGACGAGCGGACGAGACGACGGTGAGTTAAACAAGGTTTATGTACAGCATATATACAGAGGCGTTACAATTTCGGCACTGGGGCCGACAGAGACTCGAAGAGCCGAGCTCTCCTCTCTAACACATAGGTCAGCCTTTCGCCTAAGACCGCTGACTCACACACATGTCGGCTCTCCGACATGGGGACTCCTCTCTCGTAGGACTGCCGATCGCGACGCGCCGCAGGGCTTCTTTTATTTACACCGGGTCCAACCAAAATGTCCAATCAGAAGCGCCGCTGGTCGTCAGGGCAGATTCCGCCGATGGGGGTCGCCGAGCCATGCGTCAGGCCACCAGACACGCGGACGCCGGCTCGCTGTCACGCGCGCAGCTGACTCACTGCACGTGGGCCAGAGGGGCGCCGCGCGTGTTCACGCCGTCGAGGTGATCGCGCCAGGCCGACTGCGGGCTGGCCTTGACCCAGATTGCCTTTTTCAGAGGCACGGTCGTTTGACGAGGACTCGCTGGCATAACAGCACCCCCGCCGCCAGACAATGCACCGGAAAGACGAGCTGCTTCCACGGGGCTCGGATGTCAGGTGCGCTCGTTCGCCAGGTCCCTCCAGGTTCGCCTCCAGGGCCATGGGGAGACTACAGCTCCAGACTGTTCCGGGAACACATCCCATTTTGACGACGGATCCCAGCTCCACTGGCTTGTCGCCACAACTTGCTGACCAGCTTCACTCGTCTCTTCTGACCATCTTCGGTTTCAGCACTTGTCGATGGTTCTGCAACTTGCCAAGAACGGATCGACAACAGACAACACACGACACACGCAAGTGCCTTCGGTCACCCGACAGAACACCAGACAAAGTATAGTACAACATATACCTATCTACGTGTCTATCGGAATTTTGTTCCCTCTACATCAAGAGGCACATGTGGGACACAAGACTCTTAAAATGACAACTCAATTTTTTTTTCCCACGTACAACAACGTAACGGATTAGAATACCACATAAAGTTGGTCCCTTGAGATCACTCTGAACGAGAGCGCTCAGCCCAGGTCGTGATGAGGTCAAAATTTTGCCCCGAATCGCCAGCCAGAAACCGAAAGGTTGAGAAGATACTAGCTAGAACGCACTGCTCAATGCACCTGCATTAGCGTTTACCTTTCCTTTTTTTTTTTCTTTAGCGAACGTCAAAGTTGCGCTGTGGAACAACATGCTCCACTTCAGTAACCGGCCACTTTTAGGCGACGATACCTATGCGGCACCAAGAGCGGCTCACACTTTCGACGTTGCACAGGGGAACAACGATACGGCTTGCTACGGATTGACTCCTCACCGCTTAGCTCGATATCGTGTTCGATCACCGTCGTGTTTCCGGGACGGTCTGACCACACGTCTCCAATCTCGGAAACAATCTTTCTCGGGTCCTCCTTTTGGACTTCACTTAAGCTAGGCTCTAGGTTTATCTGCTCCCGGATTACTTTCGATCCCCCTTCGATCACCTCACTAGAACTCAAATTTTCTGCTTCCTCTTCCTCTGAAGCCTTCAACAGCTGATTTACGACCGCTTGATGTTGAACATTGGGTTTCATCAAGTTGTAAATTTTGTTCTGCCGCCTTCCTACTTGCACCTCATAAGTTGTATCGCAAGGCTTCGATAATACTTTGGCGGGCCCTTCCCAATCAACCTCAAGCTTGTTCCTTTTGGATGGCTGCAGCCGCATTACCTGATTATCAACTTCAAAAGCGCGCTTCTTCCCCGATTTCTCGTAGTGCTCCTTCGACAGCACTTTTGCCGCGTTTTTCTGGCTTTCCACTCGCGCTTCAATTTGGCTTTCCACTAGCGCTTCAATCGAGAGATCCTCACGCTGCTCTCGAATGAGCGTCTCTCGATCAACTCTCGGCAGCTCGCTCCAACTTTCCGCTACAGGCGAGAGCGTTGCAGCCCTCTCGCTCTGATTCAATGGCGCCATGTCGTCTCCCCTTTCTCCGGAAACCGCGCAGCTAGGTTCGGCGACGGGCCGCTCGCGTGACTGCTCACATGACTCATGCGGAAAATTTCCTTTCTGGGGTTCCGTCGACCCGCCGACAAGGTCACTTGAGAGTTCACCGCATGGAACCAAGTCAAGCTTCCGCGAAAGCTTTCGCGCTTGCGATCGCGTGAGAACCATGCACGCTAAGTTGGGGAAGAACGATTTACCCTGCTCTTTGAGAAGCTGCTCTGAGTTGTTGGAGAAAAGATAAGGAAAACGATCGTTCAGCGCGGCAGACACAGCCGCTTCGGTGCGAAGCTTACCGAACGGGCCTTCAATGACAACCGTGGCGATTGGTAAGCGAACACTCTGCTCCTCGGCGACTTGCCTGATCCACGCGCATTCTCCTGTGAAGTCATCCGGAGACACCAATGAAGAATGGACAACGTCCATGGTTGCCGCTGAGTCTCTAAGTGCTCGGCACGTTTTCTCATTGACCCTAATTTCTTGGAGATACGGCTCCAACAACCGAATGTTTTTTTCTGATTCTCGGATCGTTGCGAAGGCAAACTTTTCCTGACAGTTTCTAGCGATGTGCCCTTCCTTTTTACAGTTGTAGCCGATTAGTGGCTTCCGTGATTCAAACGCCCGTGGGGTATCAGTGCGTTGTTTAGAAACCTCACTCGATTTTTCCGCTTCTGTTTTCCCTTCCTCTACAGTGTCCTTCGTAAGAGACGGGTCCTTTTTGAAATTACGGTGCGGAGCGGGTTTCCGTTGATCAGGTTTCTTTGAAAAGCCCTCCTTTCTTTCATCCTTTTCAACGCGCACTGCCCTGCTATGCAACTTTCGGCGAGTATAATACTCCTCAGCGAACTCTGCTGCCTTGTTTAGCTGTACTTCACCAAGTTTGTCCTGCAGCCAAAGTTTGACATCCTCCTCGATGCAGCGGTAGAATTGCTCCAGTGCAACGCATTCCACCACTTTATCGCGGTCGTCATAAACACCTTCGCCCTTGAGCCATTCAATCAAATCGGCTTTAAGACGAAACGCGAAGTCAACGTGTGACTCATTCCCCTTTCTAGCATACCGGAACCTTTGCCTGAAAGCCTCGGGTGACAACTTATAACGTCTCAAGAGCACTTCCTTAACCTCGTCATAGCTCTCAAACGCTTCCCTCGACAAGCAAGTTATCGCGTCGGACACTTCGCCGGGAAGAAGAGCTAGCAGGTTCCGCGCCCAAAGAGGCCGCTCCAAAGCGTTTCGCTCACAGACGTGTTCAAACTTGACGAGATACTTCGCCATGTCCTCGCCTACTACAAACGGTGGCAGTTGATCCCGAATTCTAAAACCGCTGACCTGAATCGTCGGAGAAGCTACGCTAGGCGCCTGCGAACACTGTAGGATTGCCAATTCTATTCGTTTCATCTCGAGACGCTCCTGTCTCTCGGCCTCCTCGCGACGTTCGCGCCTTTCAGCTTCTTCACGTTCGCGAGCTTCTACTTCTCGCCTTTCAGGCTCCTCACGGCGTGCTTTAATATCCACCCAGGCCTCATCGACTTCCTCAGCCGACACTCCCTCATCCTTCATGATCTCAAGGATCGCTTGCTTTCGTTTCGCACGGCCCAAAGTAATGCCGAGTTCCTCACAAATTTCGATGAGTTCCTTCACTTTAAGGTTCTCCATCGTTCACACTAGCCTCTTGCTGTTTGCCCCTGTTAACAATTTACTTGCCGTACCCACTATAAGTCAACTAGCAAGACGCGCAAGCAATTTTTCACTCTCCCATGTTTACCCCCTCCGCATTAACTTTGGTTTCAAAGCACTTCGACTTTGCTTGAAACGATCAAAGCTCACTCTAATGCTTCACACAGCCCTTCTCTAAACTACTACAACCTGAGCTAGAGTAGTCTGGTGAACTGAGGGGAAAACATCAGGCACTCACCGCATCGATGTCGCTGACGCCGGCCGATCCCACCGCTGCCACCACTGTTGCGAACGACGGACCGATCCCGCCGAAGCCACCACTGTTGCGAACGACGGACCGATCCCACCGCTGCCACCACTGTTGCGTACGACGGACCGATCCCGCCGAAGCCACCACTGTTGCGAAAGACGGCGACGCCAACGCGGCCCCGGAGGCGCCACTGCTTTCAAGTCCGCCGGGAAGGTCACCAGCCGTTTGGTAGCGTATGTTTCTCAGCTCGCGACTGCTTCTGCGCAGAGCCGATAAGACGAGTGGACGAGACGACGGTGAGTTAAACAAGGTTTATGTACAGCATATATACAGAGGCGTTACAATTTCGGCACTGGGGCCGACAGAGACTCGAAGAGCCGAGCTCTCCTCTCTAACACATAGGTCAGCCTTTCGCCTAAGACCGCTGACTCACACACATGTCGGCTCTCCGACATGGGGACTCCTCTCTCGTAGGACTGCCGATCGCGACGCGCCGCAGGGCTTCTTTTATTTACACCGGGTCCAACCAAAATGTCCAATCAGAAGCGCCGCTGGTCGTCAGGGCAGATTCCGCCAATGGGGGTCGCCGAGTCATGTGTCAGGCCACCAGACACGCGGACGCCGGCTCGCTGTCACGCGCGCAGCTGACTCACTGCACGTGGGCCAGAGGGGCGCCGCGCGTGTTCACGCCGTCGAGGTGATCGCGCCAGGCCGACTGCGGGCTGGCCTTGACCCAGATTGCCTTCTTCAGAGGCACGGTCGTTTGACGAGGACTCGCTGGCATAACAGCGCCGACCTAGAGTATATATACAGCACGACGGCGCATGCACTGTCAGCTGTTGAATGTTCTCGAAGCGCGACGCCACATGCGCGTCCACTGGAGAATCAGGAGAATTGTAGATGTCGAACGCGGTGTGTAGAGGAGGAAGGGTGCACAGATGGTGGAGGAGTGAAGCGCGCGCGGTGTGTAGAGGAGGAAGGGATGCACAGATGGTGGAAGAGTGGGCGACGGCGCGACGGCGCATGCGCGCGCGTCAGCTGTCGAATGTTCGAGAAGCGGTGCGGACGGCGCGGACGGCGCACTACAAGGCGCGAGTATAAGATGCTCCGCATCTAAAAAATGCTAAGCAAACGCTAGCAGCACAAACGCTACAAACCCGTTTCAAACGCATTGCATTGAGGCGGTGGCAAGTCACGTTCAGGTCAAGTAGGGGGGAAGGGGGGATCTGGTTGCTAAGGGCGGCGATGAGCACGCACGCCAGCAGCTGTTGCTGACAGCTGCCGACGCCGAAGCGTGACATGGTGGGGCCTTCGGCTGCTAAGAACGCGCCCGACCGCAGCTGTTGCTATGGGAGACGGCGGTGGACGGATCCCGACGGACGCGTGACGTAGCCCGTCTAAGAAATGCATTCGCATTTAAAACATCGATGAACTTGGAAGACTAAAAGTCAGCTTTTTGTTGTTAACTACACGTGGATACAGGGGTACATGCCTTGATATTTGAGGTACGCTGAACCAATGGAAAGCTAGGACTTAGTTTTGGCAGTCTGGTGTTATTTAACGGGAACATATATATATTATTCAATATTATTTTGACAGAGGGCTCACTTCCATTCAATTTGCACCAAATCGAAGAAAATGATGTTTGATCGGATAGCACGCATTTAATTTAAACGCACTGTTGTGTATGCTTTACAGTTTTTGACGCTCTCTGTTCATATCCTATATCGCAAAGGTCTCGTGCTCATCTCAACTATCAAATCGCAGCCCCAAAACTCAGTTCAATAAGGGCCGGAACCGTGGCAGTGAAGAAAACCACGGGGAAGAGGGGGTGTGTGCGATTTGAACATAAGTTTACCCAACGTTGTCGTTTGAAAGAACGTCATGTCATATCTTGTATCTGAAGGAGATTCGACTTCATGTTTGGAGACGGATATCGCTAGTGATCTTGAGAAAGACTAAAATTCCAAAATTGTGTTGTTCTTTTTCAGTGATGTTTCAACACATAGTGGCCACATGGGGTACCTCAGGAAAAAACAAACACTTGACACTAGTCGTGTGCCTGTAGCTCAACAGGAGTGTTTTTTTTTAATTGAAAGTTGGGAAATATAATGCCACTATCACTTAAAAAAGTCCCCTAAGTTTATTGCCTGTAAATCCGCGGAGCCCACGCGGGCTGCGTGTTTGAGACTCTATTGTAGAGTGAACTTTGTGAAACGTGATTTCTTAATTTATCTTCATATATCACTTACGGTAGGAAACTTCCACAATCAAGCCAAATGTGATTTCTTATCATCAATATATGATCTTTTCAGTTCATTTCACCCTATTCCGCATAAATTCCCGAAACCACCGCTTTGAAGAAAGTTGGAGAGTGCCCCTTAGCAACATTTCCAGCTTTATCTTGACAAATCGTTCAAATCAAACTTTTTTTTTTTGCCTTCGTTTCACACCACAACCATGCAACCTTAATGCACGAATGAGCAGCACAATCGGGTTTTTTTAGAGCGAATAAAGCCCTCGTACGTTACTTGGAGTCACGTCTGACTTGCTTTGGTTCGGTCCTGTGTCTTCGTCCACAGCCAAGCCTGTGGTCGCGGTGGTCAACAACACAGAGTTCTACGCCAACGGCTCCGACTACACCTTGGTCTGCATGGTGAAAGGGAGCTCGCCGCTGAACGCTTCGTGGGAATGGCACGAGTGCGTGGAACCGCGCGATTGCGACGACCTGGGCAGTGTGTTCGACCACCTGGCCGCCAACAGCTCCCACAAGAACGCTGGCACCCCGCCGGGACCTTTGGTGAGCAGCACTGAGGGACAGCGACACCGCAACCTGACGCTTCGGCTTAGTGCCCATCAGACTGGCCTGTACCGGTGCGTGGCCCAAAACTCGCAAGGCAGCGGATTCAGCGTCACCAGGTTCTACGTCACTGGTGGGTTCGCATTTACAGCACGAACGTGCGCCGTTCGTGCTGTAAATTTTGAAGCATGTTCGCACAGTGCGCCTAAAAATGAACTTTATTTGTGGGACGAAAAAAGACACGGCAACCAAGAGCAAAGATTGAAACGTTAGTGAAGAAAAAAAGTACCACAGAGAACCATTCTGAGCTAGTAAGAATCAAAGATGACTAACATACTGTTATGATTTTACCCCCCCCCCCCCCTAGTACGGTAGTACCACCCGAATCCCAGCCGACCCAGAAGCATGATTTGCCCCAGTTCTTTGCGGATGGACCAACCACTTTTGTAGTAAAGGCAGCTCTGTCAGCTTGCCTTATTACCCATCATGCTATGGTTTATCTTATTTCTAGCCTTACTTGCTAGCTACTTGACGTTTACCGTTCACTGTCGCATTATAGAATGCCTTCCGTTCTTTGTACGATTCTGTTTTTGACATGCTCAACTCCACTATTCTCTAATTTACTAATATACGTTGGTTGTCGGTGTTTATTCTCTCTTAATATTTTTATTCGTGGTCCTGTACGGAATCCGGCAGACGCAAGGAACGGCTTCGAGGTCATCGCCTCTGACGTCATACCCGTCGACCAGGATCGTGTGACGCTCAGCTGCCTGGCCAGCCAGTTCAAGTACGAGGGCCTCACATGGAAGTGGAAACCGAAAGGCTCCTCACAACTTTTCAGCCTCATCCCTAATGGTAATGGCGCCACAGTATTTTCAAAGTTAGCGTGGGTTATGAATAGCTTATTTCTTATAGGGTCTATTCCATGCAATAGTAATGGGTGAGACTTCTAAGGTTGCAAGTAATAACTAGCTATATTCTTGAAGAAACCGGCAATGAGATAAAGATTGCTACAAAGATTTCATTTTGTGCCCCCAATCAATCAATCAATCAATCAATCCGTTGATTGATCGATTAATCACCGCTCAGTCCTCGACAATGATTGTGAGCATACCTTTGTTTAGTTTATTTTTCCTGCTCCAGTATTTGAATGTGTCACTGTAGGAGCTCAACACGTGTGAGTTCAGGTCATGTACATTTAGCTAATGGCTTTATACTGCGATACCCTTCAGTAGTGTGCTCATTAATACGATAGAAATTATATGGACACTCTCCGCTGATTTCGCCGTCGCCGTCATGTCCCGGATAACATATATATGTATATATATATATATATATATATATATATATATATAGAGAGAGAGAGAGAGAGAGAGAGAGAGAGAGAGAGAGCACAAAGAAAAGTAAATTGGAAGAAGAAATTTCAGGTTGAGTGGCAATGAGGCGGCTCATACCTGTGCTCGAGGAATGACCGGCCGAGCGCAGGCCTCTGATGGCGCCTTAGACCACGCGGCCTTTTTCTGCGCGAGATATCGTCTTTTGACCTTCCACGATATAACAAATCACTACCGCCTACAGCGCACTATATACCCCCCCCCCTTACATCATGGAGCTTCGCGCTACCATGAAATACTATGGCACCAGTCATAGACGCGTACGTTTCCTACCCCATCTTTTCGCCATCTTATACACCCTGCGATATGCCCCTACCCTTTGTGCGTTTTCTGTCAACAAAGAGCTAACCTAGACCATATTATGTGGGGGTGTACTCGAAACCTACCACCTAATTCTCTACACATTAATAGTAAGGAGCAGTGGGAGGCTGCTATGTGCAGCTCGGCGGCCGAGGTCCAGGACCAGATTTTGGATTGGGCCAAGAGGGTAGCGGGGACCTACGCTGGGTAGGCTCCTCTGACACTCCACCTCCGCACCTTTCCCTCTTAGGATAAATGAAGTTTTTCTCCTCCTCCTCCTCCGGAGATTCAAACCAGTGACACCCCTTTCCTTAGAGCTCTGCATTAACCAACTAAGTCACGTTACTCACACTGTCGATCTCAGTAACGGCGAGCTATGTATATACACTACTTACCACCGGCTTACTGTCAATGGACTTAAAAGAAACATACTTGAACAAAGCACGTAATTTGTTTAGACATGTCATACACTTTTCCTTAGACACATACGTGTCCAATGGCATGAACAATGGAGGGGTGGGTTCACCGAACCACATGCAGTTAGATGAAAGAGGCATTCCAAAATGTCTCAGGCTCCACTTCCCCTCTGCAGCAACAGGAAAAATATCTCGCATCATGTCCAGGACTATTCGGGAAGTTGCTGGTCCTGTTGGGCCAGTGATTTTGGTCCCCATCGAAATGTGTGCCTCCCCTATCACTTTAGACGGACCCACTCAACTCGCTGCCTGCTTCGATCGCACTGCTTCGTCGTCGCAACTGTGTACGTGTAAACATAAACCTTGTGGGCTAACGTCATAATTTATTGCTGCAGAACTTCCATGCGGTGTGCCTACAGAGGGTGCCGGTGATAGTCCCTGGAGACTTCAAGGTTAATGTACTGCGACGGGAAAACCAGTGGCTTGTCACATTTCTTGATGTCGAACTTTGACTTCGCCTCCTGTCGGACGTGACGCAGTCAACTATTCCCAGCAACACCTGTTTAAATATTAGGGTTACTGCATCACAATCAATTAAAGCACAATTTATCGTATTCATACATTTCGTATCCTTTCTAATTACCCCAGCCATATTTCGTATAGCAGCCCGATAGGTTGCTATCGCATTCATTGATTCGGCCTTGTGCCGAAACTGTGACTTTTTCGCAGGTGATCTTGACGTCAAGATGTTGTCTACAGCGTTCTCCAACAACCTGACGCTTCACTTCAACCATATCAGCAAGAACCAGTCCGGGGAGTACCAGTGCTTCGGTTCTGTTCGAGGCGGAGGAGCACGGAGGCATATTGAGTTCATCAAAGTTGTCGTACGAGGTACGGTTCCGCGCTAGTTCTCCTTGCTGAATTACCATCATGAATATTGTGGAAAGGGCAACAAGAACTAGAGCGAGCGCTTACACTCTGGAAGTACGATCCACGTGACGCTTGCAAGTGTTACGACGAGTACTCATTTCGGTCTTTCAGAAGCACGTTGAAGTACAGCGCGCGTGCAAATGTGCGGTCAGTGCATCCTTTTGCTCTTCCTTCTGGGTTTGCTCCTTCTTCCTCTCCTAATGACAAAAGCTCGCAAAATTCAATTTAACTGGCGCATGATGCTGGCTCCCCTTCCCCCTCACATAACGCCCCAACGTTACCTTCTCAAACGTTACCATTGAAAGGCCGAGTTGACATTGATTGGAAATTTAGGAGGAGTCAGTATCCCTCCATCATGAATGCCCAGAATAGTTGCTAAAAAGCCATCTTGTTGAATCTATGAGGAGGATAGGTTTCATGTACTGCGAATAAATGCATGCGAGCTGCTTTAACCTCTGCATACATTTACAATAACAAGTTGCCGAGCACTGCCACCACCTCTTTGGTTTAGTTAGGTTTCGAAAGTCGGCAACAACGCAACGCTTTTTCACTATTGCCGCCCCTTTCACCCGCAATCTTTTCGCAGACATGCGTCCACCAGAGTTTAGCAAGACCAACCTGCACAACGACGTTCTGTCGTACATCGACCTGCAGTGCACAGCGACCGGCCTACCTGAGCCCAGCATTTCGTGGCTGAAGAATGGTAAGCCGCTTAACATGAGTGGCATGGACTGCCTTGATGAAGGCCGCTGGATTGTCAAGCGGAAGATGACGCCTCAGGACAGCGGCTTCTACCAGTGTCGCGCCGAGAACAGGGCCGGAGTCATCTACGCCAACACCACCATCAATGTCGCCAGTGGTACGTATACGCACTATGTGTATACGGGGCGGCCTCCGCGATAACTATCGCAGCGCGCTGTTGTACGTTGCCGGAGCTAATCGTGGAGGCCACAATATGGGAGCTCTTGTAAATTGTCACGAGTAGGAGTGCCACTTTGGGCATGTGTGATTCAGTCAACTTGTTTAGACCCTGTTAACGGCCACTTTACACTATACATGATTCCTCATCGCAAGTAATTAAATGAAAGCTTTACATACCTCGTGCCAATGTGACCTTGAGCGAAAAGTGAGCGTCGACTCGAAATGGGACAGTCACATAGAGCTTTTTTCGGGAACGTCGCTTGGCTGTGGAAGTGTTAGGACGGGCTTTCGCTAACGTAAATTATTTCAGTCGTTTCAATTGTGCCCAGTTTGATGCTTTTAGTACCAACAAACTCGTGAAGTTGTAGCGATCACGCCTATACCAAATTTTGGGAGGTTGGTGGGCTTTTACGATATTATCACGCTTTTTTGTTCGGCCCCCGCCGCTTCGAAGCAAACGCTGACTGCATTTGAGCTGTCGCGGCACGGTGCTGCTGCTGCGGCGACCACCTCGTCTCTCTCTTGTGCGGACATTGAGACTGTGCACTGATGGAAGAGGACGGAGAGCTTCTGACTCCCGAAGACTTCGCCAAGGGTTGTGGATGGCAAACAGTTGCTGCCAGGCATGCCCGAGACAAGTCGGCGTCCGTCAAGCAAGTTGGAGCTGTTTCCACCGGTGCCCACCCGAACGACAATGTGGCTGTCCAGGGTCGTCGAGACTGCGGCAGAGCTAAAACCCGGATTATTCATAGCGGAAGGATGCCTCCACTGCCCATCGATGAAGAAGGTCATCGTCAGGCCGATGGGAGGTCTTAACATCAGCAAGGTTGGCCCGACCGTTTTGGCCGAGGTCATATGGAAAGCGGTCGGCATCGACTCGTTGCCGCAGGACGCGGACACTTTGTGCCCGAATTTTAAACAAAACATCATGGTTGAAAGTACGCCCTGCAGGGAGAACGTGATTCGTTATGCCAACGTGGAATGCATTGTTGTTGTGGGTCAGCAGCACAAAGTCAACGCGTACGAAGCGGCTCCCGATTCTACGTACAAGGGCGTCATCCGAGGCATTGCCCCGAGTGAGGGTCCGACAGAGCTCGACTGCGAGATAGTCAACTCAAAGAACCCGCTGGCCCTGGGGGCCAAACGACTCAAGAACACGAGCGCCATGGTTGTGGTATTCAACGGCTACAGGGTGCCAAACTACGTCTCGTATGGTGGAATGCTCGTCCGCTGTACGTTATATGGAAAACAAGTAGAGGTGTGCTACGCCTGTGGCCGTCTTGGACATCGAGCAGACGTGTGCCCCAGTCCAGACGACACCGTGTGCAGGGGATGTGGCATCTCCAATCCGTGTAAGAACCACACGTGCGACCCCAAGTGCAAACTGTGTTGTGGCCGGCACCTTACCGGTGCCAAGGTGTGCAAGGAGATGCACCAGATGCCCTACCTTGTGAGATGCAGAGGCGCAGAGCGATCCCGTGGAAATAGAAGCAAGTCTTCTGCCTTCGCTCAGGACGACCGCCACTTCTCGGCCCAAGCTGGTCACCACGGAGCCTGCGGATGCTCCAGCTCCAGTAGCCCCTCTTCGTCAGTTACCTCCTGGCCTTCCGGACGTCATTCCAGGTCCCGAAGCAGATCCAGGTTCAGGGGCAGATCTGGATTCACCAGCCGTTCTGCCTCCAGGACCGGGTCCGGTTCCAGTAACGGCCAGCAGAAGAAGACGAAGCCGACCCTTACATGGACTGACAAGGTTCGTCGTGGCAGCGAAACGGGACCTTCTCAGGGTCCACACGACCCACTCCCAGAGCAAGCTAGGGACGCCGAGGTAGCCCGCCTTCAGAAGTAAAATGTGGAATTAAAAGAAATTATCAAGAAGATGGCTAGCAAAATGACTGAGATTAAGAAATTTGTTATCAGTCATAGTGCTTCATATACAGCTTCGCCACCGTTCCTTACCGAAGTACCGATTCCGGCTAGCAACTCAGCCGCGGTCCCTAAGAGCAGGGCACTTTCTAATAAGAAAGAATCAGGTGCTCAAATCAGGTGCACGCTCACTACAAGAGCGCAGCAGTTACAACAAGGTCTGGCACTGGTGCAAGTTCCCTTAGATGACCCGAGGAGAGGCCTGTGGGCCCCGCCGTGGTGGTCTAGTGGCCAAGGTACTCGGCTGCTGACCCACAGGTCGCGGGATCGAATCCCGGCTGCGGCGGCTGCATTTCCGATGGAGGCGGAAATGTTGTAGGCCCGTGTGCTCAAATTTGGGTGCACGTTAAATAACCCCAGGGGTCAAAATTCCCGGAGTCCTCCACTACGGCGTCTTTCATAATCATATGGTTGTTTTGGGACGTCAAACCTCAAAAATCAATCAATCAGAGGCCTAGGTGCACGGGCCGATCGAATGGGTGCTCTATAGCGTCTCGTTATTTTTAGTAATACGTCCGCTACTCCAGTGCAGGTGGTTCTTCCGGACGCTTCGGGTAATCGAGTGAGGGCTACAAGCTCATGGGTGACTCAGGCTGGCGGGAACATTTTACGTGCTGCTTCGCTTACACCGGGCAGTAAAGAAAGTCTGCCTAATCATGAATGGTTCCACAGAAAAGTTCACAGTTTGGCAATGGAGCTGCAGGGGGTACTCCAACAAGAGGGCCCCGTTACATCAGTATTTTAGATCACTAGTTAATAAACCACAGATAATAGCATTAAAGAAAACCCTAGTTGCTGCCGCATCTCTTCAAGGTTATCGAGCCGTTTCCGGTCAGCCCGGTCTCGTGGTCGGGGAGTATGCACATTAGTGGATAAGAAATATACGCACCTGTCTCATGACCCGAAGCTGGCGAGTTGCGATGTAAAATACGTCATGTTGGAAGTTTTGCTGAACACGAGATTTCACAGCCAGCGAAGAAACAGCGTATTTATTCTGAATATTTACAGCACTCCTAGGGACTCCCGACAGCAGTTTCAGACGATACTGAAGAAGTCCGTTGAGCTTTTCAACGCCCCTCATGGACTATGGGGATACGTTTACGACACGAGAAAAGGCCGAAGATTGTGGGAGAACGTCAACGCATTATATATATATATATATATATATATATATATATATATATATATATATATATATATATATATATATATATATATGTGTGTGTGTGTGTGTGTGTGTGTGTGTGTGTGTAAATCTTGTACAATGAGCAAGTCTCGTCGATTGCAATACAAGCTTGATATCATCGATTCTCATTGTACATGCGGATTTAAGGCTACCACGTTGGAATATGCAGAACCACGCCACAATTTCTCACTCTTTCAGGAATACCAGCACCCATCATGAATACCACGCACGTCGCCTTGCTAAGCGTCGTCTTCGTCATCGCCATCATCTGCTTCTTGATCGTGCTCGTTTGCTGCAAGAAATATCGTGCACATTTGGTGAGTGCAGCTATCCTTCATATACCCGGCTTTCCGCTCAGGCACTCTAATTATTAGCATACTTTTGCACGCATTTTGTCAGGTAATTACGCACCCCTTCCGCAGAAAATCGACGTTATGAACCACTCTGAGTGTTAAACCTTACAAGGCACATGATGCCTTATAAATTTGCCTTAACTGGATATTAACTGCAATGCTTATGTGGGTAACCTGGTATCTGCCGAAGGCGACAATTCGTAATTCAATTCCATTTTTCGTGTGTAATTATGAAGTATCCCGTTTCGCAGATATTTCGGTGTCGGCGTCTTTGGTTGTGAGCGAAAAATTAGCGTTGTCCATGACCGCGAAATTGAGAAAAATGAAAATTAATAGGAACTTGCACCATCTTTCGCTAAAGGGAACCATGTGTACCTACGAAGCAGCGGGGCTAACGCTTACACTGGTGGCGACGTTGACGCTGTCGCTCAACAAGCGAAAGCCAAGTGAAGACGCCCTTGACTGAATTCCGAAAGCGAGATCTCGTGCCTACATATATGGGCTGGCCAGTGAACGGTTGTGCAGCGCGAGCAATTGATTTTTTACAAGCAGACGCCGCCAGAATCGGCCTTGCGAGGCCAGAGAGGGGGAGGAGAGCGACAGTTTTGTGGGTGTCTTACTAGGCCAGCCGGCACGAAACGCCAGCATGCCCAATGGGGTTGTACGGAGGGACAGCATTACACAGGGTAGTTAAAGAGCTGCTTCGCATCTAAAACTCACTTAAAATGAGAATCAAACTCAGGCCTTCTTCGTAGCAAGCAGCAATTCTACCACAGAGCCACGTCGTTGCTTGAACCTGCCTTGAAAGAAAAAAAACACCTTTAAATTCTATGTAGCTTCTTGTACACCGTCTCCAGCGACTTCAAGTCCAGCTCAGTGAACAAGAAACCAGTATGTGGTTTTAAAACGTAAGATCACTTAATCAGACTTGGTCAGTGACTGTGGTTCATCTAATACAATGCCTGATTAAATTAACTATCGTCGAAATATTGACAATGCATGTAGTATTGCGTGGCGGGAGTGCCGAACCGCGCCAGCAGTGAAAACATGGGAATTTAACAATGAGTGGGTGATTCAAGTATACCCACCCATCACAAAGCGCTCAGGCTTCATCATTATCAGCAGCAAAAGCATCCACACAGTGAGAAACTGCGTAGGTTCGTGTGTCATATCACGGATGCGCAGTGGTCCCTTCATTGATACGGAAAAATTATGGCGCAGTGGGCGCTGAACAGCCGTACTTACCATAGGGATTCTAGGATATCAAGAAACGATCATTTTTGCGCACAGAGACGTTCGTTCTCTTGTGGCGTGATTAAAGCATGCACCAAGAATCGAAAGCCAATTGAGAAGGCGACACGCACGGGTCGGCACCGGGTCTGATTACGCCACAGTAATTTAATATCTAAGGTGAAGCTGAAACCTCCCTTTCCAAGTTCTTTGCTTTAATTTTATTAGCTGCAAGAAAGAAAAAAGTACATATAAAACGAAATACACATGCCGACATTACCCATGAAATTAGCCAACTGGCCATAATTCAGTAGTGTCTACTGTGTCCTGATTTATTGTTCTTTTTTTCAGTAAGGATTCTGTCGAGTTCTAAAGTAATCTAACACTCAACCTATGAAGTGTTGAAAACAGTATTCTGTAAAGCCTCAAAAAAAAAAGTTGACAGATCCCACGTACAGTGGGAATCCCTGATATGCGAAGCAGAAATGAGGAAGGTCGACATGTCACTTTGAAATCACCACAACGTTACGAGGGGGAGATAAATGATGCGGTACATGACTTCCGTGTCATGGTTATCATGTTTGAATGCGTTGTTTACCTTCGTCATCTATCCACGTCACGTGATGCCAAGTTTAGTATATATGGAGCTAGCAAATAGTCGCGAGCACGTTGTGAACGTGGTATGTTGTCATGTTCCTAAATTACGCGTGTGTCATGAATATCATGATTGCACCAGTCATATGCCTTCATCATCTATTGACGTCACGTAACACCACATTTCATATATGTGGAGCTAGCGAAACAGCCGTGAGTGCATCATTAAGGACCCAATATACTCCAACGTAACGCTGACGCGCGCACACGCAGCGCACGGCGACGCTACGTTAGCAAAACGCGAGCACTGTATAGTCTGACGCCAGGTGCGACCAGCATCCGTCGGCGCGGCCCGACGGCAACTGGCGAAAAATGCGACATGCTGCATTTTGCGCCGATGCGTTACCCAGGCAACACTGTGTCTCCCTCTTTTCGGGACAGAGGGACGCTGGACGCGCTGAAACGCGCATGCATCAAAGCAATGCAGCGCGGCGTGCGCCGGCGAGTATATGGCACGACCGGTGCCTCGCGTGGCAATGGTCGCGTGACACGACGAAATGAACGCCGGCGAGCACGCGCACTCCGTCACGTCGAAATGTGTTGGCGCCTTGACTGAGTGTTCTCACACGACACTCATCTCATGATTATCACGTTTGCACCACTCATACATTTGTCATGCATTGACGTCACGTAATACCAAATTTGGCATATGTGAAGCTAGGGACACGGCCGAGAGCGCATCATGTGTGTGGCATGTAGTCATGTTTTTACATGACACACATATCATGTTTATCATGTTTGCACCAGTATCATACTTTCTTCATCCATTCACGTACCGTAATACCAAATTCGGTGTATGTGACGCTAGCGAAATACCCACGAGTGCATCATGAGTGTAGCAGGTAGTCATGCTGTTACATGACATGCATGTCATGATTTTCATGTTAGAGTCTGTCGCTTGTGTTCGCCATGCAATCATGTCATACTATACCAGTTTTGCAACATGTCATGTGAACAAAACCACCACAAGAACAGCAAGACCATGAAATGTAATTCATGACATTCTTGACATACATATCATGATTTTCATGTTATGACTGGTCAAACATGCTCGTCATACAATTATGGTATGCCATACTAAGTTTGATATTGATATCATCATCCAAACGGGCAGGAGAGCTAAAAGTCCTAGGCGGCTAGATAGATAGATAGATAGATAGATAGATAGATAGATAGATAGATAGATAGATAGATAGATAGATAGATAGATAGATAGATAGATAGATAGATAGATAGATAGATAGATAGATAGATAGATAGATAGATAGATAGATAGATAGATAGATAGATAGATAGATAGATAGATAGATAGATAGATAGATAGATAGATAGATAGATAGATAGATAGATAGATAGATAGATACGCTCGAAGTCACCGAAGTTCACTAAGAAATGCTTCGCATTTAAAAGTTTCAAGCACGTAACGTTACGCTGACGTTCCAGTGATAAGTTCTCGGCGTGGAGCTTGAGAAGACGTTTGTCTTCCTTTTAATCACTATAGTAATCAGTGATACCTTATTTAAAGAAAAGGTCTTGCCGTAGAATCGTTGTTCACAAAAACTTCCTGCCAATCCTAATGCTGGACGCATTGGTCAGCTAGCAAATTAGCACCCACGAACTTCGGCCCCGAGGGATGATTTCAGAAATATTTCGTTATTCAGTATTTTCTGCTACTAGCTGACCATATTTGCTAACCGGCCAACATTATGATTGGCTGCGATCATATTCTCTTATTCTCTTATTAGTGTAAGATTGTGTTCATGTATGTAAGCCCAGTTCTTTATTAAAAAACTCAGTGTTCTGGAAGCTCAGCTTGCTTTATTGTTTCTTTATAAAGATAAAAGGGCTTGCCTGTAGTTTTGATTTCCTTTTTCGTCATATCAGAAAGAGGAAAAAGAGATGGAGCTGTTTGACAAGACAATTTTCGACAAAGGCCAAGTGGACATGTTCAACCCTGACCTCCCCCTGTGCGAGCAGGTAGAGCTGTTGCCCTACGACCAGCGTTGGGAGTTCCCAAAACATCGTCTCAAGCTCGGTATGTAGCTGATTCTGTTACATAATGCACATAACCCCTGCCGGCCAGAGCAGGAGGTCTCGTGTTCGATCACCCGATTTCTGAAGATTGTAAGCCACAACGCTAAAGTGCTCCGATATCCGCGCGCATGAAAACCGTAAGCTATAAGAATTCATCCAATGTAAACGCAGTGGCGCCTGAAAGGCGATGCATTAGGAGAGATGACAACGCGTTTCTATCACTGACAACGCGTTGCTGTCGCTTGCTATCGCTTTGTGTGGCTGTCTATAGAAAGCTACCCAGTGAGGCTTATAGTTTTATTCGTCCTGCCAATGATGGTAAACACTCGCTTACTAATTAAATTCACAAGCATTACGTCACGCTTGCACATAAACATGGGTACATCTGACACCATCGCCATGAGAATGACTTGTGAGAATTGTGAGAGAATCACAATGGTGTGCAAAGAGATGTGAGCTATGCTGTCAAGGCTACTCTATGCGTTACCTTTCCTCGCCTTCAAAGTGTCCCCGAAACTTACAACGCTAGACGCGTGGAGGCAGCACGCACTTATACACTCAGAGGTCGGGGGTCTGCATTGGGTCGAGGGTCGTTCTAGTTTTGAGTGAAATCTTTTTGAGTATTGTTGAGCGTGGCCTAGAGACTGCATTGGACTTGGCGGTGGTGAAAACCTTCAGATACGTGGACGAGTACATGTTTTTTTTTTTTTTTGAGTACTATCGGTGTGTATGCACTGGGACCGATGTTTTGAAGGTTTTCAAAGAGTTGGGGTTGGGGCTAGAGTTTACCTGTGAGGTTCCCAGCAAAGGTTGCATACAGTTCTTAGATTTGAGCATATCTTTGGGTGGAAACTGAGTATGTTGGATGTACGCCCTCCGTAGTGTAAAATCTATCATCGACTTCTGTTCGGGTATTTCTAAAATAATAAAGAACGATGTTGCGATGGCCTGTCTGGGAGCGTCACTCAAGAAGTCGTGCCTACACCACCTGCAAGAGAATTTTGCACGGCAGGCTGAGAGGCTTCGGCAGTCTAGGTTCCCAGAACGCCAATTAGCGGTCCTAAGCAAAGGGTCTTGCAAAGGTTGAAGTTTGAAGCGCGGGGTATAAGCCGAATAAAACAGACTTAAGGGGCTCTTTTTGTAAGCATTCCGTAAGGTCACGGGGTTTCCCATAAGCTGAAGAAAGTTGGGGACAGGTTCGAATGTAGTGTGGTTGTTTTCTGTTGCAGACAAGCTTGGCCTGATTTGTGCGGCTGTAGGTAAGAAGTTATCTAGACAAAGCGAGCGGGTGTACGGGTGCACCGTGATAAATTGGTCGAGTGTGCCAAAAAGGTAGTTTCTGATACACCACTATCTTGGGGGAAATTTTATGTCAGGCGGACAGGACAGTGTGTAAACAATAGATTGTTAGACGATAAGGCGTCTTTGATGGGGACACCTTGTTCAAATCTTTTGTTGCGCTGAAGGGGTGTGCAGCTGCACACGCTTGCTATCATATACCAGGGTGCTCGCAAGAATGAAAAAAAAATTGCACGAGAAATGGAGAAAGCATATTTTGTTATATATTAGGCAACATATGCGTGGCGAAGCCCTCAGTCACGTTACATTTTACCGAGATAGATTACTTGAGTGTTTGCCTATAAAAGAATTTATTTTCTGCAAATATGACTAGTGACTTTGTTAACCTGTATATATATATATATATATATATATATATATATATATATATATATATATATATATATATATATATATATATATATATATATATATGTGTGCGTGCACTCTTTCGAATAAATTTAGCTGATAGTTTGCGCTTGTCCTTCTCTCGTGTTTATTTTTCGTGCCATAAGCTACATGATTGAACGAACTTGCCCAGCAAGTCACTCTGCTGCCAGCCATTATGCAGGGTGCAAGGGCCTTCCGCTCAACTGGCCTCTGTATACACCTGTCGCAGATAACTTGAAACGCGGGAGGAGAAAAGTAGGGGCTTCTTTTTCGTTTAGCCATTACGAACGTCGCTGAAGGTCGCAACTGCCAGCCATCATTCGCAGTTGCATGCTCACAACCACCATCTTTAGACTGGTTCAGCGTACGAGCTTTCCGACCTGCCAGTTCTATTGCTTATGCAGCAACTACAGCACTAAAAAAGTTCATGTCAAGGCCACTCATCCTTATCATGTTGGTATGGAGCTGAGTTCGTCGACTCGTATCACGCAGTGCAGTTCAGCTTCGGTACATAAGTATATTCTTCAATGTTTTCAACTGCTTTCGCTATCAGTTGTTAAAATAATTACGTTCCCACGCTGCGTTATTATGTGGGTGCTGATGGAAAACTGACGAGTCAGGTCAGATGCAGTTTTTAAAAACGATAGTCTTTCTTGGGGACCTTCGACGCAAAAATTTTGGTCTGTCTGTATGTACATTTGTCTGTTTGTCCACTCTCAACGGCATCGGGTACTCGAAACGGCGGACCTAATTCGCAGCGCCCACCAATAATGCTCAAGGTTTAGCGTTCACGCTTGTGCAATTGTCAATTTAAAAGTGATTATTGCGCATGTCTGGGGCACCATAACAACACATATATATTCTGCATGTGCGCCTTTTACTAGAAAAGCGTACATAAGTAATTTTTAGGACCGTAGCGCTTATCGCGCTGCAGTGACCATGCAACACTTGCACGGAACGGGGAGTGTTTTCAACGCTTTGCTAAGACGAGACGGTGGTGGCACCTAACCGTCGCCTTGAGTTCTACACCTTATCACCTCCGAGACGGACGCGCAGGGCATGCGCGCTTTGCTTTTTAAGATAACTGCCAGATCGCGCTCGTGTCTCACGTGTGACGTGGCTTGATGTGCTTGTTCGCCCCCGTGCACGCTCGAGGCACTCTAAAGCAGTGCTTCCAGAATACCAATCACCGATTGTCTTGTTCACTCTCTCCACACGCAAGACTATCTTCTTTCTACGACATTTGCAGAAACATGCAAATACGGGGCCATTTTTTTTTTGTTAGGGGCGAAGCTCCTTATGGCATGGCTTGTGTGTCCCCGTTGTGGGTAACCACCACTCGGTAATTCTTGAACCGGCCATAGAGAATGGTACTTGTACTATATGCTCAAAATTGCAAATTGTATGACACTAGAGGGCGTTACTTGTAGAAAAGAAGGATTAACATCACGCGTACGAAAGGAGAGAGAGATGATCACGCGACTACACTCACGTGTTCTTCGGTGGTGCCGTACGCCGGGAGGCGCTCTAAAGTACATTAAAAGCACCGTTTTGGCGCGCGACGGAACATGAACAAAGCTGCTGAGCGGCGTGCGCGCAGGGCGGTGGTGGCTCGCGTTCGAAGGAGGGACCCCGACGTGCGGGCGCGCGAGGCAGAAGCGCGCCGCGAGGACACTGCTGTACGGCAACGGAAGGCCGAAGCAGCGCGGCAGCGGCGTGCGGACCTAGCTTCACCCCACTCTTCATCATTCATCCCGTGAATATGCTGTCATTTTTTACATTTCTGGTCATTGCAGGAGAAAAATGGGACGTTTAGTTATACCTACGGAATCCAAATAGGCTGCACCTTTGAATTAAAGAAAATTGCATTTTGCATGCTACTTAAATAGAATGAATAGACTTGTTGCGTACATTAGTTTTTTCTGAATTATTGAAAAAATGCCCTGAGGCAATGTTTTTCGCGGTCGTTTGTGTGCTCAATTCATGCATAGTAGCATTCTGGTATCTGCAGGAAGGACCTTGGGACAAGGTGCATTTGGCCGGGTCGTCAAGGCTCAAGCCGTTGGTCTCGGCGATGAAGGACAACCACTCACGGTTGCTGTGAAGATGCTCAAAGGTAAGCCTTCACAATTCTTTGGAGATACAAAAAAGAAACAGATCGTCTTACTTGACAAAAAAAAGCTCCGTTAAATAATGCCCCTGAATTGGTTTCCCTGGTTTACCTTCTTTCACTAAATTCTCACTTCTATCCAGAACGATCCGATATGTCTCAACGCAAGGCATTGATGGCCGAACTCAAGATACTGATTCATCTTGGTCGGCACCTGAACATCGTGAATATTATTGGAGCCGTGACGAAGAACGTAGCAAAAGGTAAGCCTCACAGCTGCATCTATATCTAAGTTCGTGTATGCGTTGCTACTTTAGAACCGCAATGCAGAGTTGACGAAGTTACACCGTGATTTATTCCACTTAAACACCACCACCACGTAGTACAAGAAGTAACATTCGGTCTGTTTCTGCGCAGTGATTGAACAAAAACTCGTAGGCTTCTTTGCGGACTCGCATAAGATGACTCGAAGTCGAAAGACATCTTCCTCATTTTTTTTTCCTTCTCACCCTATGTATTGATCATCTCCCCCACCTCTCCTTCTGATAACTTTCTGCAGCTATAGGGGCTGTGGTCTTGCTCCACGATAGGAGACAGCGCAAGCTTTCTACAGCTCACCTGGTTTTGCGCTGCCTCCAAGAGATTGGTCCTTTGACCATTGACCAAGTGATGGCGTCATGTGATGACTGCGTGATGTGACGTCACAATGACGTCACGCATTATGGTGATCTGTTGCCCTATATGTGACGTCATTACGGGATGACGATTTTTCTGCATCATTTGCGCTGACACATCACTCGCGCCCACATTAATTGTCGGCGCAAACGCCGACAATCAATTTTCGTCTTCGATGAGGTACCTCACGTTTTCGCCTTAATAGAAATGAACAAACCAGCCCCATGAAGTACTGCATTTAAACTACCTGAACTCCGGTGCAGATCAAATGTGAATAAAAAAGTTATTTGTGAAAAATTGGCGCGGCTAATCTGCGTTTCCGTAAGATACTTGAGCAGTAGTAGTAGAACTTGAACATGGCCGTCTAGGTGTCGGAGCACCTCAGTCTGGTTGTTTCCGTGAATTTCTTTGTCGCAGGTGAATTGATGGTGATCGTGGAGTACTGCAAGTTTGGCAACCTTAGGCATTATCTTCTTAGACACCGGGCGCGCTTCGTGAACCAGCTTAACCCGTCGACGGGAAAGCTGGATCCGGACATGTGCTACAGCCCGAAGTCACCAACTTCGACGTCGCCCGGTTTCCGATTCGCCCTTTCAAATCCCGTTTACTGGTAAGTGGCATATGTGCTATACGGCCGAAGAAGAATGTCCGATTGCACAGGACTAGTCTCATGATCGTTTACATGTTTGTTAGTGACACGAGTGCCATGTGACACTATGTATATTTTCTACCTTTCAGACAGCCCTGTCTTGTACCTGTGCGACTTGTCCAAAAACCCCGATAAAAATTAGAACGTGTAAAATAGGAGGGGATGAGTTATGCCTAGGGATCTGCATGACAGAGTGGGTGTTAAGTTGCGACAAAATTTGAACTTTGAGTCACATAATTAGTGTAAATTAGTACAAACCGGAATTACATTTCAGAAATCTACCTTATGCATAACTTAGTTACATTTGAAGGTCAGGGGCTTTAATGGAGCTTGTGGTGGCATCTCTGACAGATGAAATCTCAACTACGCGCATCTCTCTACGTTGCTTCGGCAACACGCGAAAGACTATCGTCGAAAACTTAGACAAAAAGAATGGTACCAGTGCGAGTGTCCCTCAGACCCTTATGATTTTAAGCCGGACCACTTGATATTGAATTTCTTCCTTTTTTTTGCTTATCTCTTTCTGCACTCTCTGCATAGCACCATGATTATTGTTCACGTCATGTCGTCATTCTTGAAAAAGAAGAAAAAAACAGGCGTTCTTTGTCCTGCAGCTATTGTGAGCTTTCCTTAAGCTTACCTCATAAAGAGAAAGATGAAGAACCAAAAAGCTGTCTGGTTGAAGTTGTTAAGACGGGACAGTCAACCAACTATAAACAATCTAACGATCTCAAACAACTAATTTTCAAAATAACGTACAGTGATACTTGTTTGTTGAAAGCGGCATAGAGAGTTACTATTTCATACCACCGCATTAATGAGCGACTTGTATGCACGCGTAAGGAACAAGCGAATGAAAAAAAATGAACTGGCTTAACATACACAGATAACAGAAAATAAACGTACGTGATCCCTATTTCTAGGATGGGGCATAAAATTGAAGTGAAAAAAGTCTTCACGGAAGAAGTTGAGCGTTTGTTGTGCATCGTTCTGCCACAAGGGCGAAGGCATCAATGCGACAGCAGCGAATTGCAAAGTCACGCGAAGGATGGCGAGTGGCCGGAAACCTGCAGCACGCACGTACCTCAGGCAGAAAGCACGCACGAAATGAGCATACACAGGACGAGCGCGGACTTTCAACTCTTTAGGTGTCACATCTCGTCACTTAAAGCGCGCAGTGCAAACAGAAAGACGCAAGGAACGAGCGTACAAGTGTACAAAGGACATGGGTGAACAACTGCCACAATTCTTACTTCTTCGTGAGTGAGCAGTGTGCTTTCTTCGTAAACGCGGCCGCGGCAACAAGCGAAGTGACCGTTGTGCTCTCCAGAATGGCGAGTTTAGATAAGCATGCGCGCAGGAGAGACCACGCTCCGTGGAGGCGGCGCTCATCGGAACGCGAGAGCCGATGAGGCGACGACCTTTTGAGCGCGCCAAGCGCGAGCCGTTCGCGCCATCTCGCTACTGTTGACAAAAACGCGCTGAAGTTGCGGAACTTTGAGGACCGCCAAATGGTATGTGATGTATATAAATGGCTGGTCGTTCACAACTTTGATAACATATGCTTCGCGGCCTATGCTTAGCGCCGCGCGCTGCGGATCGAGAGGTCGCTTGTCCGACGCCCCCCGATGGAGTCTATAGCCTTCTCAATTTTTTTATGCAATGTGCAATTATATACCTTACAATATCATATACGTCACGGAAATATGACAGCGGAGCCGTGGTTGAACTCGGCTTTAAACACTCCCGCGTTAAAAAAGAAAGACAACGCAACAATATGACCCTTATGTTATCGCATAAGCAGAATGGTCAGAACCATGATCAGAAGGCTGCACAGCGTGTGATACTAAGTACATCGTGACGACACTGTGACTAGGGGGGGGGGGGGTCAAAGATTTAAAGGACTGACGCGGCAATACACGTTGTGTGTGTTCTGGACTTGTAAACTGCGTCCAAGTAATTGTATTTTACCTAAAGAAGCGAAATGGCATACTCTAGCTGTTCGCTCAAGCAGTACTTTCACGTTCTTTATTTTGAAGTACTTTTACTTTCACTTTCCCTCTTTACGGTGCATCCATGTTCTCTTCTCAATTTTTTCCTACGGGTAGCCGACTGTTGGTCAGTGTACTAAATAATCATCAGCATAAAAAGGAGCGAGGTGAAAGTTTTGTTAGAGGAATGCGGAAAGCACACATACAACGAAAAGGGCGGCCAACGTTAACGGAATTGTTAGTGACACTACTTGATATGGAGCTTTATCCACGTGTTTTTTCTACCACCAAAGTCCTTGTCTCTCACCATCCCTTCGTCTCCTTGTATACATTAGCGGTGTCTCAAGATAGGGCTGGAGCTATCGGAATGAATGTGTTCCTTGTCCTCCCCTGAAACATATACAGTTGATTCGATGTGGTGGCATTACACCTTCGATGGGACGAGCTCAGAACTTCCGCACGTTCTCGGCCCATAGGAAAACATCACCCGTGCGTTACGTGCCACGAAAGTGCTATTGATGTTCTTGCGGGTTCGAGCCTCAGAACGAAACTTTGCAACAGTGTAATCTCTCTCTCTCTCTCTGTGCATTTTAGAAAGAGAGAGAGAGAGAGAGTGCTCACATCTCCACAATTTCAATAACGCATATCGGCCACTCTCATTATTTTTAGAACATAACTTCATGCTGCTAGGTGCGTTGATCGTGCTGCCCTCAACGCACTCTTTCAGCCAACAGAGTCCGCAGCAGCAGACCACGCCGACGCTGAAGTACGCCGATCTGGCGATGAGCGCGACACCGACAAGCAGCGGCAACGAGTTCAACTTCTCGGTGTCAGACACCACGGACGGCTTTCCGCCGGAGAGCGGCACGACGCTCATGAGCGGCTCCTCCCTGCGCGACCACGGAGACATGCGCGACGCAGCACTCACCACCCGCGACCTGCTTTGCTTCGCCTTCCAGTGCGCTCGCGGGATGGAGTACCTCGCCTCGAGAAAGGTAATGTCGCACTCACTTTGCCCGCGCCAATGTGATATACACTCACCGAGCGTTGAGCCTTGCAAGAAAACCGGTGAACCGACGCTTTGTGGGAACAAGTTTTGGCTGTACTTCTGCAGATATTGTGGCTATATCGTTCGAGGCGTGGACCTCAATGGAAACGAGGAGTTCACACGCACATGTTACGAGGGATGAATTCAAGGAGCCCCTACCAATAATAATAGAAACTTTTTCTTCAACTCTTTTCCTATTTGCTTGGCTGGCGGGGGAGGTGTCAGAGGAGGGGGGGGGGGGGTCGGCGTTTTTAAAAAATAATTATTGCGCTTCTCCGCAAGACGGGATACCGTTAAACCTTCGATTCGTAAAGAAGCGTTCTGAAAAGGCCTTTGGTTTTATTTTGCACCCATAACTAACTACGATTGCTTCGAAGACATGAAGAAAAATTGGTGAACTCGGTGCTCGAGATTACCTAAAAAGCAAGTTATTATTCCATTCCTGGTAACCTCCAGCCCTGGTCTAATCGGATATCATTTAGCATCGACACTACTGAAGAGAATTCGAACAATATTCTATTATTGTTCACGTATAAATGCGTGTTAAGTAATACGATGATTTCGTTCTCGACCGAGTGCGAGATAGTTCAGCTACGTTCGAAATGTACAAATGAGGAATGCATGTAACGCATTATAATAGCAAATTGTTGGGGATTAACGTACCGAAACCACAATATAGGAGAGACGCCGTAGGGGAGGGTTCCGGAAGTTTAGATCATGTGTTGCTCTTTAACGTGCACATAAATCATGAAACATGTTGTAAATCTACATTAAGTGTTCTCTAACTGCCTGTGTAACTGAATAGATGTTCGTAAAGTGCTTCTCTAAGGCTTTTCTTTAATTTTTTTTTCAGTTGATTCACAGGGACTTGGCTGCAAGGAACGTTCTGCTAGGAGAAGGGAACGTAGTGAAAATTTGTGATTTTGGGCTCGCGAAGGACTGCTACAAGTATTCCAACTATATCAAAAAAGGAGACGTAAGAAACATTCGTCTTGAAATATTATTTGACAGCATGATTTACTCGAAGAGCGTGCAGTTGCAAATACCGTAGAGCCCCGACGTATTTTTTTTTTGGGGGGGGGGGGTTGCACTTTACCTCTGATTAAGCATTTCATCTTTTGCTCTTTTATAATTAGTTCTGCCTATGACCATAAAGTAACAACGGCAAACTAATTGTGTGCCGTGGTTAAGACGGAGCACTGTCTAATTGAGCGAAACTATCATCTGACTCTCCCCTGATGCTTTAGTAATTGCAAATAACAAGTAAATCGATTAATTTAGCTGCAGAATGACAAGTATTCTAGACACTTAGCAAGGTTTTATAATGTTTCTAATATTGAAAGCTGGAAACAAAAATAAAGCTGCGATTTTGTTGTTTACATTAGTCCACGAAAACGATGTTGAAACCTGCATTAGAGAGAGTAGCTTTATAGTAGGAACAGCTAACAAAATAGTTAAGATACTCGTTTACTTGTTTCAAGGGGCGATCTAAGGAAGCGTTTTTTTTATATTTTCCCGATGAATATTTGCAGCTGGGCAGACTTAATGTAGCACGAATGACTTGCCGCTTCTATACATCTTTTTTTTTTTCAGGGTCTCCTGCCTGTGAAATGGACTGCTATAGAGTCGATCACTGACAGGGTGTTCACAACAAAAAGCGATGTGTACGTTTCTTAGTTTTTTTATGCCATTATATCATTGCGCGATACCGACGCTTAATATTAATTCTGACAGAGAATTTTGTACTAAAGGGAGAGTAGTCGGAGGACTTACTGAAACTGGGGTTGTGAAAACATAATCACCCCACATTATTATATACTCTATTAAGCACCAAGTCTCCTTCGGCGTGGTGGACAAAAAACCGCATTTTCACTGCGAGTTTCGTTGTGTTCTCGCGATATAACTTCCCATACGTCAAAGTAAACGAAAGGAAACGCAAATTTTGGGGGCACTGACTACCAAGCAGATTTAACAATGAGCACCATATTTCACGAGAAGGAGTTGTGTATTTAAAGCTATACCGGCCAGTTTTTACCGTGTCTCTCCGCCTTCATCATTCCATGACAGTAAATAATTTTCGTGGTTGCGGCTTTCATTTTTGACGTTCAGCAATAAAGAAGCAGTGTCGTGTTATAACTTAGGTGTCTTTGTGTACTTCGTGCATAAACTTTTAACCTTGATACGTCGTCCACCTCTTTTGCTATATTCAAGCATAAGCGCCTTACTCCGCGAAAGAGAAAACGATCACACTACGCTTGTCGCGTGCGGTTTCTAAATTTGTCACTATATTCTTACGTCCCGTGTGGCTTGTCTCAAAGCTCATTGTCGGTCATCAGACTAACACCGAGGCATTTTCGTAAGAGAAGCATGCGCGCGCACTCAAAAACCACCTTTAATCAATCTAAGCAAGCCCCGAACCTCCTCGATCTTGCGAGTGAATTTACAAAGCTTTTAGATGCAAAACAGCTTTTGCTCGGAGTTGTGTCCGTTCTTTCCTCACGCGTCCGCTCTCCCACAGCACATGTGCATCCCATCTCTTCTTTCTCATCTCCTACACTCCCCCATATCACTTCCGACTCTGCGGCGAAGGTACTGTTTCCGTGAGACAGAGCGCGTTTGCTTTGATTAGCACGGGATCACGTTCGATGTCTCTAGCGTGTGCTTCGAGGGACCGGCTGTTTAGAAGTGCTATATTCATGGTCACCCGCAGCGTTGGTCACCAGCAGCGGTCACAGCAGCGGTCACAGCAGCGGTCAAGAAAGCATCAATGACGATAACCGACAGCGTTAGTAAGGTAGAGGTTCTGATGGTGCGCCTGCTTAAAGACTACGTAAACAAGTTTCTGTGGCTGCCGTTCGCCATCTCCCTGCTGCTTCGCATCCACGCATTGTTTCCTTTAGAGGAATACGGTGTATTTTTTTAGTAGGCGCTTTGTTTCTGACCGGCCGCTTTCGGCAATAGCATGCCAAACAACTGGTTCACCTGGATATTTCTATTACAAAGCTTCTAGCACAAGAAGCCTTCACTGATTCGAACCTTCATTATAAGGGCTTTCTTGATGGCACAGTCTGTCAACTTATCTTTCCTTGACAGATGGTCTTACGGGGTGCTACTCTGGGAAATATTCTCACTCGGAGGCAACCCCTATCCTGGAGTTGCCATCGATGAGTCCTTCTACAAAAGGCTGAAGAACGGCTACCGCATGGAGAAACCAGACTACGCGCCAGACGATGTGTAAGCCGTCACGTTTGACTTGAATCACACAGAACATATACACGTCTTGGAAAAGACTGCTTATAAGTTTGAATACGTGCATGCTACGAAAGAAACGCAGCAGTATAACAAAATGGTTTTAGTATTTGTTCTGGTCTTCCCCTTAAAAGCGTGCTCGGTATGGAGGGTTACAATAACTATGTCGATTTGACTTTGTTTAGAACTGTATTGCAACGGCTTGCTTCTCTGGACAACTCCGTGTCGCGAAATGCTTTTCTTTTTCTGCACAGGTACGAAATCATGCAGGGCTGCTGGCAAGGAGAGCCTAAGGAGCGGCCAGATTTCTCGACCCTGGTTACCCGCGTTGGAGACCTGCTTGATGCTGGAGTGAGAAATGTAAGTTACTATTTGTTTTACCACCCAATCAATGTAGAGATGCCAAGTTTTGTTGAAAAGATCCGCTTGCCATTCTTAATTTATAGATAGCACTTCAAGTTGAAAATACGGGTGATGTTCACGCCGAAAAAACTGTGTCTCGAACTCAACCGCATTTATGTGCTAATGATTGGAACATTTTAAACGAACACATCAATATGATCTTGCTGGCCCCATATATAGTTTTCTATGCTACGATATGCTGGTAGACGTAAGCACTTGCTACGGCCAAATTAGTTTTGTCACCGTAACATCAGCGCAATCAGGAGCTAATGCTGTGCCACCCATTCTTCTGCAGTACTACGTGGCCTTGAATGACCCTTACGCCAACGTGAATGAATTGATGAAAAACAACGACGACTACCTCATGATGAAGAACAAGCTAGACCCTGACTACCTGGACATGAGGTCCGATGAAGAGAACTACATCAACACAAGCCGAGCTACCACGCAGCGGAGTTCACTGCCGCACTACGCCAAGATTGCGCCAAGTGCCAACGTAGACGACGTTAGCGCCACCGTGGGAGACGACATGAAAATGATACCCAGAAGAGGCAGCGCCAGCGACGCTTCCGCTCAAGACGACAACCAGAGATACATGAACATCGGGAAGGGACCGATGCTACAACTTCGGCTTCCGCAAGGAAAGCGCCGAGATGCACCTTCTCCACTGTTGCCACCTACGGGTGGTGCCTTGGGTGACGCGAGGGCGTCAGATGACGTGAGTGAAATCTGTGTCACGCCACCACCGGCGTACAACATGGTCATGAGCTACATTGGTAGTGGGGAGATCGAGCTGTGAGTGACCATGAAATCACGTAACCGATGAACTCAGTGCGAATATGTCCGGCACCGTCGAAGCTGGGACACGTAGCCCACATATCCTACATGACTGGCTACAAATTATCCTGGTCTTGCTCGACAGTTTCACTGTTAAATGGAGCCGCCCTGCCGATGGTCAAGCGAACATGCTGTTTTATGCGACTCCAGCATTTTTATGAACGAAACCGAAAAATTTGGTGCACGGAAGCACTGCGTTGTGGATGGAGGACTCGTGCTCGAACAGGTGCATATAGATGTTGGGGACTTATATTTCCATTGATGTTGTTACGTTAGTCTTCTTTATTCCAGTGTCCAGGACATACTTGCGTGCTACTGTGTCTTCTATTCTCCTCGGCCCTTGAAGAATCTGATCGATCAGGGCTGTGGATGGAGGACTCGTGCTCGAACAGGTGCATATAGTTGTTGGGGACTTGTATTTCCGTCGATTTTGTTACGTTAGTCTTCTTTATTCCAGTGTCCAGGACATACTTGCGTGCTACTGTGTCTTATATTCTCTTCGGCCCTTGGGGAATATGATCGATCAGGGCATCATGCGACCGAGCGAAAGAAACCAGCTGGGAGCCAAGTTGGTCCGCTAGCGTCATTCCAGTCCCCGTCAGTCAGAGTCTAGTTTGTTGCGCAGTGACTGTTATGCAGGTGTCCTGACATGTGGCTCAGTTTGGAGCTTTGGCATTACTCAGTGACTCACGTACTTTGAAAAATGACCTGCGTACGCGTGTGTCGACAGATGTTATGCGTAACTGTGCCATTTACCACGTTTTTTGCTCGTGCTTGTTGATGAATCTTCGTGCCGAGTGTCACTCTAGTCAGTAGCTCCAATATATTTTTATTTGTGGAAAGTAAAGACGATCAAGCAAGGCGAGGTCATTACATGGCAGTAATCTTATTATTGTATCTATTATTATAAGTATTTATCGAATCTTTTTTTTTTTCATTTTTGGTAAAGTGATCGCTGCCGTGCAGGTGCGTTGCCGTCTCACGAAGAGTACAATGGGAACAGTATTTATGACACGTACTTTACCTTTTTTTTAAAGGCGATCGTCTTTTTTTGGGATTTTTGGATACATCAAAGCAAAATTTTGGTTTGTCTGTCTTTTTGTTTGTCTGTTTGTCAAGCGATGCGGCTCAAGTGCGCTCACATCCGCCGCGCCCACCAATATCGCTCTGGTGTCTGCCTTAATACTTGTGCAATTGTCGATTAAAAACCAATTATTATCTGAGGCACAATATCAACACATCAATGTTTTGTTGTGTGTTCCTTTATACTAGAAAGTACATACATAAGTAATTCTAATAACAGTAGTGTTTATTGCGCTGCACTGACAATGCGATGCTATGAGCGAAAAGGCGAGTTTCCTACGCTTCAAGACGATACGGGGCTGCCACTTACCTTGAAATCTACAAAATATGGCCCCCAACATTGTACGCGAACGCAGCGCGCTCGCTGTAACGAAGGCCGTCCTTCAATTTCCTTAAATTACCACCAGATGACGCTCATGTCTAATGCAGTGCCTCCAGAATCCCATTCACCGATTTTCTCGCACAAAACATAAAAAATAAATGTTTTTTCAGTCTCTCCAGGCGGAAGACTATTGTATTTCGATTACATTTTCAGTCAAACATGTGGATACGGGGGAAATTTGTGCCTTTGTATACCTACTAACGAGAAAACTTGGCTCGTTTTTGTTTCTTGTTTACAAATTTGGGTTGGCTGCGGAGCGCGATAGCTTACACAAAATGTACAGTTTGCTAAACTGCATGATCTTCTTTTCATTGTAAATTAGTAATTAAGTAGAGAACTTGAGAAAGTGCAATCTTGTGCTGACAACACCACCGCCTTTAGTGTAGAAGGTGAATATACAAACGCTTAGGAGATTCCCTATGATGAAAGTGTAGTTTAAAAAGTCACAGCTCTGACGCAAAGGCAAAGCAATGAACGCGAAAGCAACAAATTCAAAGGTCACGCTGAGAATGAAAAACCTATCGAAACGGGCCCCGCGTTTCTCACGCACAAATGGCGTACGAAACGTACTCACAGGCACTAATGCACGCGAATAAGCGTCTCATTTGTTACTTCGCTGTGTTTGAAAAGCACGCGCTTTCTGCAATTGGAGACTGCAATGATTGCAGTGATCTTTGTGCGCCCGGTAACTACAGCAAAATTGTTCCAGGTAAAGCCCGAGGACAGCAAACACTTACGATCTTCCCCTCCTCGCCACCTTGCGGGTAATGCTGAAAACGATTCCCCCCGAGGTGCTCCTGAGCTGCGGTAAGTGATAGGTATAATAACTTGCTGTTTGAACGATGGAGGCCGTGCTCCAGAGTGGCGCAGTGGTTATTGCCTCGCTTTCCCGACGCTGAGGTCCACGTTCGATTCTGCGCGCACGAGTGTTTTGCTGGTTTTTTTCTTTCTTGCATTTTCATATATATAGATACGTACACATATACGGCGAGTGACGCTGACGCCGGCGGCAATGTTCAGCCGAGAGTGTCCGTATAATTGCGAAGATAATAAAATCACGCCAATCCGAACTTCGCGCGTCTCCCTTTTTCTGCTGTCCGGAGTAATTTAGAAACATCGTCTGCGTGCAGTGCAAATAATTGCCTGCAACACACTCTACAGTCTCACCTGTCTTCCGAAGACGCTTCGGCTCCAATAAGTATGTACGTATGGCTGCACCGGCTGCTTTAATATAAAATTTAATACTCTACTTTCTAATTCTTGGACACGTAATAAAGATAAATACGTAGAGCGAATCACTGCTTAACCAGGAAGTTAACCTCAACATATATAGGGCGCCTTAACACTCTGCTGACGAGAACACCCCTATTGATCACGCATGCCTCAGCGAGGTGATTGTTGCTTTTGGTCGCACCGAGCAGAGTTGTCCTTGGTGGCTACTTTGCACCAGACTGGCTACATTTCGATTATGTCTGGCGACAAAAATTTCAGATGGTCGCCATTAGCACGTAATGGTCATTTCTTCGAATTATTTGGAAACAAAACCGAAAGAAACTTCAAATATTCACTATTATTTGCAAGCTTTTCTGCCCTGTTGGTTCATGTGCACACTAATGTTCTTGCCCCTGCAGCGGGCTATTTTAGAGCGCATCGAGGCACCCAATGAGCGTCTCTCAGTCTAAGATGAAGAAAGAAACGCAGGCATCTAAGGAAACGCAGTGCGGGCGTCATATTCTTAAGCAGAAATACAGTGGCGTCAAAGAGATATCAGCAACAAGGTGATGCTGGAGTGTTAATCTTCGATTACATTTTTCTACTTTGAGTTGAGTTGAATGAACTTTATTTGTCCAATGGTTGTTGCTGTGCCCGGGGCTATGCTGCCAGAGACACATCTTTCGAGGAACACATCGTTTGAGGAACATCTTCCGAGGTCCTCGGTGATGGCCCTAGCCCTCTGGACGGCCCACACCTGGTCTTCGAGGGCCTCGCTGAGAAGGGCGGCTTGTCATCGCTCAGCACGGCGCCCCATTTCGGAGGGTCCCTCAGTTCACGTAGTCCTTTCTCGTGGCCCATCTTCGTCTCTTACACATTGCCAAAGTATATGTGCCATATCGACCCATTCGTGCGTGCATCATGGGCAGACAGGCGACGGGTGCAGCGTGGGCCATAGGCGGTGCAGATAATAGGGGTTGGTGAACGTGCCCGTCTGCAGCCTTGTTATATATCCACCGCCTGCGACCTGTCCAGGCCGGTACGGGGTTTCAAGTAAACAAAGTAGCTCCAACGTTTAAGGTTGCTGCTGAGCTGTTGACCCAAAATTACTTTTGCAAGAGCTCTATCTACTGTGGACAAACTGTAGGCGGGTGCACTGAAAGTAAAATAATTTATTAATTTATTAGCAACTTACCTGCGGCTTGGAGACCTAGCGAGAGGGAAAAATGTTGGTCTTGGTATACTACATCACAACTTTCAAAATGATTTATTTACTCTCGTATATTAACAGTTATGTACATTTTAACACATTTTTCCCGTTCTGTTACAAATTTGGTGGTTAATATTAATGGCGTGGCCACTTGGCCACTTTTAGCTTAAGCTTTGGCTCCTTTTCAAGTATGCCCAATGGTGGCACTGGCACCAAGCAGTGGCATTCGCCATAACGTAGCCAAGGGGGTCAACCCCTCCCTGAAAATTTTGAATTTTACTTGCGTATGTATACACGCACACACACACACGCACGAACGTACATAATTGAGGCCCCCCCCCTCCCACCGAGAAAGAAATCACAATATATCCACGGAGTGCCTGATGATGAGTAGGGTGAAGCATCTGCCCGTCTGTTCGTTTCAGCTTCCATCCATCCGTGCGTCCGTCTGTGTGACTGCCCATGCGTCCGTCCGTCTGTGCGTTTATCCATGCGTCCATCCGCGCGTCCATCCCTGCGTTCATCTATGCACCCGTCCGTTATCCATCCATCCATCCGTGCGTCCATCCTTGCATCAGTTTTTCTATCCATTCGTATTTCTATCTAGTGAACACTCCAAGTACCACCATCTCGCATCTTTTCATCATATATTGGTGTATAAAAGTACCCCCATCGAGCGGACACTCCAAGGACTAAACGAGAGGTGGCACTCGCGCGCTTTCTTACGGCCTGCGCTTCGTGCCTACTTCCCACCCTTCACAGCCTCTAGTTCATGGCTGTATACTAGTTCACTATATTCATGGCACTGCAGCCCAACCCTCGTTAAACCTTGCTAAAACCAAGGAGGTTACGTCCAGCGAGTTTAACGCGGCAACCTTTCCTGGTCTGATAGAGCTCAAAGTGCGTCCTTCTGATGCTAGTTTTTTTTAATAAGCATCAAAATCAAAGCAATTTTATTGGAGTAAGTCACAGATACTTGTTTATGTAGGTTATTTCATCAGAAACAACTATCTTTTTTATTTATGATTAACGTGTGCTGGTTTCCTCTTCAATTGAAGAGGGTGCGCGAGTGCCGCCCTTCTAGTCCAGCCGTGGAGGTGGCAACCTACAACTACGATGACTACTACATACATCGCGGACGCATGACCCACGGCATAGGGCGCTTCGCCCCCGAAAATTTCTCGCTACGCTCTTGGCATTCACGCTAGCTCATTCGCATCTTTGCTCACCTTTTGTTGAATTTTATGACCATGTAATGGCGGCTCCATTTCCGATAGAGGCGGAAATGTAGGCACGTGTACTCTGACTTGGGTGCACGTTAAAAAATCCCAGGTGGTCAAAATATCTGGAGCCCTCCACTACGGCATCTCTCATAATAATATGGTGGTTTTGCGGCGTTAAACCCCAGAAATCAATCAATCAATGACCATGTAATAGCTTCGTGTTGTAGAAACAGGACGTTGTTGTGTGAGCTGTCCGAAAAGCATTAAAGGTCCCCAAAACAACCTCTGAAAATTCGAAGAACGCGTGGGTTAGTCTCTGCTGCGTTTCCTTTTCTTCGCGGTCCATTTCGGGACAGCAGCAGTTTGTTGACGTGACGTCTGTGTGAAATAAGCTGTCGATTGGTCGATATACGAGAGATATAAGTTATGATGCAGTCGTGTGTCCGTGTTGCTTGGGATCGCATCAAGATCGTGTGCGATAAACTGATTTCACATCGTTTCACTGCGTTTGCGACTGTGCGAGCGGAGATAATGCGTGGCTGAAAAGACAAGCCCGCTACTCGTTCGATGCTCACATTCCACGTGTTTATGAAGAAGAAAGGGGTAAGGAGAAAATAGCGCTTGTAGAGAAGGGCAGTGAAGGCCAGAAGGCAAATGCTGTCTCGCCTTTGAAATTGGTGTGGTTAAGGAGCCCATTAAATGAGTTACCCGACACGGAGCGCTTTCGCTTCAGGAATGTGCGCTCAAGAAAAGAACAAACGTCAGCGTTTGAACAATCGTCATAGTAGGGACAATCAAGAATTCGTGGTGTTCGCCTGCGGACGTATCCTACGAGCTGGGCAGCGCACTGTGTCAGGTGAGTCGTATAATTTCAAGCCAATGATTACCCACCGCTTCAAATAGTGGGGCGTTCTTTCACTCATACACGGGGAAACTTTTGATTTGATTTCATATGTAGGATTTAGCATCCCGAAATCATCATACGATTATGAGAGACGCCGTAGTGAAGGGCTCCGGAAATTTCGACCACCTGGGGTTCTTTAACGTGCGCCCAAATCTGAGCCCAAGGGCCTACAACATTCCCGCCTCCATCGGAAATGCAGCCGCCGCAGCCGGGATTCGATCCCGCCAACTACGGGTCAGCAGCCGAGTACCTTAGCCACTAGACCACCACGGCGGGGCAGGGTACACTTTTTCGTTCTTGCTGTTTATGACACGCAGCTACCAGAGGACAGAATGGCGGCCCACTAAAGCACCATATACTATGCGCAGGGCATTTCGGGAGCGACTAAGGCGTTTGAAGTGGAGCTGCACAGCAATTTTCTTCGGTGACTGGAATATAGGTCTGTCATTCAAGCGCGCTCACATTTTGTCCAATGTAATAGTGAAGTGTACACGTCAGTTTTTAAAGGGGAACCACCTCAGAAAAAGCATTCGCATTAATCTGTGCCGCTTACATTCCCGGCGTATCCCCGCTGTAGTGGTTTAGTGGCTAAGGTACTCGGCTGCGTGACCCGCACGTCGTGGGATCGAATCCCTGCTGCGGTGGCCGCATTTTCTATGGAGGTGGAAATGCTGTGTGATGGAGGCGGAAACCCGTGTGCCCAGATTTGGGTGCACGTTAAAAAACCCCAGGTGGTTGAAATATCCGGAGCCCTCCACTAAAACGTCTCTCATAATCATATCGCAGTTTTGGTATGTTATCCCCCCCCCCTTCCTATCTATCAATTACATTGCCGGCGGAGAACACAGTGTGATGTTGAATACGCACAACACAGCTTAACGGAAGTAAGCACGGCATACTCACCTAGGTCTGTTTCATTCGTGCTGTTTGGACTTGTCATGCATTCTTTTCTTGCATTCGGCCACACCGTATATGCCTTCGGGTGACACGTTTACGACTGGAAACTGCCGCAGCGTGTTTAAGCTTTTGCCAGCTATGCCTGCTCCGTGCGTTCGCGGGTCACATCAAGGACGCAACTGTTTCGAGAGAGCTTCAGTCCAGGAAGGGAATGTTGTAGAGAAGAAGAAAAATTCTTGCTTGCTATGGATTTCGACGGTCATCGAAGTTACTTTGAGCGGCCTTCAGTAGACACATTGATCTTAGTAATAACTGTGGACATCTCGTGCATCGTAGTGCAAATCGCCTGCCCCATCCCCTTTCCCCCTCTTTCCATTAGAAGCCTTCACACATGTTACACATGTTACCACCCTCTCTGGAGCTGTTGTTAGTAAGGCAAGTGTTTGTAACAGTTATTGTTATTGAAAGCACTCATTATCATTACTAATGGTACCATTATACAAATGACGAAACCTCGGAATCACTTTGAGTGAACTTAAAATATAAAGCTGTTATGAGCCTCTGAGCCACATTTGAGCGGCTTGAATAGAAAAACATAGCGAGACAAAAAAGGGTATGCACTGAATTCACAAGTACACTTTTTTTGTTGCATCGAAAATTACTTTTAATGGTCGTACAAAGCACATCAATGAGCGGGAACCGCTTTCGCGCTGTATACAAATATCTATACAAAAGAGCGCAGCATTTCTCGCAACACAACGAACAACATGACAAGTGTTTGTTCCCTCATACGTACAACTAAATATATCCAAAGTCTCGGAGATCACAGTTTGCAGAGGTGTGTGTGAATGTCATCATCATCAGCCTGACTACGTCCACTGCAGGACAAAGGCCTCTCCCACGTTCCGCCAGTTAACCCGGTTCTGTGCTTGCTGCTGACAATTTATACCCGCAAGCTTCTTGATCTCATCTGCCCACCTAACCTGCCCACCTGCGAACCTGCCCACTTCCGGCGTGTACGCCAGCGTTGTCAGTACTTCTCCGGTCGCTGCTCACGGAGTCCTCTCTGGTGATCCCAACAATGCTCACTGGATGGCGTGCCACCGCTCAAGGCGTCGGTTTTTGGTGGCCCACGTGCTCGCCTCCTCGCGATTACGTCCACTACGTTCTCGTCGTTTCGTAGGTGCGGCAGCACGTAATAGGCTGCCTACGATGAACGTTACGCACGGTTACTTAAATCCCGCCAAGCACCCTCATCTGCCTGCTCTCAAGTTCTCAACCCCGTTCAAGAACGCCTGATAGCTTCATGTCTGCCATTTATGAGCGTCGGGCATTTGACTCACGGCAGCGGCCAGAATTGTATAAAAGGGGCAGGTGGTTAAAGTGTGCCGATTGGCGTGGCCAACGGTGTGCAGAGCGGGCCGTGGAATGTGCCCGCCAACGCTGCCTTCGACGTACACATGATGCGCTTTCTACAGAAACGGTTTTGCCAAGAAACGTACCGTGCACCTCCGGGCAAGCTCATCTGACATTTTTTGGGGGGGATATGGAGGCGATTTTTTTTTCTTTTGCTACAAGCCAAAAGAATCGACACTTGGGATTGTTGGTTGACATGCACGGTATAGCTGGGGTCTAAGCGCACGAAGAAAGACACAAAAGAACACATAACAAGCGTTTACACGCAACTAAAACTTTATTGAAGAATGAAGATTGTGAAAAAGTGTGCCTTTCTAGATTATGTTTCCGGATAATCTTTCTGTTTTTGTTAAATGACTGCTCTCGTGTTGCCATGGTTGTCCTTTTGCCTTCCCACATGCGTTAATCTTCATTTGGTGCATTCACACTCTCCACTTTTCAATAAATATTCTAGTGGAGAGATAAGCGCTAGTCCCGTGTCCATTTATGTCTTTCTTAGCACGCTTAAACCACAGCTATACCACGTAAGTACAAGCTGTTTTACAAATTCAATGCTTAAGAGTGCAGATGAAAGTCCTATGGGTCTGTGGACAACTTTTGATAGGCAAAATTGAATGGTTTTGTTGTTATATTTATGTGATCGCTTTTAGATGTCACATTTATGAACAGGCCACATAGCACAACAAATAATTTATTATCCTGGTCACAGGCATGGGCATAAATTTGTTTTAGCTTTCCCTGTGCCTGTTTGCATCGTTGCATCTCTTTATATAGGTCAGAGTGAAATACTTTAGTGACGATCTACAAATACACTTTTTTGAGTTTGGTAACGATTCCGGGCTGTGTGCAATAACCAAAAGAATAGCATCACGCATGTGCAGCTGGCATACAAGTAGAACAGGCCTCCATAGCCCCCGATGTGATCACGGAAGTGACCTGCAATAAAACACACAAAAATATATAGGGGCGTCAGGGGAAAAGAAGTTGCCTTGAGGTCACACACACTTCCGAGTATTATTACACAGCGTCTTTAATGTTTACATCTAGTGTACTAGTTTTTTTATCATAATGTGGTTATATTTGTGATGAAGATCGTCAGGCGCATATTTTGCGAACAACTAAGCCGTACTGAACATTTCATAAACACTTGACTTCACAAAGCTTTTGCTATGTCAATCTAGCTCTTTCTAAAGACTGTAACGCATGGTGATGCTAACATACGGAACAGATAGTATATTTGCCAAACCACAGCAATCATCGTAATTAGCCAGAACAAGTGGACTGTTTATATGCTGACAGCTGCATTGCCTGACAAATTCTTCGAATTAATGACAATGCATGCTCCAAAATTAGCATTGTCATAAGCGATTGGCCTCTCGGCACTGCTGCCTCTCATATGAAAGGCAGCGCATGCTGCCAAAACATATCTAATAGGCATCCATAAACTCTTTTAACATAGAGCTTACGCCACCTGGCGTTGATTTTAAATCTTAGAAGAATGCATTGCTGCCAAAGTATGCCATTCTCGGGACCTTTCGGTTTTTGCACCAAGCGACTACCTCAAGAAGTCAGTGTGTTTTCGGGTTCAGTCTTCGTTCTCGTCCACTCGTTTCTCCCTTGTTTGTTTAGCGAGATGGAATACTTAGAAGTTTCGTACAAACATGCTGAACTGGCCTCTTCACTCATCAAGCGAGTTCCGCTTCTTTCAGTGCTCGATTTTTTGAAATAAGCCATATATATGGTAGTCTTGCATAACAAGGGCCATGTTGCAGTTTTCTCGATGTAGGAGCCTACAGCCATTACGACGTGAACGCTCATAAGTAGCTTGACGGAATGTACTAATTCTCATGGTGACAGTAATTAATAGGTTCATTTAAACCACTGCATCCTACAAGTGTACCAAGGCTCTTACCTATCAACAGTGGTCGCAGGAGGTTGGCGAGGCCGACCAAGCTCGACCCTGCTCCGAAGCACAGAGGGTAGCGACGCGCATCGGTAACTTCCGCGTAGAGAACTGGAACTAAGGCCAAAGTTGAACCGTTGCACAAACCGGACACGACAACGCACACAAACAACGAACCGAAGGAACGCGCTACCGGCATCAAGGCCAACGCTGCAGCCCAGCAGAACAAGCACAACGCGGTCCAGCCGCTCCTGGACAGGTATCCCTTGTCCGTCACCCAGCCAGAGCTAAGGCGCGCCACAACGTCTGCGATAGAGTACGCTGGCACCAGGAGCACGGAATTCCACTTGGGGACACCACAGTCGACAGCAAAGTCGATTATCACAGTGAGGCACGTTACCATGTTGGTGAAGACAACGAGATGAGTAAGCGTCACGAGGTAAAAGTGGGGGCTCAAAATGAATCCGTAGTTATGATCTGTCGCTGCTGCCCTATTATGGCCAAGAGTCCGACGTCTGGTCGAAGCGATGACCTTAAGTGGTGTCTTCTTTTCCGAGTCTCTCGTTGGAAACTCTTTTAGGTTTGATACATATTTAGAAGTGCTTTCCTTGGGCAGTACTGGTGAAAGTAACTCGTACCCTGAAACCTCCTTCAATGGTTTGTCAGGCAGCACGTCCACTTTATCACACTGGTAAACAGTAGCGCTCGAGTCAGTGGTGATGACCTGCTCTTCCAGAACTTTCTCCTCTCCGAAAACATCTTCTTTATTCACTCGCTTGTGTTCGGCTGTAAACAGTGACGATGGCTTCGGTTTGTCCGGGTCACCGCAAAGCATAGCCGCTGGGACTGCGTTAAGAGATATACCTCCGCATATGAGTAGCGCTCCCCTGAAGCCATACTGGTCGAACAGAAGCTGAAGCAGTGGTGGCAGGACGAATCCTCCCACGGACAGACCGGCCATGTTAAGCCCAGACGCACTGGCTAAGTGTTTAACGAAGTGCTTGTTGATGGCCACCACGTTCAGCCGGATGCCACCTACGAATATTCCTGTTCAAAGAGAAACCACTCATTAAACCATGAAGAGAAAGAGGCGTTATGTTCAACGATAGCTGGAGATGTTTACCCGGCTGACGATCTGTCATGCTTGTCGCAATTTCAGGCGAAAGGCACAATAAATATAAAGAACTATAGTCGAGTGCTCACGCAGCACTACTTGAAACATGAGCGTGAAACGGTTGGCATAACATGGTGATATAATCGTCGGAATCGGTGTACCAGCTTATTAATGGTAGTGCAATGACATATCACTATGAATCATTGAAGGATAAAGCTGGTGAAAAATGTATGTATAGCGGGCAGCTATCGCCTGCGATTCACTACCCCGTCATGACGTTTTGTCGCTTTTGGTGAGGTGGTTTGCGCATCGGCACACATTTAAGGTCATGAAATTCGTGCAGCACAATTTATATTCAGCAGCACTCTTATAACAATACTAAGTTTAACATCGGACACTATGCTTACCGTGCAAGACACCCAGTACAAAGATTAGATACCAGAGGCCCGTGGTGAAGTAGCAGGCTGAAACGAGCAGAGCGCTGAGTGTACAGGAAACCACAAGGATGACCTGGATGGAGATGTACTTGTTCAGGATTCCTCCCAGAAGGCCTGCGCATTTTTACTCTGTTGGAGTGAGATAATTTTAAAAAATTCTCATAGTTAGGGAAGTGAATCAATAATCACAAGTTCAAAGTTGATTAGATGAACTAAAGGGTGTCCTTTCAGCTCGTCTACTGAATATAATATAAATAAATAAATAAATGAAGAAAGAAAGAAAGAAAGAAAGAAAGGAAGGAAGGAAGGAAGGAAGGAAGGAAGGAAGGAAGGAAGGAAGGAAGGAAGGAAGGAAGGAAGGAAGGAAGGAAGGAAGGAAGGGAAAGGAGGGAAGACGCAATGTACGCGGCTGCATGCGTTTGAGCCCACAAAGTTTCTTGCGTTTCTTTTTCTTCTTTTGTTTTATTTATTGAGCTTTCATACTTAAGCTTTGAAAAAAAAAACAGCTTTGAGAAGAGGACACGAAGGTTAACCAATCTAAACCTACTTGGCAACCCTGTACAGGCTAAAGAGAACTGAACTCAGCTATGTAGAGAAACAAATCAGGAAGCAACTGATTAATAACCCAGCGTTTCCTTTTTTTGCCACACAGTAAGAGAGAATAGCTTATAAAGCGGAAGAACCGAAAAAAAAGTGCACGTATATAGTAGTGCCGACTCACGATAATTACAGTATAAGTAAGAAAGAAAATCGTGTACCTGAAAACGACAAAAAGAAAGAGGAGGGGGGGGGGGTTCCTTCCGTATATGAACAAAGTATCACATCACTTGATGAGAAGCGAGTAAAAAGCGAGCATTTAAGTGGCGCTTTCTGTCCCTCGGAATAAAACATGTGCTGGTTGACATGGCGATCCAATCCATCAACCGAGAGCAAGTCTGCCAGAAGAATAGAATTAGGTTTATAAATTGTTCCGAAAGCGTGTAGTACCAAATTTCACTCACATGCGGGAAATTTTGTGTGGATCAGACGGGTCATTGCGCTAACGATAGGACAAGGGAGCGGGACAACAGCGTCAAACGTGCACGCGGCGGCTGGTTCGCTATTTTCTGTAGCTCATCCATGCGCTCACCTGCATTTGGGAAATATGTGGTAATGAGTAAGTTCATCAGATTGCGCACTTGGGTGACAACTGTGGCAGCCCCTCGTCAGTTGCATAATCGCCTTAGGAAGTGGATTACTTAAGTAAATGGTTTTAACAATCTGTCTTTGTTATTGCGCTATTGTTGTTATCTACCATGACTCGGTACCATGAGAAAAGTTATTTTGTGTGAACTTCGAGTGCGTTCTCTTCGTATATGGGTGCCACGGTTTTTCATGCTGTTCTTTGAAACAAGTACCGTACCGTCCACTCTTAGGTTGAACGCGGCTCAGCATGGCCGATCTCTGAGGAGCAGAAGCGCATCCAGCGCGGTCACACATTGAAGTGACGCAGGTACGCAGAAACCCGCAGAAACTACTACATCGCGTCGTCTGCTGGACCATTGGCTGTATAGGGAGCCTACATGACGCGCTAAAGCATGATGCTCTTGATTTGCTGCGGGAAAGCAAGAACAGCGCGTTCCTGTGCTGTTTATACTTCCGACGCGTAGCCGTGCTGGGTGCACTGCAGAGCGCGGTCACGCTAGCCGTGTTTGCCCCATCGTGCTTCACCCTACGAACATCGCTGTACAATCAGCAAGCACAGCTTTCCGCACTCTGCCACAGTCACTTTCGGGCCGCTCTTGGAGGGGTAGTTGATACTTTTATGAATAGCCCTTCTCAATTTATATTCTTTCTCTGTTTCTTTTGCATCAGGTTGGCATAGGTTGCTTGGCATACTCCTCCTTGCTTTGTTTGCAAAGTAGTGATCCTGATTCCGATCGAAGAGTGACAGTCAAAGCTAACTGTGTATCTAGGTGGTTTGCTTCAGCAATGGGGTGAGATGACTTCTATGCAAACTTCTCTTGCTCTGACGTATGTCACGCAAACGGTGAATTGAAAAAAGAATTTTCTAGGTTGACGCACATTTCACTCTCCCCACTCGTCCGTCATTAGCGAGTCGACGAAACGCTCACCCGCGCGTAATATCGGCGGAGCACACGAATCGATAGTTTGCTCTTACTTCTCGGGTACAGTTCATGTTCTCACCTGCGAGTAGGTAGAACGTGGAAGTGAGGCTGACAGGCCACGAGGCTTCCTCCCGGGTCACGTGGAATGTGTTTAGAATGTTGACGTACACCACGCCGGCAGCACCGAGAAGCGGGTAGGCGAACACGTTGGTCCAGAAGCATGCGCCAGCCACGACCCAGCTTCTCTTCGAGTCCATCGTTATCGAAGTGTTTCGCGTACAAGACTCGACAGCGTTCACCAGAGGAGGCCCTGAGAGGCTATTTTTTTATCCCCCTCAGTCGCACTCCCTTCTGATAGCGGGCGAGGGCCGCCGCGACCGCTTCCCCTTGTTATGGGCGTGTAGAGAATCCTTTTTGTTTTTTCCTCGCAAGTCCTTGAGCGAGATAGGCGAGACGTCTTATGCTGTTGCTTGTTGCTTCCTTAGTGTCTAATGGCGCGTGTCCTTCGGATCTGTTTGTAATATATGTATTTCACATTGGTTGCTGACACCCTTCGGCCAGATGTCCAAAAAAATAGACAAACATAGAATGATTCATACTTTGAAAAGGTCGTGCGCGCGTGTGCCAATGCGGTTTTGAAAAGCGGGCATGGTCTTCGCTACCACGATCCGTATACCGACTTTTCCGTCGCTCTGTACGCCTCTGGGTGTTGCCTAAAAAAATTCTTGGGTGAAATGTAGAAGACAGGCTGCCAAATGCGCTTGTGGAAGTTCTCTTATACCTAATCTCTCACGCTTGAAATCACGCGGCACGTTTGTCTGGTTTCATGGCTCCTGACGTTTTCCGATGCAACGACTATCAAAAGTCAAAGTAATGACTTGCGGGGATCAGGCATCAAAAAGAGAAAGTGCACCGTGATATGTAATGTGGGTGACCAGCCTTAGGAACAACACTTGAGTGATTTGCTTGCTCGGGTGCCTCTTCGAAAGGATCTCTCCGTGATTCAGATTTAAGACTATGCATACATGCCGTATTCAAAGAACCATACCGCATGTTCGCGGAATTGAATCCCCGCTGCGGCGGCTGAATTTCCGATGGAGGCGAAAATTCTGTAGGCTCATGTGTTTAAATTTGGGTGAACGTTAAAGAACCTACAGGTGGTCGAAATTTCCGGTGTTTCTGGTGGTGATATCTTTATTTCTCCCAGAAAGAAAAAAAATGGAGGGGACCACGGGTCTCAACCATTCCGCCTTTATCGTAATGCGACCACCACGGTCAGTATCGGACCCGCACATTCTGTTCTGCAGCCAAGCCCCATGGCCACTGCTCCACAGTGGTGGACGCACCTTTTCCCCCGAGCGAGCAATGTGGGCCACCTCTACAATCTTGCTAGCAAGTACATTCATGCTTTTGAAAATTGCTTAAGTTTGATGGGAAGCTTGACTGGAAGACTGGAATTATCCGCTTCGGTTTGATTGGACAATTGGAATTACCCGCATATATATATATATATATTTTTTTTGGTAGGAGCGCGTGATGCGGCGGTGAGGCTTAGCCTGCCCGTCGCAACGTGCGAGAAGCCCACTGCACACTAGTCGTGTTTCTCAAGACTACAAATAAAGTTCTTCCATCCAACCACCATTCCTCATGACAACTTGCACTCTTTGTAGCATTCCGAAAGAAAGTAGGCATTGTTAATAAGTACGGACCCGAGAAGGCTCACCATGTCCAACTATATTCAGCTCTTCACGTACAAGTAGCAGTTTATCGTTCGATTGGTTCTTCATTCATAGAATCAAAACAAAACCTCTTTCAGCATAGTATACAGATAAAATAATGAAAACGCGGTTTTCATAGCCCAACAAAGCACAACGAGTTTCACGCAGTGCACCGGAAAGAGGATGCACTGCTGTACGAAAAGATCGCGCATCAAGCAATTCACATCCAAGTGTGACGCCGCTCGTATAACCTTGCGGTACAGGATGTAGAGGTACAATTCTAGATAAGTGGCCATTGCAGGCATTTTGCGGTTCCGCCATCTTAACTGTAAAGTAACAAACGCTTGCGTTGAATCCATGACCACACGCCGACTGTCCTTTGCAAGATAATGTCGTATATTAGACGACAAAAAAAAAAAAACAAGTTACACTACTTGTCACGCGTCATCTCGACCACCCGTCCTGGAAACAGCTCTGCTCCAGTTTGCATATCAGGGCGCTCTTTATAGCACCTTGGCTTGCGAAATGCTCTCGGAGGCTTGTAGTGCTCTTTGTATCAAGCGCTTCCTACAATATAGAAGTACAGCTACATTTACTCCTCCCCAACCGCGAGGGTCGCATTTCTATGAAGGTGAAATGGCAGAGGCCCGGGCACTAGAGCAATGCCTGTGCACGTTAAAGAGCACCAGATGGTCAAATTTTCCAGAGCCCTCGACCACGGCGTCTCTCATCATTATATCGTGGTTTTAGCACGTGAAATGCTAGATATTATTATATTATCTTTCTTCCTACTGTGTTGCTCCTGTGTTCTTCCTACTGTGTTTCTTCCTACTGTGTATGTATGTATGTGTATGTATGTATGTATGTATTATGTATGTATGTATGTATGTATGTATGTATGTATGTATGTATGTATGTGTGTGTGTGTGTGTGTGTGTGTGTGTGTGTGTGTGTGTGTGTGTGTGTGTGTGTGTGGTGTGTGTGTGTGTGTGTGTGTGTGTGTGTGTGTGTGTGTGTGTGTGTGTGTGTGTGTGTGTAGCAGTTACAGAAATACTCGTGCAGTAGTGATAGCCCACTTAAAGGATGTGTGCATTAATATGCGCATTGCTTTAGGATAATTTGATATGATGTGTAGATTTCTTGACGTACATGCATATTGGGTATTTGATGCAAGAATCATATGCTAAAGAACACATTGTTGTGTTTTGCATGTAGTAAGGTATTTTTAATTTACTTCGTCATCAACAGTAATGCAAGTGGGTTTTAGTCGTTTTTACATACAACTGTATAGGCAAGGAAAGACATTTTTTCTTGTTGTTTCATCACAGTTGCATGCATACGGGAAGGTATAGACTATATTGAAGCCAGCCATACCCATAGTTGAATTTGTTTGAGTGCGAATTTTCCATAAACTCACAGGTACATTGAATCAATAAATGAACACACTGCGTCTAAAGCGAAACAAAAAATACCGGGAGAAACAATCAATATGCACACCTTGAAGTTGTGGGCGTGCTATTACTCCCTGTAATGTCATTTGCGCCTCGTGACGCACACGTGTCTCGCAAACAGGTCGCATTTAGGTTGAACAGCCGCAAAGTGGTAGGTGGCGCAGCACTCGGTCGTGTTCACTATCATTCATCATCATCATGGTTGGTGCGGGAGCGCTAACAGTGCCACCCTGCGGCGACTCTAGGTGGCCGCACAGAAAAGATTCGGAAATATTTTTGGCACGAATGGTCGTGTACAGCGGTGGTTTCATGGTTCCATGGGGGCGGCACCATGGTTTGTCTCCCGTGGGCCTCTCGTGGTGAGTTGGCGACGCTAAAGCCAATGCTGCCTTCTAGTTACCTTGTGTTTGTCCTTATGTTGATTGAGTGTATTGGAATATTGTATGAGCTTGTTTTAGCGCGTCACTCGTGGCCTATTTGATCCGTCTGGCGAAATCGTTGATGTAAAAACAATTGAATAAATCAACGCGATGTTTTGGTTTGCTCGGCCATGACCACGTCTCCTTCTGTTCCGAAAGAGTCTCTCATTTACAGGTCCCACAAAGTTCACGTGAACGAAAACACGAAAAAATGCTGTAGATTTATGACATAAACTCTGACGAAGGGACGAAGCAGTGTGCATCAATTGAATAAATATGGCCTTCTTTTTTTGTTCTGGTTAACAACCTCTTATTTTTGTTCTTGTTAATCTTCTGTTCTGTCATTCGCTTTTATTGATGGGTAGTTGAATTTTGATGTTTTTTACGATGTTGGGGCCTTTTATTTTGTTCGTTCTAGTTAACAACATTTTGATAACTTTTTTTGTTGTTCACAGATGTTTTGGTTTGTTCACATGTTGTTGACGTTGCCGCTTTGCCACTGTTATGGTGTTGTGACTGTCTATTTTGTTCTGGTTAAGATCCTTTATTCTTCTGTTCTTGTTGACTTTTAGCTCTGTCGTATGCTCTGATTAATGGGTGGCTAAATCTCGGTGTTCTTTACGGCGTTGGGGTCTTTTATTAGATGCGAAGCAGCTTAGGGTCGAGCTCAATCCGATGTGCACGTAACCGCGCTTACGGCGCATGCGCACCGCTCCCCATCTCTCTCCTCCTCTACGTTCCCCACTCTCTCGCATTGCAACCCGACGCAGGCAGCGTTTGCAGGCGAGTTTCTTGATTGAAAAAGCCGACTGCTCACGCTGCACAACCATTCACTAGCCATTCCACGGATCTTGACCTCCAAGGTAGTGCTGGTGGGAGATTTTTCCTGTGCGTTCTTGAACAATAAACACTCGCAGTGTACGCGGTAACTAAAAGCGGACTCCGGGTCTCTGTGTCCAATGAAAGTCGTCTGTCTCTCATTTCTCATTAGCAGCGAGTGGCATGTTCCAGTGGTAAACACCGGTCCATAACTGCGTACTTCGCGTCTCCGCAGGTTTCTCTCCTGCGCAACGCCGCAACGAGCGCCAGCGTCAACACCGTATGTGTAAGCGGTAGCGCCCGCAGCTTCGCATCCTCACATGGTTCTCTTTCCCGGGAGATGGCGTTATTTAAAAAAAAAAACGTGTGCGCGCTGTGTACGCTCTGTAGATGGCATAGAGTTTCTCAAAATTAACTAGAGGGCACTCTGGCGCTGCGATTGTTCAGCGACCATGAGAATGATGGGTAGTACACACATTTGCCTAGTCTTCGTACTTGCGGGCGGCGAATCGTACTTGCGGCTTCGTTTATTGCTGTGTTTCGGTTTTGTTTTGAAGGAAAGATTGAATGCTTTTGAACTTCGTAAGCCAATTTGGAAAGTAAGTCTAAAAAAATAAAATGGTGAAGCGCAACCGCTGAGCATTTGCTAATACTTGTTTCGTAAGAAAACAGCTCCAAGCCACGCGAACACACACGGAGCCAAAGGCAGGCCAGAAGTACGAAGCTTAGTGTGTACTCCCCATCATTCCCATGCTCGCTGAAGCGCCGTGCGTTGCAGCTCCCATAGACACTAGCGCCAGAGTTCCCTCTAGTAAGTATTGTGGGAAACTCTATGGTAGATGGTATTGCGCACGGATTTTTGGCACCTGCGCTTCTACTATGGGCCACGGCGAGGCGAGCCTCGACAACAATGGTCGGACATTGCGCGACCGCACACGGTCGCCCCGAAAACCCTGTATCGTGTGCAAAACATACGTACTTCATTTTTCGAGTTGTCACATGCAATGTTCTGAGAGTGGACGATGGCGACAGCGTGCACATAAAGACGACTTCTAGTGGGAGCACACTCAGGTTCTGTACTCGTTTTATTCGCTCTGTCGTCGGCTTCTGCAACACTTTTCTTGCAAGGCCACATAAGTCCATCGCAACGCCGACAGCGTGCTGCACGTTCCGGTCAGAAGAAAAAGGCCTGAATAGTTTCCCAGGTTGTCTCTGAAGTAGCCTGCGCAGTACAACAAAACCAAAATACATATCGGGGGTGAGTGAATGGAAGAAAAAAGGAAAGGGAAACGGGCGATAAAGACACAAGCGTTAATGAGAACATGGTGCTTCGCCGTACTGAGCACGCCATGGTATAGCGGCCATTTAAGCGCACAAATTTGGAAAAACTGATAGCACCAAACACACGGTTGTCGGGCAAGGTACATTCGCTTCAACTTGCGTGGTATAGCGAATTCGACTGAATTCAGATGAGGCAATGTGAAAGCCCGGGAATTCACATCTCTTCTTTCAATGGCAGCGCGTGCCCGTTAATTCGAAATTGTCAGAGCCACGGATTACGGGCTCCCGAATTACGCTCACAGCTAATAAACTTTTCCGATGAAAGAGCACTGAACTACGTAAACTCTTGCGAAGTGGCAGTCAGATGCACAGGACCCAACTAAGCACATGCTATTTATTTTGACGTAATTGCCACTTAAATGACACAACCAAGAAAAAAGTATTCACATAAAAAACTAAGTTTCTTTTTGTTTGTTTTCCATGCATTTCAGTGGCAATTATGTCCTAAAGTAAAAACCTTAGAACTAAGCAATGAGCATTTTCTCCCAAAACATGATATTGTGACGGGCGGACCACAAGTATAGTATCCTTCAACACGCATTGAAACACGCAAGTATCCGAACGTATCGATAACTTAAAAGAAAAGTACACTATGCAAATGACGCGATATTCATTAAGCTGCCTAAACTTGAGAGAAATATTAAGCTCATGAATCCGTGAATAGCATTTATTATACTTCCTTTACCTGCACTTGCCTGTTAAAGCTGGCCTCGGCAGTCCCGTCAAGCCCACTAAGAAGGAGCTCAGTCCGTAGGCAACACTGAAGCGACCAATGTCCACCACCTCCATGTACAATACCGGGATCAGTGGCAGCGTCGATCCGTTGCACCAGCCCGCCACTCCGGACACGATCACGAGCAGCACGTAGGAATCGCCAAACGCGAAGGAAAAGTTAGCGGCCGCCCAGACCGTCATGCAAAACGCCATCAACGCCTTCCTGGATAAAAATTTCCTGTCTGTGATCCATCCCGAAGTCAGCCTTGCCGTAAGGTCCATCCCGGTATACGCCGAGATTAGAGTGAGTGCCCTCCATCTGTTTATGCCGTGGTCCATGGCGAAGTCGATGATAACTGTGGAAAACGTCATTGAGTTCATGACGATAACCATTTTAGACAGAACCACGACGTAGTATTTGGCGAGTGCGAGGAAACTGAAGAGTTCCTTAGCCGCCAGAAGGGCCGACCTGGCACCTCCAGGAATACTATGGGCCGCTTCCGTAGTAGGCAGCTCCACAGAAGCTACTGGGAGCTTGCTGGAACACTGTTCTGCGTTAAGAGTTTGTTCTGGCTTATGCACAGGAAGTGTACGCGTCGGAGGTCCGTGGCAAATGTCTTCTCTGGCGGCAGCGTCACCTTCGAGAAGAACATTTCGTACGGTAACCACTGCATCCCCCGACGAGCTAGCTCTCGTCTTTGTTGCTGGGGAATACCGTCCCCAAGTGAAGTTTTCGTTCACGCTCAGACATCGTGCGCTGCGTGTAATCGCGTGCACATTTTCCGTCGATATTGTTCCGTCGGCGGAATCACTCGACTCAAAAGCTGCATTTTCCAAGCCTCCCTTCCAGTTGTGCTCCGGTATGAATGACACCTCATTTTTACTCTGCAGCGATCCGCTGGTTGCTGGTGACTTGTTCGCCGCCTCCACAGCGTTCGAATTCTGGAGGTTGTGTTTAGTCCCATCCGCCGTTTTTTGCGTCGACTGAACAGGCTGTTTCGGCGCCGGTATGCGCTGCAGCAGTGTGCCGGCAGTTGCGTTCAGTATGGTTCCGCCGGCGAGCAGGAATGCACCTCGGAAACCGAACTCGTCGAAGAAGAACTGAACCGTGGGCGGAAAGACGAGACCGCCTATGGAGAAACCGGCCATGTTGAGTCCAGAGGCCACAGCTCGATACTTGGTGAAGTGCTGATTGATCACTGTACTTGACAAAGACAGCTGGCCTACGCTGAGTCCTGAATGAAGTAACGACATAAAAATGGCACCGAAACCTTGTAGGTATCATGCAGTTCAGCCTGGGTGTTTGCATAGGCTTGTATAGTAGAACCATGCTTATATTAATCAGTGAACTATTGTGCTGCTGCTGCTGGGTCGTCGCTTCAACATCAAATAAATATAGCAGAAAACATTCGAAGTAGCTGTCAAAGACAACGACAGCTTTTTCGGGTTGACCACTTTATATCCTAAGGCCAATTGTGCATGTAAAATCTGACGGGTACACCAGCAGACACAATAATAAGTGACAATTTTGCTGTCCTTCACAATGCCCAATGATACTAGTATAGTTTGTGTAACTAAAGTTTGCGCGCAAACTTTAGTTACAAACTACAATTCGAGGTTCTTATCAAATATGCACCCGTTGAAGTTCTGCAGCAACCACAACTATTCCTATTACCCTGTGGGCAACTTCACAGCAATTACCAATTAAGTAGCTGCGCTCGACGCAGATATGTATTGCTGTCAGGACAGTGGGCAAGAAGCAAGCGCTATCAATGTATGATCTAAGTGAGTGATCGTGTCTGCATGGGAGTAGCCATGTTGTTTCATCATCACAATTATAGCCATTTATTGATGCAATAATTAAACGCATGTGTACGTGTTTAACAAGCGTGGAAGTCTTAACTCTTTCCAATTATCACGCATTGTCAAACAGAACTACGTTTTGCTGCGCAAGCATGTGGTTTGCTTAAGCCTCACAGCTTCCACCCAGCTGCAAACAGCTTGTGAGGCAGAGTATAGCCGAAAACATTGGTCTCTGCATGGGAACGCGCGACTGTCTTGGTTTTTCGTGCGAGTTCGTCCAACTGTCAATGGTGGCCGAAGTTAGAAAATGAGTGCTTTCTAAAATACGTTTCAAGGCTAGGTGAACGTTGAAACTATGCGCTGTGCAATTTTTTCGAGTCACTTTTAAAAAGTTATATCAGTATCATGTTTCTGCAGTGTGTCATCTTAATACTCATAGCGTCCTTCTATTGAAACCACTCGTGATCGCACGCGCATATGGTCGCAGTAAAATAAGAAGACCAGACTTTGCCATGCCATGCCTCGCCTCGTCAGGTTTTACTTCGCTTGGCTTTCACGAGAGACATTGCTGAAGATTAAAATTACAAAACGGTACAAAGAGAAAAAAATTACAATAAATTTTACAGAGAAATGTCAGACGTGGGATTCGAACCCACGCCTGGAATGCCGGACTGCAACCTCATTGCAGCGCCTTAAACCACTTTTTCATCCTGACAGCAGAACAAGTTCCGAGATACGTAAACATGTGTCAAACGCAATTCGTCACGGAAGCACTCGACTCGGTTCTGTTCTTAGCTTCAGATATGAACAGGCACTTCCGTTTTGTAATTTCTTCGCGCACACAAAAGCCACTCTCAAGCGAGTGCTGCTTCAACGGAAGCATGCAGTTCATTTTGCCAGGTTATTTAAGTTACAAAAACCAACGATAAAACACCACCTAACCTCACTCATATTTCCCAACCCAGCAGCAGTCGCATTATGCTTTTGATAAGATAACACTGCGGGAATGCGCTTTATCACCAACACTGGTTAGATAAACCATTTACCGTAAACGACTCCGTACAGAAGGGCAAGGTACGTGACGCCGGTGGCAAAGAAGCACAAGGACACCGCGATAGCAGCGACAAGGCACGCGGTGAAGGTGATCTTCCAAACGACCACACGCCTCGCAAGTATGCCGGCTATCAGGGCTGCAAAGAGACGACAGAGTTGATGCTACGAGTGCTCCGTGAGGGGTATCCACTATCTTTCTATTTCCGCGAGAAGATCTGAAGGCCTTTCACGATAGTGTGTCGAAATATCGAGCACTATGCATGAATTGCATCACCTCGTTCGTGGTAGCGCGTGTTACCATGAAACTGCGTTTATTGGTACATCTACTAAACGGTGAGCTCAGTCTGCGTATCATCAGTATTCAGCTTCTACACGGCGTCATGGGTTTCGAGATTAATGGGAGTAATTTCACAGCAGTTCGGTACCTTCGCTTTCTAACTACATTGCTATAGTGTTGGTCACACATGATCATATGTTAACTGAAGCCCCTTGCATTTCTGTGCACGTGTTGTGCAAGGTGAAGTCCGCGATCATGAGGGCTAGCAGTTTGAAGTGGAAATCACAAAGTATGAATTCTGTCTGAGCCAAACGTCCATAGGCACAACGTTCGGTGATTTAGTGTCAAATTATCTGTCATTCGCCTTTAAAGACTGCACGCATGGTATTGGGGGGATTAGAAAAAAGTGGGTTACGATTTGGAGTACAGGGTACTCTACTATGGGAGAGCTTAAAGCCGTCCCCGAATGGTACTTGGAAAAGGTTATTGTTGGGCTAGCCGGTTAACAGTTATTAAAGGCGTTGCAGCAGATACAGTCAGATACTGTCTACCTCACTTGTGCTGCTTTCAAAACATGTAACAGTGCGCAAAACTGAAAAAGGACGACAGAGACAGAGTGAGAAGAGCGCTGACTTTCAAATGTTTATTCGAATCCATGTCAGTGCTCTTTATAAACGCTTGCCTCGCGTCCTCTTCAGTGTTGTACGCTGTTAATTGTGCTGAAATGAACCAACTTGTCGAGCAAGCAAACATCCATGGGTTCGTTTTACCTCGCACTGCCATCGCTTCATTATACGTGTCACTTTATAACAATGACGCACTGACATAACAGAAATATTCGTGGCTTTCGCTTCATGCTAAAAAATGTCGGCTTTTTGTCGTGTATACCTGTCGCGTATTCTTTGTGTTTCTTCGTATGTGAGTTTGCTTCAGCGTTACAATATACGTCAGTCGGCAAGCACAAAGTTTCCCAGCAACACGCTGCATACACTATAAGGACATATTTACGATGTGTTCCGTCATGATCGCATTTAGCGCAAACATTCAGACAAGAGACCAACAATGAAACCTAGACGCAGTACATTCCTCCAACTAATTTTTTTTGAAAGGAACACACAGGTAAGCCGACTAAAGGACCTAATAAGAGAGAAAAAAAAAGAGAAGACAAAAGGGAGATTATTGTGGCTGAGGAATTCGCACGGTGCGCCGACGCATTCGTAAGCATGCCATCGCTGCACCTTTGCGACAAAGAACTTTTGTCTACGATGCCATGTAGGGACGGGGGCGGTACCGGCACGACGCTGGCGTGTCCAAGCGTGCATATTTTTGGTTTTATCTACATTTTTTTTTCTTTTAACTACTCGTCTTTTGTTTTTCTGTCTTCTCGTATTTGTTGAGCCTTATATATACATAAATAACTATATATATATATATATATATATATATATATATATATATTATATATATATATATATATATATATATATATATATATTATATATATATATATATATATATATATATATATATATATCTATATATATATATATATATATATATATATATATATATATATATATATATATATATATATATATATGTGTGTGTGTGTGTGTGTGTGTGTGTGGGTGTGGTGTGTAACTTTATTTGAAAGAATAAATTTTATTCGGAAGAATTCACTGCGCCTGCGTCCTCTTGTTTGTCTGTTACCTAGTTTTTGCGCTTAATACCATCATGGCTGACAGTGTTACAAATCGCCCAACAGGCAACATTGCTGATGTGTTCCGATTTGTGATGTCATAAGTCAGCGTGGCAGTTTTAAGTCGTGCAAGGGAGCCTTACAATATTGTTATAGTATCAGCATATAGCCCGGCTGCTGCTCTGTGACTCCCCATATATCTGCTTGTCAGCGCTGTACGTTCAAGTACTATTAAGCTGAAGCCCGAACAAAATGAACGTGTGAGTGAGTGCCCGGAATAAACGCTTTGATTACGCTATGCAGGTATAGGGCTATGCTCAAGAATTTTAATGTGATAAGAACATTATATCATGGCTTACTCATCATTTGGTACAGACACAACGACCAAACGTTAAGAAAAAAGTTTAATTTTGAACGAGCATGATGTTTGAACATTATCTTCGTAAATTGGAAGCGCTGTTTCGTTGCGCTACCTACGACTATATTAATGACCAAACTGCGGGCCGCGCTATAACATTCTCAACACTCAGTGTAGTATGTACGCTTCAACTGCGGGTGTCACACAATTCGGAAGTGTTTAGAAAGTGAGATTCCTTACAGGTACAGCCGCCCAAAACTATCTATCGTCTGCAGCGGCGGACTTTTTGAGCACCACATGATGGAAACGAAGTTCCTGAAGATGGTTGTGAGGGCACGTAATATGTGGCAATGCACTGGCCTGCATCCTTTCTGGAACTTAGTTCAGTCATACGACGAAGATACACATAAAGAAATGGCCACTGACGAACAATAATGAAGATTAGGGCGACTGTGCATCGTACGGGGCACTGTAGAGAAACAAATGTGGTACATCATAAGCCTTCTACACGGAGGGTGCAGGAGGGGATGTCAATGTCACCTGCAGTAAAGTAGCAGGTAACTGCCAGGGTCACCGGCCAGGCGGCCTCTTCCCGCGTCGTCTTGAAGGTCTCAATGATGCTCACGTACACCACGGCTGTGGATCGAATCATGGTGAACGAAAAGACGTTCACCCAGCAGCAGCCCACGGCCACGAGCCAGCTCCTCGGCGAGTCCATGGCGCGATTGTTGCGCGCTTGGCGTCGACCGCTGCCGCACTGCGGTCCCGTTCGCTTTACGGCCGTGTACCTCTTATCTCCATCCTTGACAGTAACACAAAGGCCGAATGGTTGCTACGTTGTCTGTTAGGTCACGTGTGTGAGTGTACCCGAAAGACACTAGCTGCCAAAAAAAAAAGGTGAAAGACGAATGCACTCGGTATAACAGCGAAGGAAGCAGTACAAAGATATCTTTTTTTTTTCATTAGGGAAGGGCACGAGAAGTACGGACCGGGAAACTTTCGTGTCTTACGGGAGGTTAGTGACGGTCGTGTGCCTAACATGTTTGCAAACACGCAATGCGAAGGTAAGTAAGATGTTTCTGGCAGTTTCACTGTTGTCGAATGGTCTTGTGGTGTTCTGAAAAAAAAAACATTGTTTTTGAAACAAATACTTCGCACATGTAACCGCATCGAGGACCCGGCTGTGTTCGCCTTATGTTGCTGGAAATCTGAGTGATGGAAGAAATCCAGGAACAGGAAAATGGGTTTTGTACATCTTTGGGAAGTCTTAGTGAGGATATATAAAGACAGCTGTCAACTGCGAGCAACTGCTATATGGAGGCCCTGATTCTTAAATAAATGCGCTATATGACGCTTTTTTATCACGCGATGAATAAAACTTCGAATCTTGTAAATCCTTGAAAGCTGTCATAAGCTTTGATAATGAATTAAGTTGATTTCACCACCCCTTCATTAAAAAAGGGCATTTTACCAATGTGTTTGAGAATTTAGCACAGTAAAAGTTCTCCGGGGTCCATTATTGCGTATAATTATTTGTTTCTAAGCCTTCTTAATATATTCAATCTGAAAAGATTGCTTTCTAGCGTTTGCTTAGTTTTCGGCGTTCTCTATGAGCTTTAAATTCGTATATAAACTGGGGCTGATATACTGTTTCGGGCCATACCCAACGTCCACAGCTCTTAAGTGGAAACCACTGGACCCACTGATAAATAGCGGGCAAATGGAGCAGGTAATTCAAACTTCATCTTTCTTCTTACTATACCTAGGTAGGAAAAAAAATTGGGGACGTAGATTTCCATACATTTTATTGTAAGTGAGAATCTCAAGAAGTGACGAATAATTAGGACACATGCTGCATCAGAGAGTGCAACTGTTACGCTTATTTTGTGAGTATAAATGGTAAGGTAAACTGAAATTAAACTCGCAGCACGCCCAAAGTACACCGATGCTTTAATTACTCGTGCTATGCGCAGCACTACAGCACTCGCATATATATATATACATATATATATATATATATAATATATATATATATATATATATATATATATATATATATATATATATATATATATATATATATATATATATATATATATATATATATATATATATATATGTGTGTGTGTGTGTGTGTGTGTGTGTGTGTGACATCTTAAACTGTAAAAATAAGATCGTTCTGTACCTTGGTTTCTAACATCTTTTTGTCACTGTCGTATGTATGTATGTATGTATGTATTATGTATGTATGTATGTATGTATGTATGTATGTATGTATGTATGTATGTATGTATGTATGTATGTATGTATGTATGTATGTATGTAGACTTCAGCAGTGCGAGGCTGTGATCCACAGCGACTCGCTCTGAGGCCCCTACTTATCGAGTCAGCGTGATACAGCCAGAGACTATACATGACGCCGTTATCAAGAGACTTACCGCTTTGAATAGAGACATCGACCCGCCATTTCAGCTATCAAAGTAATCAGTACGTTATCCGGACATCGCAACTTTTCTTTTTCTCTCCGTTCGCAAGCTAGCGGTCTCATGGTAGCAGTATCGTGAGTGTCGCCAAGATAAGTAAACGAAGCTTAGGTGCGTTTTGATTATTATCCGAAGAAAATAAACTGGACAGCATGAAAAAGAAATAAGAAAGGTACATATGGCAAGGCATTCACATGGGGAAAGCAACTGTACGTGTTGCCAAGAGTAAGTTCGTTTTCAAGAGTGAACCACGTAAACCTCGAGTACTTAAGTTCAAAGCCATGCTCCCATAATCCTTTGCGGTGTTTATTCAGCAAGTACATAAAAAAACGCTATTTACTTTTCCTTATCAACCGTTTCACTGTACATTGTCAATTGTGTCCCACGTGTTTGTTTTTTTTTTGTTATCCTTGCACGCTTACAGGCTAGAGCCGGTTTGTTGGAGCTGTCTATCATGACCTCCTATAAGTTATAATCAACAATGAATACACGATATCAGCATTTATTTGACTATACTTCATCTGAGATGTTTCATTCAGCACTGTGAAAGCTACAGTGCCCCTTAGCCAATCGTTTAGCCCTTTTTGTAAGCGTTCTTTCTTCGATTGATTTGATTGATTGATATGTGCGGTTTAACGTCCGAAAACCACCATATGAATATGAGAAACGCCGTAGTGGAGGGCTCCGGAAATTTAGACCACCTGAGGTTCTTTAACGTGTGCCCAAATCTGAGCACACGGGCCTACAACATTCCCACCTCCATCGAAAATGCAACCGCCGCAGCCGGGATTTGATCCCGCGACCTGCGGGTCAGCAGCCGAGTACCTTAGACACTAGACCACCGTGTTGGGGCCGTTCTCTCTTCAAAGCATCTCGCTGGAAGGGTCGAGGTTTTCTGAATTGTGAAAAAGTCATGTACTTACTTCAGACATATTCATTTTATGAGATCAACCGAGATCAATCCAGGTGCCTTCTGCTGGACTGCACTGGCTGGCTCCTCAGGACATTAATAGAGATCTTTGTCTCTTTGTCTGTGTTTCTATTTGGTGTCTCTTCAAAACTACGAGTGAACTCCACGTAGAACCAGGCTAAAGCTCACTGCATACGTCAATAGAAAAACGCGGGAACTTCGACAGATTAAACGAGTAAAAACTTTAGATGTCTGATAATTGTGAATTGCCTAATAGAGTCGGATAAGAATTGAACACTAATCGAATAGTTGTTGCATTTTTTTAACTGACCTCTAGACATTGGTTGAAGCAAATCGTTACATACACTAGCAAAGTAACTTTACCATAACTCTGAACTGACGAAGAATACTGCCAACGGAGGTAAGCTCATATACCACAGTGACTATATAGTTTTTGTAACTTTAGTTTGAAGTACAGTAGGCACTTCAGTATGCAACATGACATTTCGTCTCCACCTTTAGGAATAAAACTGCGGCATCAGAATCGAACGTTAATGAGTCACGATCATTCTGACTCTTGTGGTGATGACAGCGTTTACACTTTCGCTTCGGCGGTGCTAGAGTTCAAAGTAATGACACCATCATCCTGCGATCAATACATATAGTTTCGACAGTCTCGTAGGAGCTTAAACTGTATCCATCTTGGTGAGTAAATAAACAAAACAAAAAATGGTCCCATAAAGTCCCAACGTTTTGTTTCATTGCTGTTTTCCCGTCTGCGCTAATTATTCCAAAAGTATTCGAAGAGTGGTTATTCGATCCGGGCGCCAGGTTGAATTGAACGTTATTTTAGTTCAGCGCATTTCGGGCTCTATTTCACGTTTTGTGTTGAACCCCCTCTCCTTTTTTTCTGTGAAAGCCCTTCAAGGACGCCCTGTGCTCAAATAAATAAAAGTGAACAAATTCGAATTCGTTGAATATTCGCACACCTTAGAGAAACTCCCATGGTCCCTTGTGTATTTGCAAAGGCAATCCGAAAGCGAACGCCTTCTTTTTCTTTACCTTCTCAGTGGATCTAATGATCATCCCCGCTACCGTTCTGAAAGCTTCTTGCATCTAATGTGCTTTTGCCCGGCCTTCAAGATCGGAGGTATTGCAATCTTTTTGTGCTCACCTGTATTTGCACTGCCTCCATGATTCGCACACCTTTGGGCAATCGACGATGTCTCGTGGTAATGTTATCATGTGAGGACACGTCATATTGACGTCATCAGGTGCCATTTTTATCTGTCACGTCATCTGGTGACGTGATCACGTGAATATATTTTTGCCCCACTTGTATGGACGCCGCGCACGCGAGACGCCGGTGGTTAATTACCGTGTTTGATGGGGCACCAATGGGTTTGGTGCAAAGATTTCGGAGGCCTGTGTCCGAACTTTCAATTGCTTTTTGTGCTTCAGAGTTTTCTGTCATTGGTTCACTTATGATATGCCGCTCCACCGAGGGTGTCTAGTGGAAGGGAATGAAACTCGCGCCCTTGAGCTTAAAATGAGGATGGTCTACGCATTGCTCTTTTATCTGTCTGACACAAGTGTTGTTTTTTTTATTTATAAGCTGTTCTGAATTCTTCGCTCTGTACAGTCGTTTTGCAATGACTGTTCTCTTTCTCAACCATGTCTCTGAACGGATTGCAAGTGCGTCATACATCTTTTTTTTTTTTGTCACGTGTGCCAAGGCATATCTGAGAGAGACTTAAAGGTGTCGTGCGTAGCAATGAAAAGGTTATGAAAGAATATAGAGCATGAAGTAGGTCAGATCAGTTACCGTGACTAGCAATAAGTATCATACATATCACTGAATTCACACTACTACACAATACAGAAAGGCCTATATTCAAGAGCTGAGGGAGGCCTATATAGTGTACTTTATGATTATGTTTTATTGTTACGTAAGAGTAATGGTAGTGATAATCACTTTGTTGTCGTGCTGTGGTAGACAGGGATTGGTTCCGTGACTATTTCCGGCGTGACGAATCACTAGCAGTGACTTGGTGCGTGCGCTCTAGCTACATCAATTACACTCCATAACATCCGTAACATTTAGTTCAAGATCATTCCAATAGGCATGCGAGTTCAAGTTTACGAGAAGTTTTAATTTTTTTTATTTTGCTTTTCTGGTTACCGTGTGCTTTTATAGCTCTGTTCTGTGTTGAGAGGCTTCTCAGCACACAGTGCTTGATATGATGCACTGTTGACTAAGAAACAATATGATGCGCTGTTGACTTGCAATGCCTTTGCAGCGGCTATTGTGTTATAGCTGCACCAGCGAGTCCAAATGTGATACTTACAAATCGGAGTGCTTTAGAAACGAAGCCCAGCGAATTCTATGCAGTTTATTTCGTTCGTCTGTTCTGACACCATCTTTGTCTCGTGGCAACGTATGTCCAACGAATCGTACAGAGCGCTGTGAGCGCCGAAGTTACGAAAAAAAGGCCAGAGTAGTTTCCCAGCTGGTCTCGGAAGTAACCTGTGGACAAAAACGGGAATTTCGTAAGTGCGAAAAAATGGCAGATCTCACGTACAGTGGGAATCGAATAAATGCGAAGCACGAATGAGAAATGTTGATATGTCACTTTAAAATCAGCACAACGTTACGAGGTGGAGGTAAATGATGCCGTACATGACTTCCGTGTCATGATTACTATGTTTGGATGGGTCGTTTACCTTCGTCATCTATTCACGTCACGTGATACCAAATTTAGTATATGTGGAGCTAGCGAAACGGCCGCGAGCACGCTATGAGCGTGGTATTTTGTTGTATTCTTACTTGACACGCGTATCAGGATTATCATGTATGCACCAGTCATATATTTCGTCATCCATTGACGTCCCGTAACACCAAATTTGGTATATGTGGAGCTAGCAAAACGGCCGCGAGCGCATAATGAAGGGCCCAATATACTCCTATGTAGCGTTGACGCGCGCGCACGCTGGGCACAGTGACGCTACATTAGCAAAACGTGAGCACTCTATAGTCTGACGCCAGGCGCGACCAGCATCCGTCGGCGCGGCCCGACGGCAACTGGCGCAAAATGCGACTTGCTGCATTTCGCGACGATGCGTTACCCAGACAACACTGCGTCTCCACCTTTTCGGGACAGAGGGACGGGACGCTGGACGTGCTGAAACGCGCATGCATCAAAGCAATGCAGCGCGGTTGGCGCCGGCGAGTATATATGGCAGGACCGGTGCCTGGATCACCAACCGAGCGACGGCAGGCCACGACGTTGAACCTCTTTCCAATTCGCGTGACATCCTCCTCCAACAAAGGAAGCAACGAAAGGAATATGGGCTTCCACATAGGGACTTGGATAGCCAGCAAAGCAGGGATTGGAGACGCATACAAACCAATAGCTTTCCCAATTTGTACCATCTAAGTAGAATATATCTCGCAAGATATAAAGACACCTGTCCGTGGTGTTCACAAGTACCAACACTCAGCCACATAACATGGGAGTGCACCCAGAGGCCCACACACATCGACAGCCCACACATCACGAAGCAACCACACATGTTTCACAGGCAGTGGGAGGCATGGCTTGCGGACGAGGACAAGCAGAGCCAAATAGCTTTGCTTGACCAGGTCCAGCGAGCCGCTCGTGCCAGCGGAGCCCTGGACTGAGGGCCCGACCAAACTGCCTGCATTTCAATTTTTTTTTCTGAATAAAGTTTCTTCCTCCTCCTCCTCCTCCGGTGCCTGGCGTGGCAACGCTGGCGTGACGCGACGAAATGAACGCCGGCGAGCACGCGCACCGCGTCATGTCTAAATGTATTGGCGCCTTGCCTGAGTGTTCTCACATGACACTCATCTCATGATTATCATGTTTGCACCACTCACATACCTTCGTGATCCATTGGCGTCACGTAATACCAAATTCGGCCAACGTGAAGCCAGCAATGGGCCACGAGCGCATCTTGAGCGTGGCATGTAGTCATGTTACATGACACGCATGTCATTATTATCATGTTTGGATGTGTCATTTACCCCTGTCGTCCATTCGCGGCACGTAATACCGAGTTTGGTACATGTGAATCTATAGCGAAACGGCCGCGAGTGCATCATGAGCGTAGCATGTAGACATGACACGCATCTCATGTTTATCATGTTTGCACCAGTGTCATACCTTCGTCATCCATTCACGTCCCGTAATACCAAATTTGGTATAAGTGAAGCTAGCAAAATTGCCGCCAGCGCATCATGAGCGTGGTATGTAGTCATGTTGTTACACGACACTCATCTCATGATTATCATCTTTGCACCAGTCGCATATCTTCGTCATCCATTCAATTACTGTAACATCAAATTTGGTATATGTGACGCCAGCGAAACGGCCGCGAGTGCACCATGAGCGTGGCATGTAGTCAAGTTGTTACATGACACTCATGTCATGATTTTCATGTTAGTGTCTGTTGCTTGTGTTCGCCATGCAATCATGCCATACCATACAAGTTTTGCAACATGTCATGTGAACGAAACCGCCGCAAGAGCTGCAGGACCATGAAATGTAAATCATCACATTCATGACATACATATCACGATTTTCATGTTTTGACTAGTCAAATATGTTCTTCATACAGTCATGTTATGCCATACCAAGTTTGGTATCGATACTATTATCGAAACGGCCAGGAGAGCTAAAAGTCGTAGGCGGCTAGACAGACAGGAGGACGGACGGACGGACAGATGGACGGACAGACGGACAGGCAGACGGACAGACGGACGGACAGACGGACAGACGGACAGACGGACAGACGGACGGACAGACGGACGGACAGACAGACGGGCGGACAGACAGACGGACAGACAGACAGACAGATGGACGGACGGACGGATAGATAGATAGATAGATAGATAGATAGATAGATAGATAGATAGATAGATAGATAGATAGATAGATAGATAGATAGATAGATAGATAGATAGATAGATAGATAGATAGATACGCTTAAAGTCGCCGGGGTTCGCCAAGAGATGCTTCGCATTTAAAAAAAAAAGATGATGGTATAATTTAGCCCCGGTGAGCCTCCATCTCTACGGGGAACCTGATTTGAATTTAAATTTGTTGCCGCCTTCCAGAGACTGTAAAACAACAATGGTACTTCTTCTGCCACCCAAAAGGAAGCTTGGCCCAGCGCCACGCGCACCGTGTCGAGTGATCAAAATCCAGTATTTATGACATAGACAAGCGGTTGCATGCGCCACTTTATTTTTTGCTACTTTTTGCTACTAAAATCAGTTCAGTGTTCGCCAATGCCTTACTTTTTCGACACATACGTTTTTTGTTGTTGTTTTTTTTTCATACTACTGACTGTTAACTGGGCCTCATCGTTTCGACAGGAAATACGTTTATCATAGCATGAGGATCGTTTGATACAGCATTGATGGGTACGCCCACAAGGAACCTTAGCTTTGATATGTTCAGGGACACCCTCTGAACCGTGGAAGACACTGTGGAAGAAAAGAGAAAGAACGGGAATGTTCAGCGTTAAGAAGTGCAGAGAGGTTGGCCTATACAAGATTCTTCGCTCTGACCAAGTATTCTACACGTTAGATGAGGTAACGAAACCAGATCATGGTGACTGGAGCTGACGACAAAAGGAACATGTATAGCACATAAAATCAAGGTGTGCAACGTTGACCAGCACTTTCTGAATTTCAATGAAGGCCCTAAAAATTTATATCGGAAGTAAAGCCTAGCGTACCGTTTTGCTGCCACTGACAACAGCTGGCTGTCGATATGTGCAGGATTATACATGAATAATCTCTGTATATGCAAGAAAGGCGATAGTCTCTCTTCTGTGTACTGGGAGTGGGCACATGCGTATCGCATCTTTCGTAGATTTCGCAACGCTTCTCGGAGCCCGAAAACATGTTTCGCGAATGATATAGTCTAGATTATGCATAACCCAACGGTACACAGCTTGATTAGTTTGGTTGGCTGAATTATTCCCTTATTACAGACTGGGCATATTAGCAACAAGTAAGTAACGTTATGTGAAGGTTGCCGTTAATTTAGTGAGTTCATGCATCAAACGCTTACTTTTTTGTTTACCTGTACTTGCCTGTTACTGATGGCCTCAGCAATGCAGTGAGTCCCACTATAAAGGAGCTGAAACCGTAGGCCACGCTGAAGCGGTCGATGTCCACCACTTCGGAGAATAGCACGGGGATCAGTGGTTGCGTCGACCCGTTGCACCAGCCGGCGACACCGGACAATACCAAAAGCGTGACGTAAGAATCGAGATACGCGAAACAAATGTTCACGCACGTCCATGACGCCAGGCAAAGTGCCATAAACGTGCTTCTCGAGAAGATCTTTCGGTCCGTGATCCAACCAGACGAAAGCCTGGCGGTCAGGTCCGTGACAGTGAACGCCGAGATCAGAGTGAGCGCTTTCCATCTGTCTATGCCGCGATCTAAGGCGAAGTCTATGATTATGGTCGAAAACACGCTGGCATTCGTTATTATCACAATCTTGGCCAGAACCACTGCATAGAACTCGGTGAGCGCGAGAAAACTCAACAGTTCTTTGACCACCAACAATTTAGACTTCAGGCCTTCTGGAGGCGTCCGCTCCTCGCTTTCAGCTGTCACTTCAGCACGACTCGCCGAGAGTTCGTTACGCAAGTGTTTCTCGCTACACGTTGGCTTCGCATTGTTAGCGCTAAACTGAGAGGGTGTTCCACGATCTTGCGTGTATTCACAGTCTATGTGTTCTCTTAGGCATAGGGCCTGGGTGGCACCTGTTGTCGATGTCATCGCCGACGCTGCTCGTCTCCTCGTCTCCACAACTTCCCGTAAACTACCAGATCGTTCATTCGTGCTCGAGAAACGTACCGTGCATAGGACCGAAAGCTCGACTTCCACCGAGACGTACCCATACGTTGTTTCACAAGGCTCGAAACAGCCATTTTCCATGCCAAATTTCAGACTGCCTCTCCCGCATGATTCACCATTAACGTTTTCTATGCAGTCAGTGCCGTCCAGCACACTGACAGAGTGAGTGTTTTCAACTTGAACATTCTTGTCCACGTCACAATCCGATGCCCAGTTCACACAGGCGGTACCTGACTCACGTATAATTCGACCACCTACCTCGGAAGATTCAGCGAGTTTGTCATCAGTTTGACCAGGTTGTTTTGGAGCCGGTATGCGCTGTAGTAGTGTGCCGATTGTCCCATTAAGTATTGTTCCTCCAGCGATTAAGAATGAGCCCCGGAAGCCAAATTCGTCGATGGCGTGCTGGAGTACCGGTGGGAAGATGAGACCGCCCAACGATAAGCCAGCCAGGTTAAGTCCGGAAGCGACTGCACGGTACTTGTTAAAGTGCTGGTTGATCACCGTGTTGGACAATGTCACGTGGCCGACACTCCAACCTGTATGGTAGAGAATGTCGAGCGAAAACAATAATGTAGTGATTATTGTGCATTATCAGGCGCTTTTGGCACAGGACTACGGACACAATATGTTGCGCGAGCCACAGAAACACGCTTAAAAGGCATACGACATTAAGACGTTACGTTTATCCTACCTCATCAAGGTAGGCTACTCATCGTGGGCTGAACGAATAATAAATAGGACCTGCAGCGTGCTTCCTTCCTTATATCAAGAAAAGTTGTCCTTGAGTAAAGCAATCTTTTAGTCTTCTTTATTGACACTATTTACTTTTCTTACACATGTATTCCTTCCAAGATACTCGAGATTTGAGCAAGTGATTATCATTCACTTTATTTGGGTTCGCAACAACAAATCAATGCAGGCAAAAACTGAAGCTATCGACAGCGCACTTCTATATATGCAAAAGCTATTCCGGTAGAGGGTGGTTATTCACAGAAAAAAGTAATAACATACGTAGCTTTGGGGATGACAAAGACATTCAAGAAAAGACCATGAACAACATGGCGCGGAATTGGATGAAAAATAAATAAAAAATCACGGCATATGCACGAAGTGACTGATGATGAGTGGGCGAAGTAGTGAGATCGTTTGGTGTAACCGTAACTCGACCCACCCGTGACATCGACCACTCAAGCATGTAAATGAGTGGCATAACGATGTACAGTAACCTACAATGCTTATTGGTCATAAGATATATGTTGTGTTGAGTTGCGAATTTTCCTTTGCTTTTATTATTGCTGCCTTGTTTCCCGCCTTCTAGCCTGAAGTTGGCCAATTTGAGGTCTGGGCACATTCTCCTGGTGATTTTTTGGTTGGCTCCAGTCATACGAAATGCACAGTAGAGCATATCGAGACGTCATATACTACACAAGCCAATTGTTGTTCATGATCGTCAGCATCTTCATCGTCATAAGCGTCATCGTCATGGCACATAGCGGCCATAGCTTACATGTGCTATGGCCGAAAATATGTGGCCTGAACATGTGTGGTCTGCAACGCACTTGTTCTTCATCGTCAGCAGCATCATCATCGTCATCGAGGGACGGCGGCGGACACGTCTAGACCATAATAGGCGTAACATTAAGAAACCGCAAGACAGCAGGATTTTATAAATTATTAATTAGACAGCATAATGTGTCTGGCCACAAAGATAGCTGCTATCCCAGTTGATATAGAGCAATAGAAATGGATCTGCTCCGGTACATACTGAGTTGGACATACCCATGGTCGGAACAATGGTGGGGATATCAAGGGGGGGGGGGGAGACGCAGTCGAAGGTGGCTGAGAAATAAATGGAGATACGAAACTGAGAACCTCGCAAGCATAAAATTGAATTATCTGGCACAATGTAGCATTTGCCTTGCAGTAAGCATAAAGTGCTCATAATGACGATAAAGTAGTGTTGAGTCGGAATTCGGTATAGCGACTTCCAATCTGACACTGTCGAGGGTGCTCAAGTATATTTCGAAGTTGTTGCACTTTGCGTAAACGTAAGAGGCATTGGCACGGCATCTGTTTGTTCGCAAAACTCTTGACACATTCCTACAACAAGGTCCTCACCATGAACAACTCCGTACAGTAGGGAAAGGTAGGTAACTCCGGTGGCGAAAAAGCATAACGATACAGCGATGGCTGCGACCAGGCAGGCGGTGAAGGTAATCTTCCACACTGCCACGTACCTCGCAACGATTCCCGCCACCAGGGCTGTAAAAGAAAAAAATTGTCGTTAAGAAAACTCCTCACGTACATGACCCTGAGTAATGTCAATGCAACTCCGGAAAGGTGTTTGTTAAGAGGGCGAAGTTTTTCGTGGACCCTACAAGAAACGCTAGTGCTAATTTTCTGAATCTCTGGTGTTCCTGAAAACTATAACATGTTGTTGGGCTAATTGATTCATACTGAATAAATATTAAGGACGCAACCCAAAATATAGGGCATAATTTTTTTCTGTCTATGTGGGTCGCGTCCTTAATATAAATTCAGCATGTTCCATCAAAGTGGTGATCTATGTGTCATGATTGTGTTCGTCGTCCGAACATCGGAATAAAGCGGGCGAATTATCCAGCACATGCCACCTTACCTTGAGTTGGATATCTGTATCTGCTTTTTTCGTATGCTTATTTGCATGTCTATAAATATAGACGTCATAAAAACACTAAAACAGAATGGCTGTTTTATTGTTGTGATCATGAGTGTGTTCGTCAATGTTTATCTTTAATCCGTTTCTGCGTTTTTCTTTTTAAATTCATTCGGACATTCATTGTAATCGCAGTTGGAGCAACTATGGTGCATAGTTGAAATTTCTGTTCAACTAAAAATGAAAACTGAAATGTATGCAACGAAGTAAAGATGCAATTTCATTAAAAAAATGTGTATTTTAGGACCAAGGTACACTAAGAATAGACCATGTTATTCAAACCTTAATCTACATCCTCGGCTTTACTTGACTCGATAACAACTTACTCATATTTTAAGATATTCCGAACTGCGCTGGAAGAGCTCTTACCTGCGATGTCTACTAAGAATCACTATACGTACAGTGAAGGTAACACAAACTAATTCGTCTAACTTCTATGCCGAAAACATACATTTTATTCAGCTGTGGTTCTTCAACCTACCCCTAAATCTGAGTACACGGGTGCTGTTGCACCAATCCCTTATACAGATGCGGTCACCGTGGCAAGTAATCGTACCGGCGCCCTCTTTGTACTCGGCAGCGCAACACGCAAGTCGCAAATCTACCATGGTGAACTTGTCACAGTAGCACAAGGAAGCAGAGAGAAATCACCTGCAGTGAAGTAGCACGTGACAGACAAGGTGCCTGGCCAGATGGCTTCTTCCCGTGTCACATGGAAAGTATCCATGATGCCGACGTACACGATGGCTGCCGACCGATAAACGACGACGAAAAAGACATTGACCCAGCAGCAGCCGGCTGCCACGAGCCAGCTCCTGGTGGAGTCCATGGCACAATTACTGCAGTCGTCGTCCGATCATCGAGCTGCGGTGCGCACTCGCGAGTTTTATGTCGCTTCATTCCTTATCGGCCTCATGGAAAGAAACACGCACTGTCTTCGCGGCCGCAATGAGCTTCGCAACGTTCGTGCGTGTGAGACAACGACGGAAGGATATTATGCTACCCGCAGAGGCCTCGGAGAGACTGCGTTTTCTTCGTACAAGGAGCAAGCTGTCTTTGACAGAAAAGCAATGTGACGGTGGGCACTGAAGAGATAAGAAGAGTCTGGCTTTTTATGTTTAGGTATCATAAGCCTTGCGCGGGCTTTAACAAACGGGTGAAATTACTGAGCTGGAACGCATCCATGTCCCCTGGTGTGTTCGAGCATTCATCCGTCCCGCATGATAAGAATCACAAAGCCCTTGATGGTTTCACAAATGCGAATGCACGAGTGTTGCCAGGCAAATTTTTTTAAATAGCCTACACCACGGTCAAAGTTACCATACACAATTTGCATTGCCCTAAATTTTACCCTACTCCTAAAAACAGCTCAATGTAACAATAAGGTAAGAAGGAAGGGGGGGGGGGCAAAGTTCCCAGGCCATGCTCGCATAGGAATACGTAGGATAGTGGCCTGGAAACGTTTGAACACCCCCCCCCCCCCGTGCATACATCTCTATACGACATTTACATGTGTAGTGGCGCTTAAGTTGGAAGCAACCTTAAACATCACATCGCAAATTAGTTTTTAAAAAAGTCACAGCTTTGCCGCAAAGGCGAAGCAATGAACGTGATAGCAACGAATTGGAAGGTCACGCGCAGAATGGCAAGCAAATCGAAACGTGCCCCACGTTTCTCATGGACAAATGACGCACGAAACGTACTCTGTACCTGTACAGATAAACGCGAATAAGCGTCTCAGTTGTTACTTCGCTGTGTTTGAAACAGTCTGAAAAGCGTGCCCTTTTTCGCAAACGGAGACTGAGAAACGATTGTAGTGACCTTTGTGCGCCCGGTAATTACAACAGAATCATTCCAGTGAAAGCCCAACGCCAGCCAAGGCGTACGATACTCCCCACCTCGAGATCATAACTCCCCTCCTCTCCGCGGGTCAAAGTACGCGTGGGAGATAAAAGCGCGCTCCGCCTCTTCGTAACAATGCGACGACGCGTGCTCATTGTGCCATCTTGCTGATGATGCTGAAAACACAATAATTCCCCCCATATGCCCGTCAACAGCGGTGAGTGGTAGATATGATTAGCTTGCTGTTTAATTGTTGAAGGTGGTGCTCCTCAACGGCTCAGTGGTTAACGTCTTGCATTCGTGACTCAGAGGTCCCACATTCGTTTCCGTGCGACAGAGTCTTTTTCTCGATTATTTTTATTGCTTTTACATACATATAGACACGTATACATATACGGTGAGTGACGTACGGTAACGTCGACTCCGATGCCGGCGGCAAAATTCAGTGGAGAGTGTCCATATATTTGCTATTGCAATATAAACTTGGTGCTACAACATCTACCGCGATGAAACATGGCTTGAAAACTGCTGTTCTGGAAGAGCTGGCTGGCTATTTAAGCCGCGATGCTCCTCCCAAGTTCTATTGATGGATGGATGGATGGATGGATGGATGGATGGATGGATGGATGGATGGATGGATGGATGGATGGATGGATGGATGGATGGATGGATGGATGGATGGATGGATGGATATGGCTGTACCCTTTAGATCGGGCGGTGGCTAGCGCCACCAAGCCGTAATACTTAATGAACCCAAAACTATATTTATTTTTTTCTTAAAATGTGAGTTCAAGGATTCGTACTTTGCAGTAAAGAGTTTAATTTTCACTCGTGCCTTGACTTTAGCCACCAATCAGATAACCTCCTCCTAGTTAAGTCTACTTGCTTAAAGTCTATTTTGCCCTCCCGGTCCCTAAACCCCAGTGCTTTCAAATACTCTGCGCCATCATCCTGAACTATAGGGTGAAGCCCTTTACAGAACATTATCAAGTGTTCGGCAGTTCCTTCTTCCTCTCCACACGCACTGCATACTGTGTCTACCCCTTCGTATTTGGCCCGATATGTCTTGGTTCGCAGTACTCCCGTCCTTGCCTCAAACAGTAGAGAACTACACCGAGTATTATCATAGATCCTTTCCTTGGCAATTTCCTCCTTAAAAGTTCGATAGATCTCTAGTGCGGACTTCTTAATCATGCCCATTTTCCACATATCAGTCTCCGTTTCCTTCACTTTCTTCTTAACCGATAGTTCTTTTTGGTTTCGCCACCTGCTGTTTTCTAAGTATTTACCAGTCAACTTCCTGGTTCGCTTCCTCCATTTTGTATCGACATTCTTCATGTACAAGTAGCTGAAAACCTTCCAAGCCCAACGCTCCTCCTTCATTTCTCTCAATCGCTTCTCAAATTTTATCTTGCTGCTAGCTTCCCTGCCCTCAAATGATGTCCATCCCATATCACCTTGTACTCCCTGATTTGGTGTATTCCCGTGAGCTCCTAAAGCAAGCCTACTTATTCCACGTTGCTTAATTTCTAATCTTGCTTGAACTTCTGATCTCATGCACAAGACCGCATTACCGAACGTCAGCCCAGGAACCATGACCCCTTTCCATATTCCTCTCGCAACATCATAACTATTGTAATTCCACAGTGCCCTATTTTTTATCACTGCTGCATTCCTGTTACCTTTAGTCGTCACGTATATTTCGTGTTCCCTCAGGTACTCGGTCCCATTGCTTATCCAGATGCCCAGATATCTGAATTTATCTGCTATCTCTAGCGTGACCTCCTGTATCTAAGCTCACTACTTTCATTATCATTAAAAATTATGACTGCTGATTTTTCCGTACTGAGTCTAAAATCTAACCTATCTCCCTCATTAACGCAGATGTCCATCAATCTGTGCATATCTTCCTTGTTGTTGGCCATTAGCACTATATCATCTGCGTACATTAATGCTGGTAGTGCCTAATCAATAAGTTTTTCTTGTTTGACTAAAGAGAGGTTGAAGCCCAGCCCACTTCCCTCTAATTTTGCCTCTAATCCTTGTAGGTACATCATGAATAATAAGGGTGACAGGGGGCACCCCTGCCTAAGCCCCCGTTTTACCTCTGCAGGCTTGGATACCGGTTTTTCCCACTTTATAACTACCTTGTTACCATTATAGATACCCTTTAAAAGATTAGTGACTACATGTTCCACGCCTAGTGTGTCCAGTATTCCCCACAATTCCTCTTGAACCACGCTATCATACGCTCCCTTGATATCCAAGAATGCTAGCCACAGGGGCCTGTGTTCCTTTTCTGCTATTTCGATGCACTGCGTCAGTGAGAACAGATTGTCTTCCAACCTCCTGTGTTTCCGAAACCCATTCTGCAGTTCCCCCAGCACCCCCTCATCTTCTATCCATGCCTGCAGTCTTTCCTTTATAATCTGCATCGCCAGCCTGTAGACCACTGATGTCACTGTTATAGGACAGTAGTTGTTTATGGCAGCTTTGTCCCCCTTTCCTTTGTAGATCATGCTCATCCTGCTAAGTTTCCATACATCGGGAACTTCACCATCGATTATTATTTTGCTCACTGCCTCTCTCAAAGCCTGCTTAGACTTCGGACCTAATGTCTTTATTAGCCTAATTGGAATTCCATCTGGGCCTGTTGATGTATTACTGGGAACCCTCTTCTCGCTTTCCCACTTCCGTTGCAAAAATTGAGCCATTGCACCACTTGATTCGTCCTTGTCTATTGTGATGCATAAAGTACTTCTTTGTTGAAATTTTTCTGTCACCCTTGTTCTTATATATTCAATAGCTTCGTCCCCTTTCAGCCTGGCACCTTGGGCTGTAGTTATAAAACTCTGCTCTAGGCTCGTATCATTTCTTAGGCAGTTTAGATGGTTCCAAAATTTCGCAGCTGCCTTTCTATCTTTTTTATGTACTTCTGCCAGCCACTGAGCTCCCTTTCTTCTAATATTTTCATTGATCAGAAGGGATGCAGCCCTTCTACAGCTTAGAAAGGTTTCCCATTTTCTTTCAACATCATCTGTCGGTTCACCCCGCTGCTTAGCATGTCTGTGTTCCCTAGAGGCTTTCTGACGTTTTGCTATGGTTCTCTTAACTTCCTCATCCCACCAACTTTTGGGTTTGTGTCTTCTTTTCCGGGGTGACTTGTTACGCGTGTTACCAAGCTCTAGCTCAAACAGTCTAATTAGATTCGTGTATATTCACACTGTCTTATTATCTTCCGTGATTACTTTCTCAATTTGTTTAGTGGCTATTTCAATTTGCCTTTCTGAATAAAAATTTTCCTGTAGTTGCTCATTTTGTCTCCTTCCCACTTTCACTGCTCTTCCAAAACTTAGCTTGATACGTTTGTGATCACTACCCAGACTTCTGGAGCCACGTTCATCTATGTGCATTCCCCTGAGCTTATCATACATCCTATGTGACATCAGTGCATAATCTATCGTCGACTGCAGCCTTCCTACCTCCCATGTTATTTGCCTTTCACACTTATCGGTACTGTTGCAAATGATCAAATCAAGCCTTTCACACATATCCATGATCATTTTGCCTGTCGGGTCGGTATACCCATCTATATCTTCTATGTGCGCATTCATGTCTCCTAGTATAATTATCTCGCACTCTCTTCTTAACTCCTGAATGTCCTTTGATATACAATCTACCATTGCCTGGTTTTCCTCTCTGGCCTTTGCTCCCATCCACAACTACACAAAACCAAGGAGTGTTATTTGACCTGCCAGTTTCCCTTTTAGCCATAAATGTTCCTTGCACTCCTGCTTGACCCTTTGCCAGTCTGTACTTTTATGAATGAATGCCCCAATACCACCCCCCTTTCTGCTGCCTTCTGTTCTGTTACAATATTCCCACGCGTAGTGCGGATTGTTTGGAGGTTGTTCCATGTCACTGAGATGTGTTTCTGCAAAACCGTATACCATCGGCCTCTCTTCCCTTAGCTGTTCTTCTATCTCTTCCCACTTCAGCCTGTTCCTACCACCCTGCATGTTAATATACCCTATGTCTGAATGGGCTCGGCGCTCGTGGCTACGTCTATTTATGCCCCGGACTCTACCTATCTTAGACATTGGTGCCACTTTGGTATCGTATCTGTCCATAACACCTGTTGTAGAGTCTCCCTGGTTATTTTCCTCGTTAATAGCTATCCTGCACCCCGAAGGGCTCGCTTGCCCCCCAAAAAAGCTACTGCGCGTCCTGCAAGTCGCCAACCCACCTCATGACCTAGCCGCCCATCGAAGTGAATTCTGTCTCGTTGAAAACCACCCCACCTATGCACCTCTCTGTTTATTTCCACCACCTCAAAGCCTTTCTCTCGACTCATCCGCCATATCTCTTGGTTTGCGTTGACAACCGCTCTTTGCAGGTTGCTATCACGCACCGGTACCTCCGGTATCGTGCATATCACTACCTGTACTTTAGGAGAAGTGGCGCGCATGTCATCGACGCCTTTCGCCAGTGTGGCTGCTAGTCCTGCTGTATCTTCATTTAAGACATCGTTTAAACCACCTGAAATTATCACGAGGTTTTGTCTATCAGCTGTAGCTTTGAGTTTTGCGCTCGCTTGCCTCATGACTGCTTCAAGCTTGCGTCCTGTGAACGCCCCTACTGCAACCCTCTTGTCACCTCTTACCCTCTCTTTGATGGCTTCTGTGCATCGATTTAAATTCGAGTCCCCGGCGATTATCACATGCTGTGACTTTTCAGCTGGAGCATCCTGCACCTGGGGGCTACTTGCACCTGTGACGCCGGCTGCTTTGTCCCCTCCCAGCCCCACCACTACCTCGCTGATGCTGGGCCTTGCAACAGTTGAACCGGCTAAACCTGTTTTTTCCAAACTTGCTTGCTCTTCCTTCTCCACCGTTCTGGTTGCCGGTTCTCTACTGTTCTCTCCGTAGGCCGCTTCTTTGTTCAGCTTCACTAGTGCTTCCTCGGTGGACTTCATTCTTTCTCCCATTGCCCTCGTTTTCTCTTGCTCTGTCGCCAACGCAGTCTCGAGCTCATCGATTCTCACCAGCAGTTCACTTTGGGCAACCATCATTTTCTCCATTTCTTCCTCGACCTCACATTCCCTACACTTCGCGTCAGCCTCTTCTCCATCCGCTTCTACGCTTGGGTCCACTTTCAAACCCACTCCACATCCTGAACACTTTACAGTCTTTTTAACCATGTCTGACAATGATGATGACTGACAATGCCAGCGCCGCCACCCGGGCGAACAGAGAAGCACAAATTGGCGACGTTTGCGGAACCACCCCATCGCCAGAGAGTCAGCCCACTGCCCTCTTCTAGTACACTGTACCCCTATAGGTCATGTGTAACACCGTCATTCGTTCAAATCACTATGACAAAAAAAAGGAAGAAAGCGTGGTCCATACCAACACCACGTCGCTGAAGCTGCGCTGCAGCAGGCAATCGAAACTTATATTACTTCCAAAGTTACATTTGAGAAATCTTTCGCGGTGAGAAAACGATGTGTTGGCAGATCATAATCGGCATCTAATAGTAGCGTATGACTATACCTTTATTATTCACTCGTGCTGCACCTTTTTATGCCATTCATAGCCAGTTTTTACAAATATTTGCGACTCCAGTGCACTGATGAGCTATCATTTTGAATGTTCTTTCTTCGATAGTAGCTCAGCAGCTTCCTTGGCGTTCGGATACTTACACTTCTATTCATGTTTACAACTTTCCGGTCTTCTAACACACCTGTGCTGTCTACTTGACTGTCGTGAAAATTATAATAACACTTCTCTTAAGAGTCACTCGTTTTTTCAACCAACTGACGCTGCATGCTGCCTTTATTGCCGAAGAAAGGCTGGTTTGAATGAAGTTAGTGACCATTTTAAGTTATACCACCATAATGAAATGCGAGTGTTTTTTTTTTGGGGGGGGGGGGTCTATCTGTTACAAAACTACCTGCACACAGTGTTTCAGTTCACATATTTTTTTTCTTTCCTTTTCTACAGCCGTCATCTAAATTGTTCGACACCGGTGGAATCTCCGACTACTATCTCCCCAAAAGTTTATTGGCTTGAGTAATGCTGCTTTCTCGGTTAAGGCTGTCACAGGTGGAAGCGAAGATAACTGAGGCACGAAGTACATATTGCTGCCTCGTGGTTGCTTCTTCTGAAAATTGACGTTCACGCACAGCCCAGAAATTGAACTTGTGTCTGGTTCAATGACATGCCGTTGTCAACAAAATTCATTACGTAGGCCCACAATATTATTTGCTAACTTTTTCTACCAGCACCCCTTCTCACGATGTGCTAGCGCAGTCATTTAGTTTCGAGCTGGTTCTCGGTGATTTGGTGTATTTCGTCATCGACGTGCATCCTTCTCTCACACGATAGTACAACCACAGCAGAGATACACACATCGTCGCTCCGCCGGTGACTCTGAACAAGCCGGCGTAGTCCCCGTGATTATCTCTGAAGAATCCTGCGGATATAGAGAGGAAGCGAGACATTGCACTCGTAAGCCAGGTGGGAAATGCGAAGGTACAACTGGACTGAGATATATAAAAAGTGCGGGGTGATATCATTATCGTACGCGGTATGCCGATTTCATACAGAAAATACCAGGTGATCCCGAAGGTAGTAAAGTCTAACAGAGCATCTCGCTGAGACGCATACATGACCATGACTACAGTATTAACCTGCACACTGCTGGCTGTCGTTAGCGCTTGCTTACGTTGGCTAAATAACGACTAATACTCGCTAATTTAGCGGTAATGTAGGCTATTCGCGGTTATCGCATCGACATAGTGCCATTTTAATATTAATTTAGTAATTGAGTTGTTTTTCTTGTAATGAAAATTTGTGCGATGACAAAAAAAACCTAGAAATAATGGTCATATACGCACATTCAGGTTCACTCTAAGTGCCTAATACGAATTTCCTCAATGATTTATCGCCTCTCATCTATATACGCGGTACCTGCGGTAAACTATAGGTAATATACAAAGCACTTGTGTAGCTTATACACAACAACCACTACACCACTGTGGCAGTTTCTTTCTATTCTTCAGGAATGACAGGTATACCGTATACCAGGACAGGACAGCAACAGGGTTGTTACGATTAAGAATCAACACCCTGAACACAACAACTTGCAAATAATCACACAGAGTGCACGAACATATTCACACCACATATGTTAAGAGTTGGACATTGGTGTGCAGCACTTCGTTCGCGTTTCCCGGTATTCTTCCAGAACATGGAGCATAATCTATTTTTATACTCCACCAGTGACATTCAAATCGCCACAGAGACTGCTTTCACTTACCTATTAGTAAAGGCCTTGCGAGTCCCGCAAGTCCAGCGACTGCGTTGGCACATCCGAAACAGACGCCGACCTTGTCGAGGCCTACCAGCTCCATGACGAGCACCACCACAAGTATTATGGTTGAACCGTTGCACCAGCCGAGCAACACTGACAAAACCATGAGGCTCGGGTACGAGCTGCACAGCGGCATCAGGCAAAGCGATGCGCCCCATAGCGCTAAGTGCGAGCACATCATGGTGCTCTTTCGCAGGTACTTCCTGTCCGTAATCCAACCAGAGCCGAGCCGAGCCAGCAGATCACTCACCGCGTAAACTGATACCAGGTATACCCCGCTCCACGCAGATATCCCCCGATCCACTGCGAAGTCGACAGCGACAGTGGTATAGGTGGCCATGTTAAAGTGTATCATTGTGAAAGAAAAGGTTATGACGTAGTACTCAGGTAAGGAGAGAAAAGTAAGGAAGTGTTCTCCGTTGGGTCTCATAAGTCCACCGTTCCGTGGCCTTCGCTGAACTTCATTTACTCTGACTGAATCCGATAAAACGCATTTCTCTTCAGAAATGTAAACGTCGTCTTTCGCGCATTCGGAATCACCCGTGCTACTGGCGTTCATGGCTTCTTCCTTGTTATGGCAATCGATGTCGTCAACGTCACTGGCCAAATTATGCATCATCTGGCTACACTGGTCGACAGTGCCACTGCATCCACAAGGACCTGTGTCATGGAGTGTTTGTGGAGAATCAGAACTTTCATGAGTTCTGAGAGATCCATCTTCCCGTTCAGTAATCGCTTTTCTTTTATCTGAATCATGGGTTAAGGCTCCTCTTTCATCTTCGTTCTCTTGAGCGTGCGGTGGAGTGCGTTGCAGCAGAGCACCGACCACCGAGTTGAGGATGATGGCTCCAACGATTAAGAACGTGCCGTGAATTCCGTATTTCTCCTCCACTGCCTGCACGACGGGAGGGAAGACAAATCCTCCAACTGTAAATCCCGCGTTGGCGATGCCGGAGGCGACTGCACGGTACTTGACAAAGTGCTGGTTTACCACGATGCTGAAGAGACTCAGCAAGCCGACACTGGTGCCTGTATGGGAATGGGAACATTAGAAAATAAATAAATTCTGGCGTTCCAAGGGGCTAAAACCACATAATTATGGAGCACTCCACAAAAAGAAGGACGGGAGGGGGCTCTGCGGCTTAATTTTCACCCCAATTAAGAGTCTTTAACCTGCTCCAATTAAGACAAAAAGGGTACAAATCGAATGAAGAATCGTACTTTGTATAATGACTAGGCTTGTGAGAATATTCGAGCACTTCGAATAATCGAACGAATATTAAGGTATTCCAATTCATTTCAATTTGAATTTACATTATCGGCAATTTTGAATAATCTGAATTTTTAAAGATGGTTTCATGAAGTAAACACTTCTACGGATGCCCGTTTGTTTAGTAAGAATCATTGAATAAAAAGGCGAAGACGCCAACCCCAACAAAATAAAAAAAATCACAGCATATCCACAAAGAAACTGATAGAGAGTGGGCGAAGCACCGGGGGATCATGATCTTTCGTATAGAAAGCCAAAGCAACGCATGGTGGCGCTGCGACTCCGGACAGGCAGCGCCATAGTTAGTATGAGGCACCAATTACGAGCATGTTGGGTGTAGCGCAATCAATGCGGCTGATGTAGAGCGCTGTTATGCCAGCGAGTCCTCGTCAAACGTCCGTGCCTCTGAAAAAGGCAATCTGGGTCAAGGCCAGCCCACAGTCCGCCTGACGCGAAAAACTCGACGGCGTGAACACGCGCGGCGCCCCTCTGGCCCACGTGCATTGAGTCAGCTGCGCACGTGACAGCGAGCCGGCGTCCTCGTGCCTGGTGGTCTGACGCATGGCGCGGCGGCCCCATTGGCGGAATCTGCCCTGACGACCAGCGGCGCTTCTGATTGGACATTTTGGTTGGACCCGGTGTAAATAAAAGAAGCCCTGCGGCGCGTCGCGATCGGCGGTCCTACGAGAGAGGAGTCCCCATGTCGGAGAGCCGACATGTGTGTGAGTCAGCGGTCTTAGGCGAAAAGTTGACCTATGTATTAGAGAGGAGAACTCGGCTCTTCGAGTCTCTGTCGGCCCCAGTGCCGAATTTGTAATGCCTCTGTAAATATGCTGTACATAAACCTTGTTTAACTCACCGTCGTCTCGTCCGCTCGTCTTATCAGCTCTGCGCAGAAGCAGTCGCGAGCTGATAAACATACGCTACCAAACGGCTGGTGACCTTCCCGGCGGAGTTGGAAGCAGTGGCGCCTTCGGGGCCGTGTTGGCGTCGCCGTCTTTCGCAACAGTGGTGGCTTCGGCGGGATCGGTCCGTCGTTCGCAACAGTGGTGGCAGCGGTGGGATTCGGAGGTGGCTTCGCAACAGTGGTTGGCAGCTGCGGGATCGGCCGGCGTCAGCGACATCGATGCGGTGAGTGCCTGATGTTTCCCCTCAGTTCACCAGACTACTCTAGCTCAGGTTGTAGTAGTTTAGAGAAGGGCTGTGTGAAGCATTAGAGTGAGCTTTGATCGTTTCAAGCAAAGTCGAAGTGCTTTGAAACCAAAGTTAATGCGGAGGGGGTAAACACGGGAGAGTGAAAAATTGCTTGCGCGTCTTGCTAGTTGACTTATAGTGGGTACGGCAAGTAAATTGTTAACAGGGGCAAACAGCAAGAGGCTAGTGTGAACGATGGAGAACCTTAAAGTGAAGGAACTCATCGAGATTTGTGAGGAACTCGGCATTACTTTGGGCCGTGCGAAACGAAAGCAAGCGATCCTTGAGATCATGAAGGATGAGGGAGTGTCGGCTGAGGAAGTCGATGAGGCCTGGGTGGATGTTAAAGCACGCCGTGAGGAGGCTGAAAGGCGAGAAGTAGAAGCTCGCGAAGAAGCTGAAAGGCGCGAACGTCGCGAGGAGGCCGAGAGACAGGAGCGTCTAGAGTTGAAACGACTAGAATTGGCAATCCTACAGTGTTCGCAGGCGCCTAGCGTAGCTTCTCCGACGATTCAGGTCAGCGGTTTTAGAATTCGGGACCAACTGCCACCGTTCGTAGTAGGCGAGGACATGGCGAAGTATCTCGTCAAGTTTGAACACGTCTGTGAGCGAAACGCTTTGGAGCGGTCTCTTTGGGCGCAGAACCTGTTAGCTCTTCTTCCCGGCAAAGTGTCCGACGCGATAACTTGCTTGTCTAGGGAAGCGTTTGAGAGCTATGACGAGGTTAAGGAAGTGCTCTTGAGACGTTATAAGTTATCACCTGAGGCTTTCAGGCAAAGGTTCCGGTATGCTGAAAAGGGGAATGAGTCACACGTTGACTTCGCGTTTCGTCTTAAAGCCGATTTAATTGAATGGCTCAAGGGCGAAGGTGTTTATGATGATCGCGATAAAGTGGTGGAATGCGTTGCACTGGAGCAGTTCTACCGCTGCATCGAGGATAATGTCAGACTTTGGCTGCAGGACAGACTTAGTGAAGTACAGCTAAACAAGGCAGCAGAGTTAGCTGAGGAGTATTATACTCGCCGAAAGTTGCACAGCAGGGCAGTGCGCGTTGAAAAAGATGAGCGAAAAGAGGGCTTTTCAAGGAAACCTGATCAACGGAAACCCGTTCCGCACCGTAATTTCAAAAAGGACCCGTCTCTTACTAAGGACAGTGTAGGGGAAGGGCAAGCAGAAGCGGAGAAATCGAGTGAGGTTTCTACCACACAGGCATTTGAATCGGAAAACAAACGGAAGCCGCTAATCTGCTACAACTGTAAAAAGGAAGGGCACATCGCGAGAAACTGTCAGGAAAAGTTTGCCTTCGCAACGATCCGAGAATCAGAAAAAAACATTCGGTTGTTGGAGCCGTATCTCCAAGAAATTAGGGTGAATAAGAAAACGTGCCGAGCACTTAGAGACTCAGCGGCAACCATGGACGTTGTCCATCCTTCGTTGGTGTCTCCGGATGACTTCACAGGAGAATGCGCGTGGATCAGGCAGGTCGCCGAGGAGCAGAGTGTTCGCTTACCAATCGCCAAGGTTGTCATTAAAGGCCCGTTCGGTGAGCTTCGCACCGAAGCGGCTGTGTCTGCCGCGCTAAATGATCGTTTTTCTTATCTTTTCTCCAACAACTCGGAGCAGCTTCTCAAAGAGCAGGGCAAATCGTTCTTCCCCAACTTAGCGTGCATGGCTCTCACGCGATCGCAAGCGCGAAAGCTTTCGCGGAAGCTTGACTTGGTTCCATGCGGTGAACTCTCAAGTGACCTTGTCGGCGGGTCGACGGAACCCCAGAAAGGAAAGTTTCCGCATGAGTCATGTGAGCAGTCACGCGAGCGGCCCGTCGCCGAACCTAGCTGCGCGGTTTCCGGAGAAAGGGGAGACGACATGACGCCATTGGATCAGAGAGAGAGGGCTGCAACGCTCTCGCCTGTAGCGGAAAGTTGGAGCGAGCTGCCGAGAGTTGATCGAGAGACGCTCATTCGAGAGCAGAGTGAGGATCTCTCGATTGAAGCGCTTGTGGAAAGCCAAATTGAAGCGCTAGTGGAAAGCCAGAAAAACGCGGTAAAAGTGCTGTCGAAGGAGCACTACGAGAAATCGGGGAAGAAGCGCGCTTTTGAAGTTGATAATCAGGTAATGCGGCTGCAGCCATCCAAAAGGAACAAACTTGAGGTTGATTGGGAAGGGCCCGCCAAAGTATTATCGAAGCCTTGCGATACAACTTATGAGGTGCAAGTAGGAAGGCGGCAGAACAAAATTTACAACTTGATGAAACCCAATGTTCAACATCAAGCGGTCGTAAATCAGCTGTTGAAGGCTTCAGAGGAAGAGGAAGCAGAAAATTTGAGTTCTAGTGAGGTGATCGAAGGGGGATCGAAAGTAATCCGGGAGCAGATAAACCTAGAGCCTAGCGTAAGTGAAGGAGGACCTGAGAAAGAGGACCTGAGAAAGATTGTTTCCGAGTTTGGGTATGTGTTGTCGGACCGTCCCGGAGACACGACGGTGATCGAACACGATATCGAGCTAAGCGGTGAGGAGTCAATCAGTAGCAAGCCGTATCGTTGTTCCCCTGTGCAACGTCGAAAGTGTGAGCCGCTCTTGGTGCCGCATAGGTATCGTCGCCTAAAGTGGCCGGTTACTGAAGTGGAGCATGTTGCTCCACAGCGCAACTTTGACGTTCGCTATCAAAAAAAAATAAAGGAAAGGTAAACGCTAATGCAGGTGCATTGAGCAGTGCGTTCCAGCTAGTAACTTCTCAACCTTTCGGTTTCTGGCTGGCGATTCGGGGCAAAAATTTTGACCTCATCACGACCTGGGCTGAGCGCTCTCGTTTAGAGTGATCTCAAGGGGCCAACTTTGTGGTATGCTAATTCGTTACGTTGTTGTACGTGGGAAAAAAATTGAGTTGTCATTTTAAGAGTCTTGTGTCCCACATGTGCCTCTTGATGTAGAGGGAACAAAATTCCAATAGACACGTAGATAGGTATATGTTGTACTATACTTTGTCTGGTGTTCTGTCGGGTGACCGAGGGCACTTGCTTGTGTCGTATGTTGTCTGTTGTCGAACCGTTCTTGGCAAGTTGCAGAACCATCGACAAGTGCTGAAACCGAAGATGGTCAGAAGAGACGAGTGAAGCTGGTCGACAAGTTGTGGCGACAAGCCAGTGAAGCTGGGATCCGTCGTCAAAAATGGGATGTGTTCCCGGAACAGTCTGAAGCTGTATTCTCCCCATGGCCCTGGAGGCGAACCTGGAGGGACCTGGCGAACGAGCGCACCTGACATCCGAGCCCCGTGGAAGCAGCTCGTCTTTCCGGTGCATTGTCTGGCGGCGGGGGTGCTGTTATGCCAGCGAGTCCTCGTCAAACGTCCGTGCCTCTGAAAAAGGCAATCTGGGTCAAGGCCAGCCCGCAGTCCGCCTGACGCGAAAAACTCGACGGCGTGAACACGCGCGGCGCCCCTCTGGCCCACGTGCATTGAGTCAGCTGCGCACGTGACAGCGAGCCGGCGTCCTCGTGCCTGGTGGTCTGACGCATGGCGCGGCGGCCCCATTGGCGGAATCTGCCCTGACGACCAGCGGCGCTTCTGATTGGACATTTTGGTTGGACCCGGTGTAAATAAAAGAAGCCCTGCGGCGCGTCGCGATCGGCGGTCCTACGAGAGAGGAGTCCCCATGTCGGAGAGCCGACATGTGTGTGAGTCAGCGGTCTTAGGCGAAAAGTTGACCTATGTATTAGAGAGGAGAACTCGGCTCTTCGAGTCTCTGTCGGCCCCAGTGCCGAATTTGTAATGCCTCTGTAAATATGCTGTACATAAACCTTGTTTAACTCACCGTCGTCTCGTCCGCTCGTCTTATCAGCTCTGCGCAGAAGCAGTCGCGAGCTGATAAACATACGCTACCAAACGGCTGGTGACCTTCCCGGCGGAGTTGGAAGCAGTGGCGCCTTCGGGGCCGTGTTGGCGTCGCCGTCTTTCGCAACAGTGGTGGCTTCGGCGGGATCGGTCCGTCGTTCGCAACAGCGCGTAGCCAGTTCCCGACCCGTCAACTAGCGAAGCCGATCGGTTCCGCGAAGGCGAACACGGAAGACCCCGATCATGGGAAAGAGAGGAGCCTCCTTTGTTCGCACGGTTCACAAACGGAGCCGTCAAAGTAATCGCCGTTAGGGACTAGAAGGAGAAGGCTCACTCGGAAAAGCGTCTAGCAAGAGGCAGGTCAGGCGCCACCGTCTGAGTTTAAGCCATTCTTGACATGCACGCGTGTCATTGAGAATGACGCGGGGACGCGACCACTTGGCTGACCCAGACATAGTGGCGCCAGGGAGACGAGCATAATATCCCCCGCTTTTTTTAGGATGTCGGGGCGCCTCGCTATCGCATGGACACCTGGCAAGTGCACGGAGCCCAACGGTGTACCCACCGCTCTTGGTGACGCTTCTACGAAGCAACAGTTAATGAGAGAACTGACGGGGCTCGAGCGTGAGAACGGCTGCTGATGGAAGTTGGCTGACGGAGACAGCACGGCCTGGCATGGGAGAGAGTGTGACACAAGGAGAACCTATCCCTTTGCGTGTAATATTTGGTAACGTAGTTTTTACCAATGTAGTGCCTATTATGAAAGTGTTTCTGCGATTTGTTGTCATAATGCGAGTCTCAACATGTGATTGGTGTTTGTGAAGACTCTTTGTTCAACCGAGGGTTGAAAAAGAGGATGTTTGAATTTGAAATAAGAGCGTAGGTTCCGGTTTGGACTCGGGCAGTCGCCTGAGGCTGCAATAAAGCGTCTCTTCACCGGACTACGGCTCTTCCTTCGCGCTGCCACCGTGCACTCGAGTCATCAAGGGGACCCATTCCGAACCTCAAACATAATCTCTCCTTAGGTAGTGTTGAAGCTAGTCGAGGAGGAGGAACTTAACTGCCACATTTGGTAGAAAAGTAGAAATCGGGGATGTAGTTGGCACGTTTTCCCTTCGCTTGCTAAGGCACGTGACAAGTCACCTCGAGAAATAAGACACAAACCCAAGAGTTGGCGGAATGACGAAGTTCAGAGAGCTATAGCAAAACGCCAGGAAGCCTCTAGGGAACACAGACATGCTAAGCAGCGGGGTGAACCGACAGAAGATGTTGAAAGAAAATGGGAAATCTTTCTAAGCTCTAGAAGGGAAGCATCCCTTCTGATCAATGAAAATATTAGAAGAAAAGGGGCTCAGTGGCTGGTAGAAGTACATAAAAAGGATAAAAAGGCCGCTGCGAAATTTCGGAACCATCTAAACTCCCTAAGAAATGAGACGAGCCTAGAGCAGAAGTTTATAACCACAGCTCAAGGTGCTAGGCTAGAAGGGGACGAAGCTATTGAATATATAAGAACAAGGGTGACAGAAAAATTTCAACAAAGAAGTGCCTTATGCACCACAATAGACAAGGATGAATCAAGTGGCGCAATGGCTCCATTTTTACAACGAGAGTGGGAAAAGCCCGAGAAAAGGGTTCCTAGTAATACATCAACAGGCCCAGATGGCATTCGAATTATGCTGATAAAGACATTGGGCCCGAAGTCTAAGCAGACATTGAGACAGGCAGTGAGCAAAATAATAATCGATGGTGAAAATCACCGATGGATGGAAACTTAGCAGGATGAGCGTGATCTATGAACGAAAGGGGGACAAAGCTGACATAAACAACTAGCGTCCTATAACACTGACATCATTGGTCTACAGGCTGGCGATGCAGGTTATAGAGGAAAGACTGCAGGCATGAATAGAGGATGAGGGGGTGCTGTGGCAACTACAGATTGAGTTTCGGAAACACAGGAGGGTGGAAGACAATCTGTTCTCACTGACGCAGTGCATCGAAATAGCAGAAAAGGTACACAGGCCCCTGTGGCTAGCATTTTTGGATATCAAGGGAGCGTACGATAGCGTGGTTCAAGAGGACTTGCGGAGCATACTGGACACACTAGGTGTGGAAGATGGAGTCACTAATTTTTTAAAGGTAATCTCTAAAGGTAACAAGGTAGTTGTGAAGTGGTAAAACAGGTATCCAAGCCCGCAGAGGTAAAACGGGGGCTTAGACAGGGGTGTCTCCTGTCACCCTCGTTATTCATTATGCACATACAAGGATTAGAGGCCAAATTAGAGGGAAGTGGACTTAACTTCAACCTCTCTTTTGTCAGACAATAAAAATTCATTGAATAGGCACTACCAGCATTGATGTACGCAGATGATATAGTGCTAATAACCGAACACAACGAAAATTTGCAGAATTGATGGACATCTGTGGTAATGAAGTAGATAGGTTAGATTTCAGATTCAGTAAGGAAAAATAAGCAGTCATGATTTTTAATGATAATGAAGGTAGTGAGCTTAGAAATCAGGAGGTCACGCTAGAGATAACAGATAAATACAAATATCTGGGCATTTGGATAAGCAATGGGACCGATTGCCTAAGGGAACACGAAATATACGTGACGACTAAAGGTAACAAGAATGCAGCAGTGGTGATAAACAGGGCACTGTGGAATTACAATAGGTATGATGTTGTGAGAGGAATACGCAAAGGGGTCATGGTTCCTGGTCTGACGTTCAGCAATGCGATCTTGTGCATGAGATCAGAAGTTCAAGCAAGATAAGAAATTAAGCAACGTGAAATAGGTGGGCTTGCCTTAGGAGCTCACGGGAATACACCAAATCAGGAAGTACAAGGTGATATGGGATGGACATCATTTGAGGGCAGAGAAGCTAGCAGCAAGATAAAATTTGAGAAGTGATTGAGAGAAATGGGGGAGGAGCGTTGGGCTAGAAAAGTACTCAGTTACTTGTACATGAAGAATATCGATACAAAGTGGAGGAAGCGAACCACAAAATTGACTGGTAAATACTTAGAAAACAGCACGGGTCAAATCAAAAAGAATTATTGGTTAGGAAGAAGGTGAAGGAAGCTGAGACCGACATGTGGAGAATTGGCATGATTAAGAAGTCCGCACTATAGATCTATCGAACTTTTAAGCAGGAAATCGCCTGTCTGTCTGTCTGTCTGTCTGTCTGTCTGTCTGTCTGTCTGTCTGTCTGTCTGTCTGTCCTGTCTGTCTGTCTGTCTGTCTGTCTGTCTGTCCGTCCGTCCGTCCGTCTGTCCGTCCGTCCGTCCGTCCGTCCGTCCGTCCGTCCGTCCGTCCGTCCGTCCGTCCGTCCGTCTGTCTGTCTGTCTGTCTGTCTGTCTGTCTGTCTGTCTGTCTGTCTGTCTGTCTGTCTGTCTGTGTAAGCTCAACCGTGACTCCTACTCATCAGAGTGATGATGTAGTTATGGCCTGCCCCTTTGCAATGGGGTGAGCACTGTAGTGAGCACTATTAGAGAGCATTCCGAGTACTAGATGTGGCTACTACGACGACGTGGGACAAGACTATACCCTAAGGAGGTTTGCCCCTAAAATGTAATGACGTTTCGGCACCCAGAACATGGACCTTGATGTTCCGGCATGCAGAACAGAAGCCTTGTTCACAGATCAAGATTTGTGAACAAGGCTTTTATTCTGGGTGCCTAAACGTTATTACATCTGTTGTTCTGTTGTGGTCGGCGTTTTTGCCTTTCACTCAAGGATGGTTTCACTGCAGTAAATTAGTGTTATGTCGCCCAATTATTCATAGAAAATTTGCACTACCGTGAAGCCACACTTCAATATCAAATGAACATATTACCCTCACGTTGACAGATCGCATTTTTTTTAGTTTTAAGCTTGTTATAGGAACTTTTGTACCCTAAATATACTCAGTTTTACAGCATAACGTATGGTGCAAGTTATCACTTGTATTCTACCTATTCTACGCGTCCATTGTATTCTACTACTATTCATTTGTGGTGTATCCTGTTCCTATTCATCAGTGGTATATCCGTATGAATACTACACCCGCGGAGAAAAGAACACATACCGTGGATGAAACCTATGAAGATGTCCAAGAATAGCATCGAGGGAGCGAAAAAGCAGGCGCCTACGGCGAGTGATGCCCCCAGGCAACCGACCATGGACAGCTTCCATATCGGTATATACCTTGCCAATACTCCAGCGATGGGACCTGCAGCATAAATTCCGTGGGCATGGCACGCAATGTCAAGATTTATCGAGAGTTACACTGCAGTCAGAGTCCGCGTAAGTACATGATTGAGTAGAAGGTGTCATTTGAATTACATGCCTAATTAATGGTCTAAATTACGAATAGTGCAGTCATGTGCTAACTGTTAATGAATAAATGCGGAAGTCAAATTTTTCTACAATCCAAAAAATGCGACAAAAATAGCCAATATTTTGTTTCAAGAAAAAAAGGAAGAGTCGCTTTGCTCCTTGAACCAGCCTTTTTTTTTTTTTCATTGGACATGAGGCATAGTACGCGCTTTGAATTGAGATACGGAACGACTCCGTGAATACCAGGGTCAGCTCGTTTATATCTGTTTGATTTCATTGCTCAGTTAGCCTTTTTATTTTAATGCGACGAGCTTACACGCGCACAACCAGCAAGGTACGTCATTCGGTAGAGTATGCTGTTCCTATCTTTGAGTCTAGCCTCCCAATCGCCAGCCGCCAAGTTCGGGATTATATAGATCCCGTGACCCCGTAGCTTATATAGCAGTGACCCGCCCAGAATGCCAAAGTTAACACGGCGGCTCCCTATACTTCATCGTGCTGGTTGGGAAACGTCATGCCCTGCTGACCCTATTTCGTCGAAAATGGTCCATTAGCGCGCTGTCGGCTACCGCAGGCTGCCCTATATAGTTCACGCACGTGCGGCTGCCGGTAATCTTGTTTCCGAGCAACGTCTTTTACGGCTGCGCCAATCGAGGCGTCGGACGTCGGCCATAACCCTCAGTGATAATCCGATCTGAGTTATACAAAGCGAATGGTCATAAGCGGGGTTCATTGGCCGAAGGAGCTGTGTAGGTCCTGAGAAAAGGAAAATGTAGAGAGCAGGAAATGCCGCACTGTTATATGGTATACTTGATGTCCGGTACAAGCGCGAAGCAAAACAACGCAACGGAGCAGCCCTGCGCGGAACACGGGGTGTGCATGTACCCGTGTTCTTTTGTATGCATGCATCTCTTGTATGTATATTCAAGCGTGAGTGTGATCCACGTGTTCTGGTGGCCCTTTCCGGCGAGCATTGCATTCCCACAAAGCCGGTGTACTTTCGCCCAAGTATTTATATTTCAATAAAGCAACTATGGGTTTTTCTGTTGTAGGCCCATGTACTCAGATTTGGGTGCACGTTAAAGAACCACAGGTGGTCGAAATTTCCGGAGCCCTCCACTACGGCGTCTCTCATAATCATCAGTGGTTCGGGGACGTTAAACCCCACATATCAATCATCAAATTAACTATGGGTTTTATTAGAGAAAATGTTTTCACCGAAAAACCACGCTTTCTTGATTACGATGTACTAGTATTCATAAAACTACATACTTCTTAAGCCCTCCGCAAGCTACTATTTAATTATTTACACAGTATTTTGTATACTCTTTATTAAGTATTTGCACTATGCAACGTGAACGTAACAACTTAAAGGGGCCCTGAAACACTTTTTTTGAGTAACCATGGAATTATTTCGCTGAAAAAGCGTATGACCTCACAAACTCAACGCTGCAAAATTTTTAAGAATCCGTTCAGTACGAGCGGAGTCACACGCTGCAATTGTCACACGCTGCAATTGCATTCTCTCTTCTTTCTTCCCGACGAAAGCGCTGGAAGCTACTTAGGGAGGGATGGAAGGGGCAAACAGAAAACGTCACGCGCACCTCGAGACCTTGAGTACTTTTTTCTTTTTTTTTTTCTTCGAATACGCGGTTTTTTCAGTGCAATCGCGCGCACATCCATGGCCAAGTGACGGCCTCTCGTGGCGATTTCTGTAACAACCAAGCGCATCGTGTTCAAATCAGCCAATGGCTGGTAGATGGGTAATTTACGTGTGACATTTCAGCGTATTCCGTTATTTGTCGAGGGAAGAGAAAGCAATTTTTAGCCTACTTTGATAGTTTACACGGTAATTGATAATGTCATAATTTATCGTTTACAGGGTCTCATAGATTTCAATTCCATACCTTCGAACACCATTATCAAGTCCATCCTAATGAACCATGATATTGGTATGCTTATTAAAGTTACTGTACTTGATTTGTTACATCCTATCTATGAATTTGAGTTATGTGTTGTAGTTTCTTTTCTTATGCTTTATTCTACATTCTGTATTGATGAAGTTTCTTTTCAGATGACGCTTTTGTGATGAAGTGATTTTCTAATGTTCGGCATTTTGATCCTGAAATGAACCTGAAATTGTGTAACAAGACCGTGCTAAGTTTTGTTGTGTTATGGTTTATTTGTTGTGTTATTTATTTATTTCATTGTGTTATTAGTTGTGTTATATATTTATTTCTGAAAACTTATGTGACAGATTGAGCAACCTGTGTGCCAAACTGTATTTAGGAGCAGAAGCCCCATGTCAGGCTAAATAGCCTTTAGTCTCCGCTCCCGATCCTGTAAGAAATTCAGGACAAATAAACTTCAATTCAATTCAATTCAATTGATTGTGAATTCTAGGCCGCGTGCTGCGCTATAACATTTGGCTCGCGTGTTCTCGGGAGCCTTTACTACGATCAACAGCTTTTTTCACTGTGCTCAAAAAGTAACAGAATAGAAAGTTGGGCAAGTTGGTTTATATTCATATTAAAAGAAAAGCGACGCACAAAAAGACGGGTTCGGGTGTTTGCTAAGCAAGTTGCAAGACTAGAGGAAGCAGGATTCCCCCCTAACATAATTGTGGCTGTTTGCGATAAGTTAATTGGTGGTTTAAAAGGACGTGCAGCTAGGAAAATCAATCGGGAAAAAATGAAGTTCGCAGCAATTCCTTATATGCATAAACTGGCACATGGGTTAAAAAATGTTGGTTCCCGCTATGGAGTTGATGTGCTATTTTTAGGGCACCCAATAAATTGGGAAAGATATGTGCATTAGTGTCAAATCAGCTAAACAAGAAGGACAAGCCAGATGTAAAGAAATGTGCCGTAAACCATAGAAATAAGTATGTGCCTTGTGCTGTGGGGGTGGTGTACCGCATTTCTTTATCTTGTGGTCTTCATTATGTGGGAAAGACGGGCCGCTGTGTTAATAAAAGGTTGCGGGAGCACTATCTCTCTTTGCATAACGGCACGCCTTCCCATTTGGCTTCGCATTGTGCCACGTGTGGGTGCACACCTGATCTGTCTAACACTGTTATTATTTTTAAGCACCACGATCAATTCACCCGTGAGGTGTCTGAAGCCTATCATATTAAGAAGTCACGTGATGCTTGCGTAAGCCAGACCTCTGTTACATTGCACAAAAAAGAGTTCACTTTTATTGATGAGCGTATAATTTAATCTCGTTGTACCTTACTTGTCATGCGCGGCTTTGACTTTTTAAATTCTTGTTTCTCGGATTAAACTTTCAGTTGTGAGTGCAGTGCTGTGTGTGGTTCTCTTCTTTGTCTCCGTCTTTTTGTGCACCGCTTTTCTTTTAATATGCTCAAAATGTGTTGCAGGGCCCCTTTAAAACATAAATCTAAGATATCATGTAGTTAAGTTCGAATACCATGATTCCATTCAACGTGCGCTCGCTCTGTATCAGGGCCCTCAATATCACCTAAGCTAGCGGGATGCAGTCACGAAAATCCCACTGAAGATCGTGAAAGTGGGGAGGGGCATGGGAGTGTTCATATGAAAAAAAAAAAAGAAACTCGCAGCAGAGCCACAGTGAAAGCCGGAAGAACGGCATCTCGAGGCCTTTTCTAAACACTCTTTGTGATGATTCGCCAGACTTGCGCCAGGCCTGCGCTTCGTGTAAGGCCCGGAGAAGAGAATAAATTGTTTCTTCAAATTTGTGCAGCGCGTTGGGAGGCTGTTCTCGGAGGCAGCTTGTGCGGCTGTGCCAGCTGTCACGTGATCATAGAGGCTGGTGGCAAGCAGTGGCGAGCTTTAATTTGAGTGGAGCCTAAGCGCTACGACGTCGCTAAATTGCCGCAGTATGTCGACGGTGCCTACCGCTGTTTACAAATATAGAATAGGTCTATACGTGGATTAGCTGTGCTGACTTTTGAGTGGTCGCCGTTCATGGCTAGAACTGAATCTCAAACAGCTCCGCTGTTTAAAATATCAGCTCGCCCTAATACTTGGCTTGGGGTCTAGCAGTGGCACTCGCACGTCGGCATTCGTGAGTCCTGGTGTGTTTCTTAGGAATTCTGTGTTTCGCTCACTACCGAAGTGAATCTCGGAGGCCACATGGAAAGATGCGCGTAGTTCAGGTCTGCTCCGCCAGGCGCCACGATGATACATGTTACTTACAAGGAAAACACCTGCTGTTTCGACGAATTAATGCAATATATTTTCATCAACTATCCTCATTGTAACTGCTCCTCGTGTTAAAGGTACCCTGCAACACTTTTAACCATCGGATAACTTTACTAAATATGTTTATAACCTTAAGAATAGACCACCGTAAAACTTTTCAGAATCCATAAATACTAGCAGGGTTACAGAGATTTGTCACACGCTGTAATTGTTTTCTCTCATCTGTCGTTACTATGAGCGCACTGGAAGCTAATCAGGTACTGATGACATGGGGGAAATAGTTGCGTCACGTGCGCATCACGACCTTAAGAATTTTTTTTTCTTTCCAACGCAGGGCTTTCTGCAGCGTGAGCGCGAGCATGAGTGAGGTCACGTGGCGGCCTCTCCCGGCGGCCGCGGTAATTATGCAGCTCACGATGCTCTGATCAACAAATGGCCGTGAATTTGAGTGCATAGCACGGTCATTTGGGTATATGGCGTCATTTGTTGAAAGACGAGAGAGCGATGTCTATCTGAATTGGAGATTTATTCGTAAATTCTAGGCCACGCGCTGCGCTAAATTATTTGACTCGCATGTTCTCAGGAACCTCGACTAACGACCGGACAGTTTCTCACCGTGCTGAAAAAGTGTTGCAGGGCCCCTTTAATTTAACAAACGCTCTAGTACAATATGTAATAACTAGGAGCAGCACCACCTGTTTTTTCCCTGTAATATTATTTTAAAAAGTTTTCTGAATGTTTGAAAAACAGGGAATGCTTGGGAGAGAACCAATCGTGTCATTCGTTGCGCTTGCCAATAAAGACGAGAAAGCGCTATGATTGAATTTCTGCACTTTTACGACCTACTTCAGCTCTTTACCAAATTAAGAATCCCGGCGCCCAAAAGCGCGGCCGCTAGAATGCGGATATACATACACACCTGTAAGGAAGTAGCTGACGAGAGCAAGGTTGACTGGCCACGACGCCCTCTCCCTGCTCACTGGAAAAGTACGTAGAAGCGCCACGTACACTACGGCGGACGAGCGGATCAGGGCAAAAGTGAACACGTTGATCCAGCTACAAGCCGCGGCGACCACCCAACTCCGAGGTGAATCCATGTTTATACACCGCAGCTATTTTCACGATACGACAGGTGTCAACCGTCGGCTCGGCAATGTCAACATTCGAGAGAAGCCTTATCGTGAGGCTCTCCCTTCGCTCATGCCTCTTGTCCCTTCGCTCGTCCGTGGGGTCGAGAACACCCAAGCACATCTGACTAACACCATAATAGGTTCGCGGCATGCCGTAAAAAAAAAGATTGTTAATGTCCCTTTACTAGACCTCAGGGGTGACGCTAAAGAAATTGCAAGCATAACAGAATGAAAGAGAACGCGAATTCATTCAGCAATTTTTTAGGGGAGGGGGGGGGGGCTTACAGAGAAATAAAAAGGTAGAATAAAGTTAGAGAGCAAACGGGGTCAAGATGACCTGGGTCGGAAACAACTGGATTCAACGGAGCAGTTTGCTCCTGTAGTTTCGCGAATGTGGTGAGGCAAATATCAGTGTTACTAAGAAGCAAGTGGAGAGAAAGAAAGTGGAATGTCCACTTTTCTTTTCCTTTCCTGGTGATACTAAAATAGAGACTCTGCGCAATTATTGTCGCAACAATACGGTGGTGACTCGTGTAGCAAGTCATATTAGAGCACAGGTTGCTGGGCTCACTCATTCGCTTTGTTTTGATAATATAAGAACGCCCACTCAAGCGAAAATGCAAGGCAAGCCGACCACGTCGACTTATTCACTTATTTATACCTTAATTATCATCACTAAGTGCTCATTAATCGCTACGCATACAATGGTATAACGTTTAAGAATTATTGCCGCGACGAGTTCGCGGTTTTTATTCGAACCTCTATGAGGGCTCGGATTGTTTTAGCGCGAGTAAGACGAAGAAATGAGAGACACAGAACACAGACGAGCGCTGACTTTCAAGTAAGTTTATTTGCACTTCAACAAGCCTTTTTATGCGCCAAAACCTGCCTGTAGATAGTTATAGTATACCGAGCTCCCCGCGATACCGGGCGTACCGTGATAGCGGGACCGAAGTGCGCATGCGCAGATACGTACGTTACACGTACCGCTTACCGTACGCACGCTATTTCTCAGGTTTTTCAGGTTTCAGGTTAAATATCTGGGCGTATGGATAAGCAATGGGACTGAGTACCCAAGGGAACTCGAAATATACGTAACGACTAAACGTAACAGGAATGCAGCAGGGATGAAAAATAGGACACTGTGGAATTACAATAGGTATGATGTTGTGAGAGGAATATGGAAATAGGTCATGGTTCTTGGTCTGACGTTCGGCAATGCACTCTTGTGCATGAGATCAGAGGTTCAAGCAAGATTAGAAATTAAGCAACGTGGAATAGGTAGGCTTGCGTTAGGAGCTCACGGGAATACACCAAATCAGGGAGTACAAGGTGATATGGGATGGACATCATTTGAGGGCAGGGAAGCTAGCAGCAAGATAAAATTTGAGAAGCGATTGAAAGAAATGGAAGAGGAGCGTTGGGCTAGGAAGGTATTCAGCTACTTGTACATGAAGAATGTCGATACAAAATGAAGGAAGCGAACCAGAAAATTGACTGGTAAATACTTGGAAAACAGCAGGGGGCCATTGGATTGGATAAACTTTTATTTGGTCCTCCAAAACACAGATCACTCTGTTGCGGGCAGCTCCCACGTGGGGACTGAGATGCCAAGCTCCTCAGCCGCCTCGCGGGCTTGGTGGACAGCCCAGAGCTGATCTGCCAAGGACGAGCTGCGGATTGCCGCCTCCCATCTGGAAGAGGTGATGTGCGATAAATGAGCGAATTTGGTGCACTGCCAGAGCATGTGTTCTAATGAAGCTATTTCCTCACAATGTGGACAAAGATTACTTGGGTATAGGTCAGGGTACATGATGTCTAACATTTTCAAAGTAGGGTACATCCGCGTTTGCAAAAGCCTTAATGTAAGTGCTTGGGGCCGGGTTAGATTTTTGTGAGGTGGAGGGAAAATCCTTCTAGACAGGTAGAAATGTTTAGTGAGCTCGTTATATGTTGTAAGAATTTCCCGGTTATCCCCTTCACCAGTAGAACGCATCCCCGGGGAGGCGCGGTTGGAGAGTTCTCGCGCCGCCTCGTGTGCTGCTTCGTTGAGATTGGGAGGGGAATCGTTGATTTGTCCAAGGTGAGCTGGGAACCAACTCAGAAGATGATGTGTTATGTTCTTGCCTTGCAGTATTTTCAGCGTTTGTTCACAGACCGTCCCCTTGGCGAACGCCCGTAGTGCTGCCATGGAATCACTGTAGACCACTTCAATGCTATCCATCTTGAGTGCTAAGGGGATGGCCACATGTTCCGCAATGATTGGGTCTTTCGTCCTGACCGTCGCTGAGTTGACGACATGGCCAGCCCCATCGACTACCACTGCCACAAACGCTTTCCCATTGGCGTAGGAAGCCGCGTCAACAAATACAACCCCTCGTTCCTCGTTTGAGATTTGACGAAGTATAGTACTGGCCCTCGCTACTCTTCTTCCGACGTTGTGTTCTGGATGCATGTTTCTCGGTATAGGAGATACCGTGATAGTCTCCCTGATGTTGTCAGGGATATCATTGTAATTGCGTCTGATTGCTATTGGGTGTTGGCCCAGCTCCTGCAGGATCATTCTCCCCGACCTTGTAGTAGATAACCTTGCAAACTGTGCTCTCTCTTGGGCTTCTGCTATTTCTTCGAGCGTGTTGTGTATGCCAAGCTCAAGCAGACGCTCGGTGCTGGTATGTATGGGTAGGCCCAGGACCTTATTGATAACTTTCCTGGGGAGCACATTCAGTGTCTCGGACTCTGCTCTTGACCAGTTGTGCATTGCTGCCTCGTATGTGAAGTGACTTAGAACAAACGCATGCATCAACCTGATGAGGTTGTCTTCCTTGATCCCATTTCTTTTGTTGGCCACTCTGCGTATGAGGTGCACCGCACTGTCTGTTTTCCGAGTTAACTTGGCTATAGATTTGCTGTTGACGCCGGTAGACTCTATCAGCATTCCCAGGACTTTGATGGAGTCGACCCTCTGGATGGCATCCCCTTGATTTGTACGGAGATGGATGTCTATCTGGTTTAACGGCTTCCATCCCCTGGGCTTCGGTCCCCGGCGTGCAGTCCGATAAAGCAAAAGTTCTGACTTACTCGAGGAGCACTTGAGCCCGGAAGGGCGAAGGTAGTCTTCTACGGTGTCAATCGCCTCTTGCAGAGCGCTCTCAATCTGCCCCTCGCTTCCACCTGTGCACCAGACGGTAATGTCATCTGCGTAGATGCTGTGCTTCAATCCTTCAATGCTCGATAATTTCTTTGACAGTCCAATCATAGCAATGTTGAACAGCATTGGTGAAATCACTGTCCCTTGTGGCGTGCCCCTTGCTTCTAGTTCGATTGCTTTGGTCTCGATATCTGCAATCTTCATCACGGCTTTCCGATCTGTAAGAAAGGACCATACGTAGTCATAGAAGGCTTTCCCTAGACCAAGCTTGGAAATTGCTTCGAGTATGAATGAGTGGTGGATGTTGTCAAACGCTTTTTCTAGATCTAGGCACAGAATGGCTCTCACGTCTCTGGTTTCATTGTCAATGACCTGGTGTCTGATTAGCTTCAATGCATCTTGTGTGGATAGCCCTGCCCTGAATCCAACCATATTGTGTGTATATATGTTGTTATCTTCAAAGTACTTGTTTATCCTGTGCAGTATGGCATGTTCTGCGACCTTGCCGATACATGATGTCAAGGATATTGGCCTCATGTTGTCCAAGTTAGGGGGCTTTCCTGGCTTAGGGATAAGGATCGTGCTGGCCAGCTTCCACTGCTCTGGCACCCTGCCTTCTTTCCATGCTGAATTGATCATATCCCTCAGGGTTTCATTTGAATCGTCATCAAGGTTACGCAGGGCCTTGTTTTATATACCGTCCGGGCCAGGGGCCGACCTGCCGTTGAGATCATGCAAGGCTCTTCTGATCTCCTCGATGTTAAAGTCACCCTCAAGACCTGGATTTGGTGTGCCCTGGTACTGTCTACTTGGTGGTGCCAATCCTCTTTTGATTGGGAGGTACTTATGCACGAGCTGCTGGACAACTTGCTGTTCTGTAGTGCGCCCTATCTCTTTATGCAAAATTCGAGCGATAACATGATTTTGATTTGTTTTGGTGGTGTTTTCGTTGAGGAGATGCTTTAACATATTCCATGTCTTGCCATTGCGCATCTGACCATCGACGGAGTTGCAGATTTCGTCCCATTGCTGCCTTGATAGTGCGCGGCAATGTTCCTCGACTGATCTGTTTACCTCAGCTATCTTCTTCCTCAGTCTTCGGTTCAGGCGCTGACCCTTCCAACGGTTCAGTAGTGCTTGCTTTGCCTCAAGAAGATGAGCAAGCCGGCTATTCATTCTTTCAACCGGAAGATCTGTGGTAATGGTGGAGGAGACGGATTTGATGTCATCTTTAATCTGTTTGACCCACTGCTCCAAGCCTTGTCTGTGGCCATCTTGTTGCATTTCCATCTTTATCTTCCTGAACTTATCCCAGTCTGTGAAGTGGAATTCTCTCTGCTTTTTACGCTCCACGGAGAAGGTAGTGGCAAGAATGCAGTGGTCACTCCCTAGGTCTACAGCAAGGTTCATCCACTGGGCCTTCTTGATGTTCCTTACAAATGTAAGGTCCGGGGTGGAATCCCTGCAGCAAGATGTACCAAGCCTTGTTGGTAGGCTGGGATCTGTGATTAGGGTGCGATCAAGTTCACTGGCACTTTGCCAAAGTCGATTTCCTTTCACAGTGTTGTACTTGTAACCCCATGTATGATGAGGGGCGTTGAAATCACCTGCTATGACGAGTGGACATTCCCCGGCGATATTAACAGCTTTCTTTAGAACCGTCTTGAACCCTTGCTTTTGTTCCTTTGGACTGCTGTATATATTAAGAATGAAAATGCTCTGACGGTTGCTGGTACCCGGCACGATCTCTACCAAGACGTGTTCCAATCGGCCTGCTTCTATCTTGAGCTCATGGGTTACGTGCGTTAGTTTGTTG